ACCAGAGCCCCCCATCCGACCGCCGCCTTGTTTTTTTAATTTTTTGTTCCACGGGGGCCCCCCCCCCCCCCCCCCCCCACCAAAAAAAAAAAAAAAAGGCTAGATGCCATCAATTGGGAGTGGTTGTCATGCCCATTGCTAACCTAAAGGGGATAGATGCTGCCATGGACCACCTACTGTTTTTGTTTTGGTGGGAGGCTGCAGTCTGTGACTTGTGAGCAATGCTAGTATCAAGGTATTTATTCTTTAGGATTGTAAATGCCCAATGCTTTCCATACCGTTCAGATTAGACGGCAATGCGACATAGCTATATATTGTTGCCTGCAGCCTGGTTGTAACCACCATCACTGCGTGGCCTCGAATGATTGGTTTGTCCGCGATGGCACATGCAGAACATAAATGCATGCACTGTTCTTCAGCTGCTCCTAAGGTATACTGCATAGTACATTTGTCGTCAATGCCCCCCTCAGCGGCCAGATGCCATCAATCGGAAGTGGTCGTCATGTCCACAGCCAACCCGAAGAGGAGAGATGCTGCCATGGACCACCCGCCGTTTCCAGTGGCACACCAATTAAACACCGAACTCGATTCCCTCGTGTTGCCAATCACAGCGCAGTCCCCACCGCTTCGACTACCCGGCCAGCCACGAATCCTCACGACGCAGAGACACGCAGTTCGGGGGCTGCTGGAAAAAGAATTCCTCCTCGGGGACCTCGAAGAGATATCGGGATATCTCTGGATCATGTCAAAGCAAGACAGCAAAAGCATCTCGCCCCTGCATCGTCAAGCCGTCAAGGGCCGCTCCATCGTCGTCACCGAAGACCCCCGTCTGCATCTCATCTGGCACCACGGCCGGATCTTCATCAAGCCCATCCCCAAGTACATCCTCTCCCACCGGTTCTGGCAGGCATTCCTCCCCCCCGAGACCCCCTGGTCGGCGGGACAGGACGCCCTCCTCCGAGCCATCTTCGGCTACCTGCGAACGTACCGCTCACTCGTGCGGTACGAGTCCGACTTCCGCATCGCGACAAGCGAGGCCCTCCAGCTGATACCCGGAGACGTCACGTTCGCGGCCTTCGTCGACTTCCTCTCGCATTTCGAAAATATCCCCGACGAGGACGTGTCCGGCCGCTACGGCTACGGAGAGATTCGCCTGACGAGGCTGAACTTCTACTGCAAGTTCTTGCTGGGAAAGACGAGCTTTCATCGCGTGTACGCCCAGTACGGCGATTACTTTTCGACGTTTTACACGCCGATGCTCTTTTCGTTCGCGACTTTCTCGGTGGTGTTGAGCGCGATGCAGGTTGAGATGTCCGCCGAGGCACTGGATGTTGAGTCGCGGTGGACCGGCTATTGGACCTTCTGCCGGTGGTCGAGTCTTACCATTCTGGCCATCACGTTCGCGCTGGCTTTTTGGCTGCTGTTGCTGTTTTTGCTCAAGTTTGTTAGGGAATGGATCAAGGCTATCAGTGACCGCATGGACCGAAGGCGAATGATGGAAGTGAAAGCCAGAGGTCCCGTCGCCTGAGGGGGATCCGCGAGCATGGCTGAGCAAGGCATACCTGTTGGCGTTCTCGCTCAGTCAGAGGGATAATTATATGACACATAAAACATTGATATCTGCCAAGTCAATTAGCATGTCCCGGATCGAATCTCCCGTTTCTCGCTTTGAAGATATTCCGTCCTTCAATGCACATGTTGTAGCTCGCTCGTGCGACTCTGGTCAGCTGTTGAAGTTTCGGATACGACACAGGAACATCGTCGGCTGATCAGCCACCACCTCGGGTCATGAGCGGCTAGGACAACCGACGGGATCAAGCTTCTTCAACCCCTATCCGCAAACCGTTGCATCCGAAATACGTATACGAGTCATTTTAGCGGCGGATGCTGTTGGTGGCTAGAACTTCCTGATTGGGAAAGTAAAAGCGCAGGCGTTAATTGCGGAGTATCCGATCACAGATCGACCCGGACCGGTAATGCTAGCGGCTTGTGCGACCGAGACCGGCCGTGCTCTGTGGTAGCCTGGAATTGCCTGAAAGAGTGTTTCGGTAGGGTCGATTCGTCGGCAATGTCGGGGGCGATGCTCTTGGTGACTAGATCACGCCCCTGATAAATGACATTCGAGGAGAAACTGATCGGAGACATCCCTCCCAGCAGCGAAAAGAGCGACAGTAAGTAGCTATGGTCATTCCATCCTGTCCCGACCACCGGGAGTGAAAGTAGCCACCGTATTCCCCCCCACAAATCGTCATTGCGGATCATGACGCATGTATCTTTGGGATTGTTGGCAGCGTGGAGGCGTCTGCTGGATGCTGACATCACGATCACCGAAGAAAAAAAGATGTGGTGTTTGGCATGGTGATGCTCGATATGATGCTACCGCTAACGCTGAAAACCTGATAAGTGCCAAAATCTATCCCTACCAATTAATCCAACCCCTGACTCTAATTATCTTGTAACAAACACCCCAACTATGCTGACGCGCAATGCCCACCGTCTACTCGCAAGTCAGTACCCGTTACGAAGGAGCTTCCTTCCGAAAGCAAGAACACAGCCGAAGCCTTAAAGTCATCAGGCACGCCCAGCCGGCCAAGCATGGCACCTTGCATCCATGTCGTCTCGACATCGGGTTCTGCCTGGAGGAGTGCGTCGGTCATTGCCGTTCGGATATACTGGAGGTGGTTAGTAAGGTGTAGAACACGGGAAAGTCTTGTCCTTCGGTATAAAAGAAGGACAATAAAATGTGACATACCCCTGGGGAGAGCGTGTTGACCCGAATGCCGTATTGGCCCCATTCCTGCGCCAGGGACCGACACATCTGATGCAGTGCCGCCTTGCTCGTGTTGTATGCCGTGCAGGTCAACCCCTAAAAAAGCAACATGGTTAGTCTAGGTATCCTGCTCGGCTGTGTATAAAAACCAACTCACCCTGTTCGCTATCTGGCCCGACATGCTCGCCACCATCATGATACTCCCGGGCAGCTTCCTCTCGACCAGCACCCTCGCGCTCTGCTTGCAGGTGACAAACGTGCCCGTGACGTTCACCCTCAGCATGCGCTCAAAGTCAGCCACGGGGTACTCCAGAGCCGGCGTCTTCTGTTGGATGCCGGCGCAGGCGATCGTCCCCGCGAAGGGCGCATTGCGCCGGTCTCCCTCGTCGGCGATGCCAGACAAGATCTGCCGCATCGCTCCCTCGTCGGTGATGTCGCAGCGATGGTACGAGATAGAGAGATTGGACGCCTTGGCGAGCTTCGATAGCTGGGCCCATTCGACGGGCGAGGGCGACGGGAGGAGGTCCAGGCAGGCGACGTGGCCGCCCGCTTCGAGGACCGCGAGGGCGAGGGTTATCCCGAGACCGCGACCGCCGCCGGTGATGGCGATGGTCTTGCCTGAGAGGGAGAGGAGCTGGGGGGTCGGGAGGGAGGACGACACTGTCGTCACCGAAGATTGGGAGAAGGTATCCGATGGGACTGGTTCCTGGTCGACATCGCTGATGGCTGTTGGTGGCGTCATGGTGACTGGTCACGGAAGACTTCTGGTCTTCTGATTATGATTATGGGGAATCGGCAACTGTAAGTGAATTGGCAAATGGGAAATACAACGAGGTAGGGTGGTCAAGCTGTGATTATCGTGGGCCTTGCGCGACAGGCAAGGCGGCACCGATTCGAATTAAATACCTACACCTTCCAGGCTCCTCTTTGGCCGCCAGTGGTCCAGACCAGATGCTAAATAAAGTGCCCGGATGATTTCATAAAGCTGGGGCGCAGGTCTCGATGCATTTCTTACTAAATCGTCGTTAGCACTTCCGCCACCCCCTGGCGCTATCTCGACCCTCTTTGGCGGGTAGCTGGGCGGGCGGGTAGTTGGAAGCGAACAAAAGTGTCCCGAAAAGGAAATCCTATGCGCAACACGAACTTGCTTCGGCTACAGGTGACCTAGCCGATGTCCAACACTGGATAAGCAAGATGGATTCCGCTGCTAGCGTGGGAGGTATTTATTGGTATGATAAGAACCCGCGGAAATGAAATGGACCATGAAAGCATGCGTCGGGTTATATCTTTGACTGAGGATTTAATTACAGTTTGAGATCAAGTCAGTCAACACAGCTGGCACCTCGCTCTCCTTGTTGTTGGTCTCAAGTAAATAATTACCGTCTACCAAGTCATGTCTCCAAGTGCGCTCCAAACAGAGCCCCAGGGCCAGCTTCCCATCCGATCAGACACCACTGTGAAGAAGCTAAAAGAGAAATCTCGGTTTCAACTCGGAAAAGATGAGAAGGAGCAGGTTGACCTGGTCCTGCGGACATTCAGATGCCTTATCGCAGATCTTTGCGAGCAGTTCAAGGGGGGCCACCCGGGGTAAGCAAACATCCCCTGAACAGAACCACCGGAACCCAAACTTGAGATGCTGACAAGAAAAAAAAAGGAGCGCCATGGGCATGGCAGCCATCGGCGTAGCACTGTGGAAATACGTGATGCGCTACTCCCCGTCGAACCCTTCCTTCTTCAACCGCGACCGCTTCGTCCTCTCCAACGGACACACATGCCTCTTCCAATACGCCTTCCTGCACCTGACCGGCTACTCCGCCATGACCATGGACCAGCTGAAGTCGTACCATTCCGCCCGGACCGACTCCATCTGCCCCGGCCATCCCGAGATCGAGCACGACGGCATCGAAGTCACCACCGGCCCCCTCGGCCAGGGAATCGCCAATGCCGTGGGCCTCGCGATGGCGACTAAGCACCTTGGCGCTACGTATAACCAGCCGGGCTACTCGGTCGTCGATAATATGACGTACTGCATGATCGGCGACGCGTGTCTGCAGGAGGGCGTCGCCCTGGAGGCAATCCAGCTGGCTGGCCATTGGAGGCTGAATAACCTCGTTGTGCTGTACGACAACAACCAGATTACCTGCGATGGAAGTGTCGATTTGTGCAACTCGGAGGACGTCAATGCAAAGATGCGCGCGTGCCAGTGGAACGTGATCGAGGTGGATGATGGGTGCTACGACGTCGAGGGTATCGTGTCGGCACTGCAGGCGGCTAGGGAGAGCAGGGACAGGCCGACTTTCATCAATATCCGTACCGTCATCGGCGTCGGGAGCAAAGTGGCTGGCGATGCGAAGGCACACGGGGCTGCGTACGGCGCTGACGAAGTGGCGAATATCAAGCGCGGGTTCGGCATGAACCCGGAAGAGCATTTCGTGGTCGGCGAGGAGGTGTACGACTTCTTCCGAGACGTCAAGCCACGCGGCAGGGCTATCGAGGAGGAGTGGGGGCGCGTGGTTGCCGGTTACGCAGGGGAGTTCCCCGAGCTGCATGCCGAGTTCCAGAAGCGGGTTCGGGGGGAGATGACGGATGACTGGAGGAGTTTGATCCCCGCAAAGGAGAGCTTCCCCACCGCGCCGACGGCATCAAGGAAGTCGGCGGGGCTCGTGTGCAACCCCCTGGCGTCGCAGCTGAAGAATATGATGGTCGGCACGGCGGATCTGTCGCCGTCTGTCAACATGATCTGGAAGGGCAAGGTGGATTTCCAGCATGTGAGTGCTAACTGATATCCAAAGTTCAGACGGTCAAGACCACCATCTAACATCCTTGTAGCCCGAGCTGAAGACGCAATGCGGTATCAACGGCAACTACACCGGCCGATACATCCACTGGGGCATCCGCGAGCACGCCATGGCGTCCATCTCCAACGGGCTCGCCGCCTTCAACAAAGGCACCATCCTGCCCGTGACGTCCAGCTTCTTCATGTTCTACCTCGTAAGTGCCAATAACCACGATTACATAGTCCCGGTCCCTAACAACCCCCCCACAGTACGCCGCCCCCGGCATCCGCATGGCAGCCCTCCAAGGCCTCCAGCAAATCCACATCGCAACCCACGACTCCATCGGCACCGGCGAGGACGGCCCAACCCACCAGCCCATCGCCCTCCCGGCGCTTTACAGGGCCATGCCGAACCTCCTCTACATCCGTCCCTGCGACAGCGAGGAGACGGCCGGCGCCTTCACTGCCGCGCTCGAGGCCACGTCCTCGCCGACAATCGTCTCCCTGTCGCGCCAGAACCTGCCGCAGTTCCCGGCCTATTCGAGCCGAGATGGTGTCCGGAGGGGCGCGTATGTGTTTGTCGAGGAGGTTGGGGCGGATGTCACGCTGCTTGGCGTGGGGTCCGAGATGGGGTTTGTGGTGCAGGCGAGGGAGGTGCTGCGGAGGGAGGTTGGGCTGCGGGTTAGGGTGGTTAGCTTTCCCTGCCAGAGGCTGTTTGAGGCACAGTCGCCTGAGTATAGGAGAGCGGTGTTGGGTGATGCGCTGCGCGTGGTGGTGGAAGCGTATGCGGTTAATGGGTGGGAGAGGTATGCTGATGCGGGGTACTCGATGAAGAGCTTTGGGCACTCGCTGCCTGGGAAGGCGGCTTATGAGTACTTTGGGTTTGATGGGGAGGTTATTGCTCGTCGGGTTGCTGGGTTGGTGGAGGAGGTTAGGGAGAAGGGGGTGGCGATTTTGAGAGGGGACTTTAGGGACTTGAATGTGGTGAAGCACTAGGGAGAGATCGGGTGAGGAGACTTGATACTAGGTAGGTAATTAGAATATACAGAGTTTGCGTTTCTCATGTAATTAAAGAAATCCGTCGCATCAACCATGCTCATGGTCACTAATCACTCAGCTCGCCCCAAAACTCCTTCAGATCATCAGCCCTCCACTCAGCAGCCCAACCACTCTCCCTCTGAATCTTGGAAAGCACCTCGAGAATCGCTCTATGCTCCGACGGATGGCTCATACATCGCCCGGCAATCCACAAGGGCTGTATGCTGTTCGTCCACGCGCCATGGTGGTGGTTCGTAATCGAGATGCCGCAAACCCGCCTCGCGTGCCACAGGATCGACTTCGGGCGTGGCGTCAGGCGCAGCGATACCGGCATGTTCTGCAACATCAGGATCGACCCCGTGTGGTACAGCTGGTTGCCCGAGATGGCGGCCGGGTTGCTGTACAGGATCGTGGGGAAGGGGCTGGAGTCGGACGACGGGATGGACATAACGTTGTGCATCTCCGGAGGTCGCCGGTCGTGCCAGTCTTGGAGATGGCGCCAGAGCTTCAGCCAACGCGTCTTGAACGGCTGGTCGGTCCGGGGCTCGATCCCGACCGTGACCCCGTGCGGGGCGTTGACTGAGGGGGCCAGGAGGTCGAGCACCTGCGCGACGAGATACACGACGTGGTTGGCGCACATGTCGAACCCCTTGGTCGACCGTAACAGCCCCACGTCGGCGTCGAGGTCGATCTTGGTGGCCCAGCTGCCCACGGGAATCAGCGTCTTGACCGAGGATATCAGGCCGCCGCACACGTCCATCCGGGCAAAGCACCAGAACAGTGCCTGCTCCACCCCGCCGACGAACCCGTTGATGCCCACTGCCTGCATGAGGCTCGCGCACCCGTCGAGGTGCCGCCTCCACGCCTTAGGCGAGCAGCTGAGCATCTCGAGCACGCACAGGACGACGCACGACGCGATGACGGCTGTGGTGCGCGTGTGCAGCAGGGGGAGGAGCAGGTGGATTGCCTGCTGGTAGAGAGCCAGGCTTCGATCCGTCGGCAGGCTAGGGTCTTTTCTCTCCAGCTGCCGCGCCGACAGGGCCAGCATCGAGTACTTTAGGTGTTTGTTTGACCGGGCCATGGGAAGGAGGGAGTGTAAGAAGTGTCGCTGGCTGTCAAACTTGTCAACCCAGGGTGAAATCTCCTCGATCCAGTTCTTCCAGAGCAGGCACTCCTCCTCTTGAGACAGCGCGGGGGCTTCATTGTCGTCCGACAGGGATGCCGGCCACTCGGCGGCGCTGGGGGGTTCGGCCGAGTTGAGCGCGTCGACGTCGGCGGTCTCCCTTGGTGCTCGCCCTTGACTCTCTAGTGCAGGTGTTCCCGGCCGCGTCGGGCCGCTTGAGCGCACCTCGTGGATGAGGTGGTTCCTCAGGGTCGAGTGGAGCTCGTGGTACACCGACCCCGGCCGGAAAATGCCATCGTCGTAGGACCCTTCTGGCGATGGCAGTTGGTCGATGTAGCCCTGGATGCCCGGTGATGGGTGGATGTTATTATTGTTGGGAAAGGCCGTGGGCTGAGCGGGGCAGGAGACGGTGGTGGCTTGATTTTGATTACCTGGACTACCTCGGCTGAGAGACATCAGGGTGGCCACGGCGCTTTCGGTGGGAATACTAGGGGATGGTGACGACTGGAACTGCGGATGCGGTATGCTGCTAGACAGCCTGGCAGCAGCAGGCTTGGGAAGGTGTGCATGCGAAAACAGCGGTCCAGGAGCGGTTGCCGAGGATAGAGATGATCTCTCGGGCGATACATGGCCATATGCGAGTGATGCAGCATACTGGCTGTTTGACGGGGCATTGATGAGCGGCTCCGGGCTGGCTTCAAAGTAGTTGAAGGAGGTGTTGGACGGCGATGGTTGATGGTAGCTTCGAGACACCTCGTCGGTCACATCCGTGATCTCGTAGGACCGCGGCCGTTTCCTGGAACCTCTTGTCATGGACCGATGGTCCCTGACGATGGAAAACGCGTTCTCGTCCCGGAAGGTGACCTTGATTCCCCACTCGCAGGTCTCGTTGCGGCGAGAGCAAGCCACGCAAGCCGGGCGGCCTTCATCGCACTTCCGCTTCCGCTTCCGACAGTTGAGACAGCCGGTCCGAGACCTCGTGTTTTTCTTCGGCGGCAAGTGGGCCGAATGGGGGCTGCCAGCCGCCGAGGAACCCCGGTCCGAGTCCTCGGCCATTAATGGAGACGGCGGCAGGGACTTGGCGATGATGTAAGATGGGAAACCGGGGGGGGGAGGAGTCAGTCCGGGGATGTTGACGGGTCGTGCCACTGGTGAAGCTGGGGTGCTTCCTGTTCTGTCTTGATTCGGGGAGATTGCTTTTGCGCAACCCCCTTCCTCGATGGGCGGCGCAAAGGGCCGGATCGCTTCCGCCAGAAATGCGGTGGGGCCAGCTCGACGTAATGGCCTGACTCTTTCAAGGGGGATGGAGTAGAACTAGCGCCTCCCTAGTAACGGCAACGGCGCCGGCATGTTGATGACGCTTGCGCTTGGGATTTCCGGTTTCGGCCTCGGTCAATTTTTTTACAGTGGCGACATTATCCCTGTCGAGTGTTGCCGAAGGCGAATGCCGGTGCCAAGCTTCGCACTAGCGCCCTTCGGCGACGCCTTGAAGACGCCTGAACAAAAATCGGGGCATCCGGCGCTTCCAACTGCCTCTTTCCAACCTAGTCATTGTTTCCCCATGACAAGGTGTGCCAGGATATTCAGGGCCTTCCCTCCGGACGGGGTCCCCGCAAGTCGGAAGTGGAAGGAATTTTTTCCCACTATTGGAATCTGGGGAGTCTGTTATAGTTTGAACCGTCATGGAAACGGGAGAGCCCGAAAATGTATTTAGAATCCCACATCGCCCAGCTTGAAATGGAACCAGCTTGATCGGCAGACCACCTTTTTTCTTTCTCATCGTCGACAAATCCGCGTGTACTTGTCCACCATGACGTATCTCGTGGGTCGTTCCTTGAACTGGGCCATCACGGCCACCGCCGGATCGGGCTTCCTCCTCTTCGGTTATGACCAGGGCGTCATGTCCGGTCTGCTGACCGGCGATGCCTTCACGAAAAACTTCCCCGAGATCGACACCACCGAAGGCGGCACGGGAAGTTCCTCGCTCCAGGGGACAGTCGTTGCAATCTACGAAATCGGCTGCTTCTTCGGTGCCCTCATCTGCTTCTTCGCCGGCGAACGTCTCGGCCGGCGGAGGTCTATCTTGATTGGCTGCGTCATCCTGAGCATCGGGGCTGCCCTCCAGGCCAGCGCATACGGTATCCCGCAGATGATTGTCGGCCGCATTGTCGCCGGTCTGGGTAATGGCATGAACACTGGCACTATTCGTAAGTAGTCAAACCCCAGAGGAGCAACGGACGAACTGGCTCGTTTGGCTAACCAACCCGTCTCTGTCGATTAGCTGTGTGGCACTCGGAACTCATGCACGCGCACAATCGAGGCCGCGGTCTTGCCATCGAGCTCGCCATCAACATCTTCGGTGTCATGCTCTCGTACTGGGTCGACTACGGCATGAGCTACGTCTCCAACGAATCACAGTTCCGCTTCCCGCTCGCGCTTCAGATCCTCTTCGCCATGGTCACCTTCCTGGGCATCATGTTCCTCCCAGAGTCTCCAAGATGGCTTGTCGCCCACGACCGCCATGACGAGGCCCGGCAGATCCTCTGGGCTGTCAGTAAGGACGCGAAGGAGATCGAAGTTACCGACCCAAAGGTTACTCGAACCCTAGATGAGATTTCCTACGCGGTAAAGGTAGAGCGCGAGGCCGCTGCTGGTGGAAGTTTCCGGGCCATGTTCCAGAATGGAGAACAAAAGTTCTTTTATCGAACCATGCTCGGTATTGGTGGCCAGTTCATGCAACAGCTATCGGGTATCAACTTGATCACCTATGTGAGTGCTTCTTCTCCGGATTAATGTCACCTTCCTACTCTCATCCTCGGCACACGATACTGACCAGGCTCGCCAAACAGTACGCCCCTGTCATCTTCCAAGATTCAGTGGGCATGTCTCATCGGCTGTCTCTCCTGCTTGCCGGGTTCAACGGGATTGCCTACTTCTTCTCCTCTCTAATCCCCATATGGATCATTGATCGACTCGGCCGGAGGAAGCTCATGCTCTTCGCTGCTGCCGGGCAGTGCGTTTGCATGGCCGTGCTCGCGGGGACTGTCTCCAACGGCAGCCAACCTGCAGGCGTGGTCGCCATCGTCATGCTCTTCCTCTTTAATTTCTTCTTCGCTGTGGGATTGCTGGCGATTCCCTGGCTATGTAAGCTGACCGCCTCTTTCCTCCCCCAATCCCAACCCTCACTAACGGCCCATCCCAATAGTGCCCGCCGAATATGCGCCCCTTGCCATCCGCACGCGAGCCGCGGCTCTTGCTACTGCCTCCAACTGGATCTTCACCTTCCTCGTTGTCGAGATCACCCCCGTCAGCATCCACAACATCGGATGGAAGACCTACATCTACTTCAGCGTCTTCAACTTCTTCTTCCTGCCCCTGATCTACTTCTTCTACCCGGAGACACAGAACCTCAGCCTGGAGCAGATCGATAAGCTCTTCACGGGCGCCAAGATCAAGCTCCACTGGGAGGCGAGTATGGGGGTCCCGGGCGAGGTGCAATCGGCGTCGGATAAGGACTCGGAGACCGAGATTGGTACCGTTGAGAATCCTGAGGCAGATGGAAAGGAGCGTTTCCAATCGTAGGAAGATTTCATGAGGTCGGCCGCATAGCATAGCTACGACACCACTCACTCTGTAACTAGTAGTGTAATAATGAGACAACGCACTTAACAATGTTTTCCTTTCCTCTTGCATTTCGATGCATGCCCAGCTGTCTTACACATCGTCATAGTAGGCGCTGGATGACAGGGTTCACCACCCGCCACTTACTCCTTAGCGTTTCTCTCTAGCCGATCCCATCTTCGATGAGCTAGCCAACGGTCATGGAATCACTGACGGGAGAATACGAAGAGGAATTCCCGACAGCAGTGTCAGTCTCACGCAACGGATTGTTAACTGAATCGCCGCTGCGATTCGCCGTTGACCCAGTAAGCACACCCTTGGGGATAGTGAGTCAGGGAAAACAGCCCGGCTCCTGGATTTAGAAGAGAATCGCATTTCATTTATGTCATCAAATGGACAGTACAGCAACAATGCTGAAATCCTGTTTCTGAGACTTCACGATTAACTCCCCGGTTTCATCTAGCTTGCAAGCTTTGCAGGCTAGGTCTAGGCCATTGCCCTTCAGCAAGTGAATACCAATCAGAAGCTACTGATTGATGCCTATAAAGACGCATCGGTGGTGCCTTATGTCTGTCCATAACATTACCGTTTCTATGGATATGGACCACTGCTTAATACAACACAGCGTTGTCTAGCATCCAATATAGCCATCGCACACAACATAACCAAACCCCAACGTACATCCCGACCATCTACGTAACTCAAGATGGGCACCTCGGGCAGCAAGACGAAACTCAGCGAGGAGGAGGCTAAGAAGGAGAGGGAGGCTAACGAGGCCAAAAAAGCCGCCAAGGAGGAAAAGAAGAAGGAAAAGAAAAAGAATAAAGAGGCAAGGAAGGCATACAAGCAGGAGAGGAAGCTTACCACTGAGGAATTGGACGCTAGATTGACGGAGAGGGTGTTTGAGAACACACCAGACCCTCGCCTCCCGCTTGTCGACCAGTTTCGATTCATGAAGGCAGTTTCCGAAAACCGACTACCGCCGAGTTCATCACCGAAATGAGCCGGGGTGTCCATGGCTTTTGATACCTCAGGGGTGAAGAAAAGGCCCCAGGAATATATTACGGCCGGCCTCTGTGTCTAACTTATCAGAATTTTGGTAGTCTACTTTCCGCACGTCATCAAGCTGCCGGCCCGTCATCTTGTTCTTGAGAAGGTCCGTCCTCTGCGTGCATGCCCCTTTTAACTTAAACTCCAGATTGCCTGCGCGTGCGAGGGGCCCATATTAATCCTCTTCAACCTGCGTTCGCCGATGGTTGTCAAGACTATAGCAAGCAAAGGGGCTTTTCTGCCGCAGCCTCTTGCTGAAACGGAAGAATATCCAAGGAGCAACGCAGAATACCGCCGAAATGCAAGCAAGGATAGTCCCCGCGATATTGGCATTGAGACCGCCGTACATCTCGAGGGCTATAAGTGGCATGAGCCCCGAGACAAGGGCCCGGACAAAGGCCAGGCCAGAGAACGCTGACGCGCTGTATAGGAGGTACGAGTCGGCGAGATAGCCGCTCATCGTGTATGCTATTTCGTTGACGGCGAATCCTATCGGTATCAAGGCTAGCGTGGGGACAACCCAGTGGGGGTTTGCCACGAAAGGGGGAATCGTCCAGGCGAACCATGCTAGTCCCATTGCCAGAGCTGGTGCCGCAAAGGCGAAGCCCATAATCTTATCCTCACTGGTTGGTTGGTCAGTAATTATCTGTGGAGCAATTATTACTTGGGAGGTATTGGGGACCTCACGGCTCAACATGTTCTTGTCTCCGTTGTCTTGCCCTAATAACCCTTTCATCCCAGAGTCGGGGCATAAAGGTGAATAGCACACCCACAACAATTCCCAGGAAGGACAGAGATGCTTGAGTCCGCATAAAGCCGATGGACATATAAACCGGGATGAGAAACTCCGTGAACAGGTAGATGAGTCCCCAGGATGTGGCAGACAGGATCGCAACCATGATGACCAAGGGCTCGGTGAGCAGAATGTGGACTGGTCGGATTACAACAAGGTCGACCATGGTCCTGAAATTCGGTGACGAGTCCGGGTTATGCCACTTCAAGTCGGTCAACCCGAAATTGGCGCGAAGCTTATGCATCTTGCGCCTCATCAACATGCTCGGCCTGCTCTCCTTGACTCCCAAGAGTGCCAGGAACATGACAGCTGTAACAATGGCGGCACTGTAGAACACCCATTTCCACGTGAACGAGGCCGAGATATAAGCCGCATAAATGGGGCCGAAGCAGAGTCCTGCTGTTGTCCCAGCGTTCCATAGTATGAGGATCCATACCCTGCGCTTCGTATTGAAGATGTCTTCAACACTGCCCGCGATGACGACGGATGGAACCGCTGACGCAAATCCTGTGACGAACCGGCCGATATAGGCAACTATCGGCGAGGGGACGAGTGGAATGAGGAGACAGAAGATGCTGAATGCAGCACAGGATACGAGATAGGGGATCCGTCGACCGACCAGTTCCGAGAGTGGCGGGATTAAGCATCCTCCGATTGCTTGGCCAAATTGGTACCTGAGAAAAGTGTAAGGTAAAAACTTGGTTGATGACTGGGGAAGCAGGTCAATTGATCGACCTACATAAATGTAAAGGCAATCAAAGCCTGTCGTCTGTCAAATCCATATTCTGGGCCGGCAATATTTGCAACCTCGGCCTAGTGCTCACGTCGTGTCAGCAGAAGCACCCACGTCGTTGAAGGAAAAGGAAAAGAGGTTCAAAGCGTTGGGACTCTGTAGGAACCCTCAGTCTCCTCAATTTCAGGGAGGTTAAACTGGTTTCGTCCTAGAGCAGGGGGTAATTATACCAGCCAATAACTTACTCCTGTCGTGCTTATGACCGTGCTGATCGAGAACTGGTCAGTTGGCATGCAGTAGCGAGCTCAGGAAGAGGCACTCACGTATAAAATTCGAAGAGAATGATGACAGTTGTGTCAAACGCTTTCCTCCGAGCAGACCAGTTTCGTGGGTGGTCTTTGCTATCGCTTGTCCAGTGAACGAGTCCATCAGGCCTCTTCTCAACCCCTAGCTCCAACAAAAGCTCTGCCTCACTGCAGTTTCCCCCATTAACAGGGCATTCGATAGCAGTCAACTTGTTGACGTTGACTTTGGTCTCCTTGCGCCGAGAGGTCGATGTGCTGTCTGCCATTGGAACCTCCATGTCAGATCACACCCGATTAGAGTACCAAACTGGGAAGAACATGAGGGCAAGTTCAGATTTGTCTCGAAGAATCGGTGGTCAGGTAAGACGAGCCATGGAATTCATTCCGCAGTTCCCATCGAGGCCTGAACCCTTTAATTCCAGCCTAGGCGACTATAAACCTTAATAGCAACAGGGCCGATTAAAAATGAGAAATACCTGCCCGTTTGAGGCAAAAGATTGAAGCTGGGCTGACGTGAGACGAGCCCGGGTGCTACATGCACATGGCTCATTGGACCAACTGCGAGACCTCAATCCTTGCCCGGTATATGAGATCGACATTGGGTAGTATTTAAGAGCCGTAATTAGCTTTTGGTGCTAGGATCCAAGTGGTTTTCAGAATAGCGCGAATCCTACGGTGCGGTGATGCCGTGACTGTCCCCCGGCAATGTCGACAGTGACAGTTTTCGCCCCTGAAGCTGATGCAACGTTGACGATGGTGAGAGGCGGGAGGGCTGAGATGCTGTCGATCTTTGACTCCACGAGTGGAACCCCCTAGCCCTAAGTGTAACCCCGTAGGGTTCACCTGGCCGGTAAGTTCATCTCCGACAATCCTGTGAGACGTGGCTAACATAAGGGGGGCTGAGCTGGATGACGGACACTTGGGTATGCGTTTAAAATACTCTTGGGTCTCTTGACCGATCATCACTCGAAACAGGCCGTGGTAAACCGCTGGATTTCTCATCATTCATTTGAAAGAACGCTGCTCGGCAAGGCGATGGCAGAAAACGGAAACCCACGAGCAATCGTTGGGACACAGGCTCACAGGCCTGGGAATATCCCATCAGAAGAGCCAACACCTCTGAATTGGGGACGCCCCGAGCAGACGGGAGCGGCATATGACTTTAGAAGTAATTAACATGGCATCCACCTCCTTCAAACAAAAAAGCAAGCGTCTTACCAACATCTCTTTCTCTCTAGGCGACGTCATAACAACACCATCCCAAGGCATGTTAACCGCCATCGCACGAACGACCCTCAACGACGACGTCTTCGAGGAAGACACCACAACCTCCTCCTTCGAGCGCGAGATAGCAACCCTATGCGGCCACGAGGCAGGCGCCTTCGTCCTCAGCGGCACCATGGCCAACCAGCTCGCCCTCCGCACCATTCTCCACCAGCCCCCGCACGGCATCCTCGCAGACGCGCAGTCGCACATCGTCCACTGGGAGGCCGGCGGCGTGGCGCATCTGTCTGGGGCTATGGTACAGGCTATCTGGCCGATTAACGGCTGCCACCTCACCTTAGCGGACGTCCAAAAACACGCCGTAATAACGGACGACGTGCATAAGTGCCCGACCCGCGTCGTCAGTATCGAGAATACCACGTCCGGGACGATAGTACCCCTGGCAGAGCTCCGACGTATCGGCACCTGGGCAAGGGGGAATGGCATCGCAGTCCACATGGACGGCGCCCGGCTGTGGGAGGCCGTGGCCGCGGGCGCGGGGACGATCCGTGGATTCTCGCGGTGTGTGGACGTGGTTACGCTGGACTTTAGTAAGAACCTGGGCGCGCCGATGGGGGCGATGGTGGTTGGGCCGGCGAGGTTGATCAGGAGATTGCGGAGGATTAGGAAGAGTGTCGGCGGGGGGATGCGTCAGGCGGGAGTCCTGGCTGCTGCGGCTAGGCAGGCTGTGGTGGAGAATTTTGGGCTCGGCCAGGTGGATTCTAGGGGGGTTTTGGGGAGGAGCCATGAGTTGGCGCGGAAGGTTGGACGGATGTGGACGGAGCGAGGAGGGAGGCTGTCGCGAGAAGTCGAGACGAATATGGTCTGGCTTGATTTGAGGCGTGCAGGTATTGACTCGACGGCCTGGAATGAAGCGGGAAAGAGACGAGGGATCAGACTTAATGGGGAAAGAGTCGTTCTCCATCACCAGGTTTGTGACTCGGCCATGGAGAAGCTCAAGGCCGTCATAGAGGAGGTGCTTGATGGCCGTGATTGTGAAACAAGACTCGGCTATGGTCCAGTTGTTTCAGTGCAGGAGGGTTTGATGAGGGCAAAGATTTAATTAATAAAATTGTGACTGCATTCAATACACTCACTTCTTAACAGCTAGCATCAGTTTGGAGAGTAAATGATACAAAACCAACCACATCTCTGACCCAGACAAATAACTATCACAGGGCTGGACCACAGCACTTAAAGTTGCTACCTCCAGGGCACCTATCTATGTTTGGGGAGTCGTATCGTCAGCACGGCTCCTTCAGACACCCTTTGCTGCTAAGAAAGTCTTACTTGACAACCAATACATGTCACAGGGCTGGTTTGTCCACTGGCAGATGGAGCAGCCATTCTCCCCGCATTCGGCACATGCCTCTTCCACGACACAACACTTGACATCGTCGTCGTCGTAGGGACATAGGCCGCTCTTGGATGTGCCACCATAGTGTTTGCAAGTCGACGTCTTCACGCAGATTCCAAAGTTGTTATACAGAGGATCGGAGCCCTTGACGCAGCGGCCATTCAAGGTAGCCACGGCCGCGAGAGGGAGGGTTAAGAGGATGGCGATGATCGACTTCATGGTGGAAGTGGGGGGAGAGGAACATTGGCAGTAGACTTACTAGGTGGAATTGAAGGGATTAGTTCACGATATAAATATCAGAATACTCCATGAGGATAGACGAGGGTGGCCCGGTTTTGTCCTGATGGTGTGTTGAATCGAGACCGCGACCACTTGAATGATATGATTTAAAGTACAGACATGCTAATGTTGCAAGCTGAAAACTTCAGTTTTTATTTGGCAACCCCCTTGTTGCAGAGTCTAGCCAATTAGGATAGATGATTTGATTCTGACGGTTCTAGACTCGGCGGCCGCTATTATTAGAGCGAGGCTTAGCTCGCAGCTCTTCTCGACGAGGTGGCCACCTGAAACGGTTGATTGGACTCCATTAAACCACTGTTGAACTGCAGATAGAACGTCTACAACTATATTGAGGACGAATATAGTTCGTTTGGCTGCTCAAATAATATTCTCTACGTCTGGTGCCACTTTGAAGAGGTGGCGGTTGGACTCTCAATCGCGCATTAACTTGTCCAACCCTGAATGCAAGTTAATATTTTGTGGCCGTAGTGCCCACTTGTCGCTGCGTCCCACACGTAAGAGCGGAGGAATAAGGGACCGCCCAGGTAGAGGACCTGTCCAACACCAACAAAAGACTGGTGCCCATGGTGCCCCCAAGGCAATCATCTAGGCATGGCGAGATTTGAGGTCACGCTTGACTCACGCTTGACTCAAATTTAACAACTTCCCTTCCGAGGGGAATCGTCGTGATTACTTTCCTTGTTCGGTAGGACACTCATGTAGGTATAAAGTCTACTCGTTTCCCCACCTGAAAAAAGAACTAGCTCGATAGCGTTGCAGGAATCTAAGTAACGAATCCACGGTCAGTTCTCGTGGGGTAAAGGGAGCTTGGGGTAATCACCCCAAGGGTTTAGCGTAGCCGCCCCTATCAAGACTTGATGTGGGCAACGGATCCTCATTTGGGCTATATTACTCGAGAGGAAAGAAAAGACGGGAAAACTGAGGGAGGGGGTTGTTGAGTACCCCCACTCCATCGTTCCGTCAGCTCTCCTTTAGGGGTCCCTAAGTTGGTCAACTGTTGGAGATCTCTGTGTAATTACTTGCTGCCACCTATAATGGTTTATATGCTTCTACTCGAACTCACACGAGAAACGCCCTCTGTGCGTCGTGTTTAAAAGGCTCCAGACTTGGCTGCTTAGCCGCCCGTGTTTCTACTCCGCACAAAGTAGAACAATCGCAGAAGCACTGTCGTACCTCCTGCCGGCAGTGGTCGAAGTGGGGGAATTCAAAATTGGAGAATTCGCGGCCGGCAATAGTGCCGTGTGGTTCCCCGCAAGAGCTGTCCACACAGGGTCGCGCGACAATGTCGAAGCCGGCCATAAGGAGGGACTTGGCTCTCAAATGCTTTAGGCTAAACCCAACGCCCGATGCAACAATGATGTAGAAAAGATTGTACAATACAGGGGCTGTTTTAGCCAGCGATGGGCCGGGCCAATCCTCCAACAAGAATTCGGAGGAATGTGACCCTGGTAAATAAAGTGGTTTTGAGAGAAGAGACCTACCGTGCTTGGCCTTCGGTATGGGATCAGCACAAAACTTGTGGGCCTAGGTCCATGATTGTGGTCAAGGGGTATAAGGAGGAGATGACCTGCTGAGGGAGGAGGAGCGGCACATCTTCTACCACGGTCTTGAATCTCCTCGTCTTAGTCCTCGGGGTCAACTCCAGAATTCCATACGCCATGGTCCAGTTCTCCCTCCTCGCAGCCCTGTCTCTGATCCCAGGCGTGCTTGCCGCGCCTGGAGAGATCCTTCCGTCTCGCAACGCCCAAAAAGAGACCAGCAATGAGATTGTGACCCGTCAGGGTGGTTACTACTTCCAAAACTGGTCTGAGAACGGCAGCAATATCAGATGCAACAACGGCGCGGGGGCTTCTTACACTGCGACTTGGAATAGCAAGGGAGGCTTCGTTTGTGGAAAGGGATATAATGTCGGAGGGTCGAGGTAAGTTTGAGTGCTTCCATGGGGTAAAGTATGCCGTGTAGGTTCTGATAAAATCTTTCCACACGCAGGACGATCAAGTATAGCGGAACATACAATGCCACTGGACCCGGTTACCTCGCTGTCTACGGCTGGACCAGGAACCCCTTGATTGAATACTACATCATCGAATCCCATGCCGACCTCGCGCCCAATGAGCCATGGACTTCCAAGGGGAACTTCACTTTTGACGAGGGCACATACGAGATATTCACAAGTACTCGTGTCAACAAGCCTTCGATCGAGGGCACGAGGACCTTCCAGCAGTACTGGTCTGTCCGCACAGAGAAGCGTGTCGGTGGGACAGTCACCACTGGAAGGCACTTTGACGAGTGGGCAAAGTATAATATGAAGCTGGGAAACCACGACTATGTTATCATGGCAACCGAGGGTTACACGGCCGACGGCGGGCCTGGGAGCAGCGGATCTTCTAGTATCACTCTGGGATAATGGGCGTCGCTTGGTGTTGCATCCATGCTGGAACTGCAGAGGTTGTTCCACCCTTTTATCGTGAGCGAAGGCATTTTTGTTTCGTCACATTTCGTGGATTTCGTTGGGAGATCAAACCATTCCATGTGCATAGGCGGGACCGCTGCAGTGGGCTAGCGATGAAGGGACGCGGAGTACTCGAGGATGCTGTGGACGCCTAGCTGCATGAGGTGAAACGAGAAATCCGATGGTCAGAATTCAACGCAGTAACAGTGCAGCAAAGTGCTGGTGTTGAGTCAGCGTCAACGCCAACACTCCTCAACCTACCTAGCATCAAGCGTGCACCCACCTGCAAACGCTTTTCATCTCAACCTAGGTAGTTTCGGATTGCAAGTCCGGGTCAGGTATTCAGTCCTGTTTGCCAGAGTCCAGAGTCATCCCGGCGTTTGAGCCCAATTCGGTTCAGGACATCTCTCTGTATTTTGGCATCAAGCGTGGTTTTGCCGCCGATAATTATCACATGTAATTAGTCGGTTTCTTGTCTTAGCTGAACAATTGATGTTTCAAACTCTGCGGCTGGGGCGCTTGCGGTGTAATTAATTAACTGTGATTATAATCCAATCGCCATCGTGGATGCCCTCTTGGGAATGGAAACTGTGGGTAGGAGAGGGCAGTCTTCTGAGCCCCTTAAAATCTCGCACTTGCCTTCTTACTTATGTTGCGATGCTTCAGGAACCAACAATTACTGGCCATCTTCATCAAATGTTTCAATAGCTGCACTCAATAGAGGCGTCGTTTGTCTTTGTGATTGCTCCCCGTTGCTCGCCATGAGCTTGCCTCAAATCTCCCTCGACCCGGCCACTGTAAAAGGTATTAGCTATTTGCCGCATGCGCACCCTACCCAGCAAGTCGACCAACCCTTCTAATCATATTCACTACTCCAGCTCTTCCGCGGGGAAGACTCGTCGTGTCTGTGGACAGCCATGGCAAGACGAATGGGGCAAAGGGTCTAAAGGTCGTGGCGGAGCTTGCCGGCGAGGAGAGGGTGTACTTCCTCAAGGTCAGAACGTATTCTCAGCACATTTCTCTGCAGCCTTGTCAAGTCTCTCGCGATACCGTGCCTTTAGAAGTTGTCTAACCGCCTCCCGATAGATCACCGAGGGGAAACAAGCCATCAATATGGCCGTTGGCGAGTTCGAGAGTCAAAAAGCCATGAAACAATGCATCCCAAACAACGCTGCAGTGACAGGTGGGAGGATTGGTTCCTCCGCCAGTTCCGCCTGAACATCCAGTGGGAGCAATATGTTCGCGGGCCGGACCCGGAGATGGAGCAGCTCGTTGCAGAATTCTCGACCAAGGTCATCCCGCGTCTGTTGCGGCCCCTTCAGACAGGCGGTAGGAACATCAAGCCAAGTCTGTGCCATGCCGATATCGAGCACGGCAATATCCATCTCGACCTTCAGACGCAGGAGCCCATCATCTTTGACCCGTGTTGCGTCTATGGGCACCATGAATGTCAGTTACCACCTTGTAATGATTTGGACTTGATTCACGTCTAACCACATAATATTAGTCGAGCTGGGCATGTTCCGTGGCCCCAATTATGGATGGGGTCGCGAGTTCATAGAGGAATACCTAAAGGAAATACCGCCATCCGAGCCATAGGACGACTTCGATGATCGGAACGCACTCTATGCATTGTGAGTTTGACAACGGGAAAATCTTATTCCAAATACTGAACCATCTGAGAGGGTTGTGTGTATTCCCAGAATGCAAACTGAGTTGCAATAGTATGGGTTGTTTGCTGACATGGCAGCAGGATTAAACAAGAAATGCGTCGACTACTAAGAAAGTACCCGATGGATTTCAGGGCTTAGAAGGAGGTGGTGCGGGCGAGAAGGACTTGATATAAATTTCGGTACAGTACATACAAGCTCCAACGAAGTTGATTCTAGAGTAAATAAATATTTTCCAAATAGCAAACCCCTCACTCACTTCCATGCCTTCGCCCAGAGAAGCCTCCCATGTGGTATAGATCAGCGTCTTCAGATCCACAATACTCGCGGTTTCCCGCTTTCTCCACCCGAGAGCCCGGATATTTTTCGTAGGCGATGGTGACTCTTCAACCCACGTCATTCCTGCCCTACAGCAGTAAGGAAAGAGTTCTCTCCTTTAGACTTCGCCTCGATTTTACCAACTACCTTTTCGTCTCGAGAAACTCTTCGCCATGGCGACTTTAATCGAGGACCAATTAAGCAGTAGAGACGATGCCTTCGAGCTGTCTAGCATCACCGCCAATCCAAGCAACTCTGCCGCCCTTGCTCCCCTGGCCCCACAAGTATCTCGGAATGCAGCTTCAACAAGAAGTAGCACCAAGAAGAAAATGTAAGTTTACTTTTTGTCAATCTATTCAAACCACTGGCTAATGGGAGCATCAGAATGTCTTCCCTTATCGTCCTGTCTGCTTTCATCTCCATGTTCACAAGCTGCGGCCTAAACTTCGCCTTTGGCGTCTACCAAGAACTGTACGAATCCATGTCCTCGTCGGGCGAGCCAGGGCCGTTTCGAAATGCCTCTCCCGCGCAGATTGATCTCATTGGCACCCTAGCAGTGTCTCTGATGTCTCTCGGAGCCCCGTTCGCGTCGGGTTGGTGTAAGAGTTACTCGCCTCGCACCATCACATTCGCTGGTGCCTTGATATTTGCCCTTGCCAACGTCTTGGCTTCATTTAGCCAGAAACTCTGGCAGTTCATCCTTACTCAAGGTACGTGCCTAATTTTTTCGACTCTTTAATTAGACATCACTACGTTATTTTCCCCAAATCGGCTGCTGATATTTTCCCTCTTTTCTGTTTTAAAAAGGTGTGCTTCTTGGAGTAGGCACATGTTTAACCTACATCCCCGCCGTCACCGTCACCCCGGGCTGGTTCGGAAAACACCGCGGCCTCGCGATAGGCATTCTTTCCTCCGGAACCGGCGTCGGCGGAGTTGCCTGGGCCCCCGTTCTCCGAGCATTGAACGACTCGATCGGATTCCGTAACACGCTCCGGCTAACCGGAGGCCTGTCGTTTCTCCTCCTGAGCTTCGCAGCAGCCATGCTAAAATGGGAGCCGTCCATTGAACGTCAGAACCGCCTCGAAATGCGGGATGCCCGTTCTCGCCTGCTCGTCCCTCTCATCGACTGGCGTGTTGCGCGGTCGAGGAAATTCGTGGCCCAGTGCACGTCGGCTGGGTTGCAAGCTGCTGCGTACTATGCTCCGGTGTACTTCTTCTCCTCGTATGCGCGGACTTTGGGCTATTCTGCTGCGACTGGAGCGACATTTATCTCGCTGTCTAACGCCTCGTCTGCGATTGGCAAGGTTGTCATCGGCTACCTCGCGGATCGGCTTGGTCGGCTGAATGTCCTCCTCTTTGCAACTTTCGTCAGTGCCGTCTCGGCATTGGGCCTGTGGCTACCTTCCACTCTGTCAGACGGTGATCGAGACGGAAGGAACCTCTTTATCGCCTTTTCAATCCTGTACGGTATCTTCGCGGGCGCTTATATCAGTCTGTTCCCGACAGCGCTTGTTGAACTATTCGGAGTCCAGCATTTCGCAAGTGTCAACGGCTTCTTGTATATGGTCAGGGGGTTTACTGCCTTGATTGGGACGCCTATCGCTGGGGCGCTGATACGAGGCAATGGGGGAGATGCAGAAGGACCACGCTTGAGTCAAGCGTATTTCAAGACGAGCATTCTGGTTGGCGCTCTGCTGGCAGGAACTACTGCAGCTGTGGCTTGGGTGAGGATTGAAGCTATCGGGAGCCTTTCGGGTGTACAGGAAGAGGATCAAAGGAGAAAATGGAGAGTTTAAGTGCTGAGGCTCAGGATACTCAACACGGGCATGTCCGCGATTTGCCTTGCAACCCGTGATTAAGCTCATCTTTAGGGTATGACAGCTCCCAGTTTAGATGAGCAACAGCTAATTCTCGTTCTGGTCATTAAAGAGCCGTCATTAAGATCCTTCCCTCCCACCTGAGAGGTTATGATTCACTCTCAAGTTCCATGTAGCCTGCATTCTTCAATGCCCCTTCTGGCCATCCAATCTGTGGATATCGGCTCGACACTGATACCACCTCCCACTATATAAATACCCATTAGTCCCTCTGTATCTCTCTTGAAGCCATAGTGATAGCCAAAACAGTACACATCCAGCTCTTACAGCCATCACATACAAACGACCCGCAACGGAATCACACACGATTCAGGATGGGCTCCTCTACTAGCGTGCCAAAACCGACCGCAGAAGATTCTGAAAAGGCTAAGAAGGCCAGGAAAGACCAGAAAGCGGCTAAGAAAGCGGCCAAGGAGGCCAAGAAACAGGAGCATAAGGAGTGGGTGGAGAGTAGAAATGAGCTTAATAGGGTTAGGAGGTTGTCGCCCGTGGACTGGGAGATCGAGATGAGCTACAACGCCTCCAGAAACTTACCACCCGATGATATGCCACTCGCCGAACAACTGAAATGGATGCGGGAGCAAAAGGAAAAGGGGTCATCATCGAAATAAGCCGGGTCCCCAATGATGTGTTGATACCACAGGCCGAAACATGGGTTAAGATATATACTAGCTCAAGGCAGTCGTAGGTACGCAAGGGGGGTGAGAGGATGGAAAGGATTGCTCTGCTCTTCAGTGGGGAGGAGGATGGGTTAGTTGGCCTCCACATTATGGCAAGAACTACCACACTGTAGCGACTTGGCAAAAAGGAAAGGGCAGGGTCAAAGTCAGTCAGTGGTAGGCCGAATGTGAGCAAAATGTCAACAAACTAGCACATGATTGTGCCTTCACTCAGGCACCCTCTCTCGGCTCGGCAGTATCCATCTTCCGGCTGGCCTCTTGGGTCCCGGCGGCCTGCTGAGAAAATCTCCTCTTTGCATCCCTGACCACCGCCTCCACCACCTCCAACCAGCGAGCATCGCGGTGATCTTCTAGCTTTGGGGTTTGCACCACAACTAAGCATCCCGACAACTAAGAACACCATCATTGACAAGTCAAATCTTCCCACAACACAATGGATTCTTCACGCCAATCCCGCCCGTCCACCTTTCGCGGCTTTCCACGCCCACGCCCACGTCCACGGATCTTTGTCCTCCAGGAAATCGAACCTCAGCCTATCAGCATGCTCTACCAATTCCTTAGAGGCCTTGGAAATTGTAAGCTTCATCCATAACCTTTCACTTTCTTTCTTTCGTTTCGTCAGGTTTTCTGGATATGTCACTAACCTGTCACTGCAACATCAGTTGTCTTCCCCGACGAAATGGCCGAGGCCGGAGGAGATCAGTCGACTGGGCAGCGTCTGGCACCCTATGATGCTGCCGATATGACCTCCCACCACTTCGTTATGCGGACCCCGGAGTTCGAGATTCGTGGAGATGACCTGCCCGCCCACGTCGTGGGCCGCGCGTTTGACGCGTCGCTGGGCGTGATGGACGCAAAGCGTCGCGAGATCAACTCGAGAGCGAATGGCAAGACTTACCTTCCGGTTCTCATCGTTGCCGGCGTCCTTGCCATCTGGCTCCTCGGCGGCCGGCAGATGGCCCAGGCTACCTTCATGCGCAACTAGGCCCCTGCTTCTTTACGTGAGTGGGCAACATCATCCTTCATGACTACTCAAGGTTGCTGACGTTGTGACGCTAGACGCAGCACTGGCGCCACGAGCACTACCAGTTTCACCAGCATCGCGCGAACCAGACTACATACAAGATGGACCTCTCCCGATTCGAATAAGGATACGAAACTCGAGCAGCTGAGGGTTGATGATGCGTGGGGGGGCTTGGTGTGGCGGACGTCGGTTGGAATTTTCCGCACATGGGAGCAACTGGCACAGGTGCCTTTAGCACGTAACAGACACAGTGACAGCATAATGAAACACTCTCATCGCTCTCATCGCTCTCATCGCTCTCATCTCTCTCGATTTTTGGGATTCAGGCACGCCAGGGTGTCTCTGTCATGACATTGAACGAGTAATCCATATCTTTTTTGCAATTACCTGGAACTGGCTCAAATAGGGGCCATGCGTGACCCTATAACCACCAGAGTAGAATTCTAACCCCGTAAGCCCTTTAACTCGCTTGCTCTCGTACCGTGATCTTCACTTTCATGCCTTGATGAACAGTCGTCCCAAAGCTAACCCATGTGAAGGGTTGTACAGGATCTAGCATGGCGAAGTCGAATCGACGAAATAGCTGATTGTCTTGGTTAGCCTGCGCCGTAAGACTATGAGAGGTTGGGAGGGAGGGGGTTACCTCGAAAATAGTCTTGTTGAGTTCAACATAAGCAAGTCGTTTCCCAAGACACTCCCAACGACTCCCAGAGGCAAAGACAAGACCCTGCACTGCTTCCATGGTCTTGAGCTGGGCTGGATCAGCATCGAGCCAGCGCTGCGGCTCAAACACATCTGCGTCCTGGCCGAAAACAGACTTGTCCTTCATCAATGCCCAGCCTGCCCATGCAACATGGGTCTTTGCGGGAACCTTGAAGCCGCACACCACGTCGTCTTGGTCGGACATGCGAGCCATCAACCCCATAACTGGTGGCCACATTCGAAGTCCCTCCTTGATCACGGCCTGAAGATAGGGCAGACTATTGGCCTGTCGGTCCGACACTATTATGTCGGATGACAGGCTCTTGGCGGCGGCATCAATCTCCGCCTGGAGTTTCCTGTAGACGACTGAGTTGCTGGACACGAAGAAGACAATGTTCCGCAGTGCCAATGCCGATGTGTCTGTCCCACCAACCATGTGGATCAAAGCCTCCGACTCCACCTCATGACGGTCCAAGCCAGAGTCTACAAATGACTGTAGAACATCGTTGCTTCGCTTCTTGTCAGGTCCGTAGCGTTGATCGACGTGGCTCTTAATGACGCCCAATAGACGACCGACACCGTGCTTATCAGTTGGCTTGGGCATGAAGGGTTTCATCAGGGGAGACGAGGTGATGTGAAGTAGGACGGGAAATAGAGCGCCAATCATCACTGCCCCTAGAAGAGCCTCGAATATCGCGATGACGCCCCAGATATCCTCGTCTGCGTCCAGGTAGCCAAAGGGCTTGCCAAACTCGATGGAGGAGATGATATCCTGGGTCAGGAACTGCATCGACTTGGACATATCCAGGGGACGCAGTTGGTCTCTTGTCGACAAGTACTTTTGCTCGATGAGCTTGATAAACTTCGCAATTTGCTCATCAACAAGCTGCTCTTGGTTTTCGATTCCCTTGCCCTGATATCCCGGCAACACATTGGCTCGCAGACGACCATGTTCCTTGTTGTTTCCCGAGGTGATGATGCTGTCCTTGGTGGGATCAAATCGCAAGCCATGGTACCAGGGAGAGCGGTAGTATCCAGAGTGCACGTTCCAGATGCGTCGAATCTCCACAGGGTCGTTTGTCACGACCCAGTCAGGACCGATCCTTACAAGGGGCCCTACGAGGTGTGAGTATAATTAAGGCTGCTTTGGGTTGACTTGTAGAAGACACCATACCGTATTGATTGCAGACATTCCCAAGGTCGAGGACCAGTTTCCCTGTGACTTGGCGTTTGACCAGCCAGATTTTACTCCATCCAGCAACCCGCGGTCCGGGAATATGACGGAGGCGCAGCCACGAGGCTATACTAGCCACCACAAGATACACGACTAGAGCGACGGCCCCGACAGCGAGCGACATGCCGGTCTTGAATACCATCGCGGCGTGGCAGCAGACCCTGAAAGCGTGCGGGTGTCCTTGGAAAGTTGGTTGGCGTGGTGCGGGGGCAAGTGGCTGCCTTTTAAGGCCAAAAACGGGAGAGCCCTTCTAGCCATCCCGGCTAGGCCATGCATGGATGCAGTTGGCTTTAGCCATCCTAGGCTAGGCCACCAACGTCTTCAGCTAGGTAGTCTAGTTGCGGGAACCAATAATTTGGTGTGTGACCGTAGCATTTAGCGAAGTCTCTCGCTCGCTGTCAAAGGGACCGTGACCAAGGCATCCACATCCATGTCATTTATCCAGAGCTTCGTCACAGTCGTGATTGAATTTACTTCCCAGACACACGCGAACAGATAATCGAATATACAACTAGGACACTCTCGGCTTGCCCCATCTCTATGCACGCACCTCGTCAGGCTCTGGCTTGCGACCGTAGACGACCGTCTGTCGGTACGAAGCGTGGGTGTTCTTGTCGCGCAGCTGCCGGCGCAGATGGGCAAGATAGACTTGAATTTCCTCCGGAGACCACCCCATCACAGCGTTCCACATATAGAGGACGTAGCCTGTTGTTGTTTTTTTCAGAACCATATAAACAGGCGTTTGTTTGGTTAGAAACGTACCTTCGGCATCTGACTCCAGCACCATTTTGGAGAACTGTCCCAATGTCTTCAACCTGGGATCGCTGGGCCAGGTACCGATTGGACACTAGAGTCTGCTCAGCAGGTTCCTAATTAACACCCAGGGTGGCATCAAAACGGACTTACCCTGTGTTCCCAGACCGTGATATCCACAAACCCGGCCTCCTCCATGCACTTCCTCTGGATCTCGTCCTCCACAACCCTAAACGTCCGCCCAAACTTCTCACCCCCGGCCCAAAACACCTGGCCCCACTGATCCATCGGGCTGCCGGGCGCGACAGACCCGTCGTCGGACAGCATGTTGATGGAATTCTCAAAGTCCTCGAACCAGCCCCCCGGCTTGCAGCAGCGGAACGCCTCCCTGTACAGGGCGGACCAGTCCACGATGGAGCCAAAGAGGCAGCGCACGTGGACGTAGTCGAAGGTGTTGTCGGCCCATGTCCATGGTAGGTTTGCGTCGTCTAGCTCGAATTTCACGCCCGGCGGGACCCAGGGGGGTTGGATGGGCGAGACGTCGGTGCCAATTACTTCGGCGTTGGGGAACTTGTCGGCAAAGTCACTGGGAAGAGGTTAGCTGGTTGGTTGACGAGGGAAGAACACGGGGAAAAGATACATAGCCCATATCCCTAGAAGATTTCAGCATCATGAGTCTACCTGGACTTTCACGGTTCACTCGAGGGTGATTGGTTTACCTGTACCAGTGCCTATGTCGACCACTTTCTGTGAGGTTGTAAGCAAGCTGTTGTGGAACATTACCAGAGAAGGGCTTGTCACACCTGAATTTTCTCGGGTTGAAGAGGCGCGAGGAACAGCTTATCCTCCAAGGCCAGGGTGCACATGTGATGACTGCACGGAAACTCAGCAACAAGCTTCCCTTAGGTCCCGACTCTCAATAGTCCTCACTGGATATCCATGGAATCCTGCTGTTGTTCGTCGTTGGGGATCCTGTGTGCTTCTTGTCAGCAATGAGATGAGAGGGAAAATTCAGTAGCAGATAGCTTCGTACCAAGACTCGGCTTTCCCCATGTCGCTATGGAATGTGCGTCCGTGAAGAGTGCGATACTCCAGCACGCTCGCAGAAAGAGATGCTGTACTGCTAGCGGCCTCTCCATAGGCAGAGTCGTCGTCGCCGTCGTCTTGCGGCTCTTCAGGTAACTGGAGTCGTAGAATAGAACAGTTTAGCTCGGAGCCGTTTGTACATGATATCTGTAAGAAAAATCGCGTTGTCATACAGGGACTTGAGCCCAGTGGGATGCCGGGAGGATTTCGCTCTGTGGTTCATTCGCGGGCCTCGGGGGCGACTGTGTTTCGGTCGCAAGTTCCGTAGGTGTCTCTGGCTCCCTTGCGGGATTCGGAGGTGATTGTTGGTCGGTCACAGGTTCCGGCGCCGGCTGCGGTTCCGTCGCCGGTTCCGGAGGCGTCGCAGTAGCTGGTGCGCCAGCGGGCGCATTGTTAGAGTCAACCATAGCTTCGCTGGTCTTCGGTTTTGTTCAAAAGACGAAGGATGCATTTCTTCCTCGTCTGGGTGCGAGAACACCTAAATAGCGGGGCTTGTTGCAAGACAGAGCCTGGTAGGGATGACGAGGGCGGCTTCGGATGCGGGGCTGACTCTCCGCGTGCCGGATGCATTACACTAGGCAGGATTGTCCAATCAGTCTACAGCACTTTGCAGTAGTGTATCTGCAACAGCTCACACTATAATGTGGCCCCCGCGTCGCTGTCCAAGCGAGCGGAATGTGAGAAGTGACAAGCTCAGAGGTATTATGTATAAAGATGTGTCAGGTGGACCATTCAGCTGGGTGGCTTGAAGGAACGTGCCCAAACTAAGGACAAGGCCTCAAGCTGCTTCTCCGGTCAAGTTGACGAGGCAATGGCCAAATGTGGTATGAAGTGGCGCATCGTGAACCAATTGTGGCGTTCCGGGAGAGTATCATGAGCTTCTCGGTCAGGCCCTGGATGTCTATGCGTTGTGTCCTCACCTTGTCACCTCTGGTCATGCAACGCCTTGGGCATAGCGAGCTGACAAGTTGCCTCTTGTTATACTTGCACTTCCACAATTCATTCTAGCTCTTTGGGAATATCGTTCGCTGTTCTAACGTTGTGCAGGTACTCAGTCTTAGTCTTGAGTAGGACAAGCTCGGAAATCCACTCAGGCTACAACACCGAACACACGAAGAAATCAATTTTGTAGTAACAGAAAATTGAGTTAAGGGAAGGAGAACCCAAGCATGTTGGGCATGGGTTCCAGAAAAGCATCCCTTACTGAGGTCAACACCCAAAGAATCCGTTCACCGCCTTTCAACCTACTGTGGACATGGGCTATATTTCTGCCAGCAGAACCGCTGTAATTTGGAAGGCGGTGAGCGACCTCTGTAAATGCCTTCCAATTTACTTCGTCTTACAATTTCAGGTCTACCTAGTGTGGGGCCAGGCATTCCCCTTGGTCCCCGTTTGCTTCTTTCTTCTGAGCTCACTGCCCTCTCCGACTTTGCAATTGCGAACCACCCCGGAGATGGGCGAAAACGCAACCATGGCCGTCGATCTCGCCGAGGAGATTGCTCAGAAGACATCATCTCTCATCCAATCCAGCAACCATCGAGATCTCCTCGACATCGTCGATCCACTTCGATCTCACGGCGTCAGCCACTATGTCGATCTCCCCCAGATCATTGTGTGCGGCAGCCAGTCCTGCGGCAAGAGTTCCACTCTCGCGTGCCGCCGATAAGAACCAGTCGGATGACGATGCTGCCTTGGTACAAGAACTTGTCATCTCATACATGCATCAGCGTCGAAGCATCATCCTGGCCGTGGTCACGGCAGACAATCCGTTCGCGAACCAGCCCGTCACCAAGTTCGCCCGAGATATCTACCCGTCGGGGAAGAGAACGCTTGGACTCATCACGAAGCCAGACAAGATCGACCGGGGCTCCGAGAGCGAGCGCTACTATGTGGAGCTGGCGCAGAACCAGAAAGTGAAACTCACTCTTGGGTGGCATGTGCTACGCAACAGCAGCCACGCTACCGCCGACGACACAGCGGAGGAACGAGATGAGAGAGAGGCCTCGTTCTTCGAGGGCTCTGTTTGGGGCAATTCACTTGAACCTACGCAGCTTGGTGTGAAGCCACTGAGAGGCCGATTGCGCAATATTCTCTGGCATCAAATCAAAGAGGGACTTCCCGGGGTGAAGTCTGACGTTCAGTCCGGTATCAAGTCCTGCGAAAACCGGCTGCAGCAGCTTGGCAAGCCACGCGCCACGAAGAGGGAGAAGCACACCTACCTCCAGCGAATCAGCAGCCGTCTTTCCACGCTCGTCCGGGCAGCCATCGACGGGGCGTACGTCGATCATTTCTTGGAGCCTCCGCCTCATCAGGACACCGCGCTCGAGAGACGGCTGCGGGCAAAAGTACAAATGGTTCTGCCGCCTACGCCAAGAAAATGCGCACCGATGGCCATGCTTTGGAGATTGTGGAGCATGGCATGGAACCGGTACGGCGCTCGCATTCTGGATACGTCAAGAGAGACGTGTACTTGAAGGAAGTCAAAGAGCGAATGATCGAGTGCCGGGAGCGAGAGCTGCCGGGAACCTTCAACCCGCACGTTGCTGGCGACTTGTTCAGCCAGCAGTGCAAGCCTTGGGAGGCCATCACCCAACACTTGGTCGAGGAGATACACGGAGCTGCCGCAAAAACCTTCAATAGGATGGTATCCGAGATTTGCGACCAGAAACTCCTGTCTCGCCTGATGAAGGGGCATATACAACCCGCGTTACATCTCCTGAGGAAGGACCTAAAAGCCAAGGTCAGCGAGTTCCTGGAGCCGCACTTGTCGATCCACCCGATCACGTCCAACAGATCCAGTTAGACCGACACAACCGGAAGTTTGATAGACTTGTCAGGAAGGCCTATGGCTTTACCTCAGAGAGCGAAGCAAGATATCTGAGGCCGATATGGTAGAGGTTCTTCGGCAGTTCAAAATAGGGACCCAGCCAGATATCGAGGAGTACTCTGCCTCTATTACAGCCGATGTAGCTGCGGCTTATTATACGGTAAGCCACTCATGATATCCAACTAAGTTATGGGGGGTCGTGAAACTTACTGAGTCCACCCAAGGTTGCCCTGAAGAAATTCATCGACGATGTCAGCGTCAACACGGTCGAGACGTGCCTCATCCAACTTCTGCCCGATGTGTAAGTCAAGACTTTTTGTTTAAAAAAAAAAAAAAAACCACATTTGTCATTGAGCTAATCATAACCTCCAACACAGGTTCTCTCCCGATGTGGTGTGGGATCTGTCCGATGAACTCGTTGAGCTTCTGGGGTCGGAGGACGAGACTACCGTCAAGGAGCGCATCGACCTGACCAAGAAACTGATGACTCTCGAGAAGGGCTTGCAGGATCTGGATGCTTTTACTGTACGGCATGGTGCAAACGCGGTGAATGCACTCCAGTAAGCAAGCTGTGAGCCATGGGGGGTAGGAACAGCGCGTGAGGATCTTGCCTGGGAGAAGGCAGAAGAAGCATGCACTTGGGCTATCTTGTCTATGTACTCAGTCTTGAGGCACACGAAGATAAAGTGAGTGCGAAGCCCGGTCTATGGTGTAATTAACTGTAGAGCAGCCAGAATTAGATTCGAACCCCATCATCCTATTCAGATCATTTTTCCAGCCTGGTCTTGATCCGCCAGGTAAACTGCTAGTCCTTTTGTATTGTATTATTTGTTTTCTTGCCATAATTCTAGGATCGTTCTTGGCCCTCTACACAGCCTCAATCTCGCGAACTTGCTTGTAGGATCATGCACGCCACCCCCACCCGACAAGAGCAAGGGCAGTTTAATTTACTTATTTTCAGTGACTCATCTGGTGCCCATTTCTACTTATTATGGCGCGACTTCCCTCAAAGGACCGTCAGTCGAGAAATCGATAATTGCCGAGCCCACAAAATATTCCCAACAACAAAATGGAGCAGACTTCTGAGCTAGAGAATAATTTTCAAGCCCTCGAACTCGCAGGCACGCCGCTGAAGAGTCAGGAGTGTGGGTTGCTAGGTCTCCCACTCGATTGCCTGAGGTTAATATTTGACCTTTGCATCGAGTACGACGAGTCTAGCCACACAAACCTGCAGGATGCCACACGTATCCGACTCGTCTGTCGTTAGTTGAAACGAACCTGATCACGCAATTGACACTTTCAAATGCCCTACAGCTGACCTCGTTTAGATATCTTCGACTTTGAGGTCATGCGAACTATTTGCACTACCCGACTTCTTCAAAAGATGAAGCAAAACCCAGAAGTTGGGTCTCTCAGGGAATGCGCCGCAAAAGGGAGAGATTTTTACTGTTGCCTGCCACCATTCACAGGGAGTAGCGCGGCATTCTTGGCCCGCTACCTCTTCTCCCAATACCACATCTCCAAACCCGCAGATTCCCTCCCTTGGAACGCCAATCTATCGACTGCGGTCAACGCGGTTGTGAACGAAGTCATGCAGAAAGACGGGGTCGATCCTGGCGGGCCAGAGAGGTACAATTATTTTCGTACTATCTGCGAGAGGGCCTTGCATCTATTTGAACCGGAGCCAGCCAGACCTTGCGTGATCTGGGACCTCTTCAATGACCACAACCAATCCCTCTTGTTTCCCATGGAGCATAAAATCCAGGTTGGCAAACTGGAAACCCTCGTTCTCCTCGCCCAGGTATATCTCGGAAAGCCAGACGTCGTGGGAAAGATTCGCTCCATGATACTTGACAGGGGCCCGAGGAAGGTCTCAACCTTCCGGAAGTCCATCAAAGGCCCGGAGCTGCACCGTAAGGCACCGCTCTTTGGCTCTTTTCTTGAAGCCGCTATCCGAACGCACAACCACAACCTCGCCGTGCTTCTCGTCAGATACGAGGTAGACATCTCGGAGATTACAAAGGCCCGAGGCACGGCAAAGGAGAAGAAGAAAAGGCAGTACGACTGGCACTTTTTGGAAATAGCCACGGCAGTGGGGGACGAAGAGATGGTCCAGATCTTGCTGGAGACGAGACCCAAACCCGCAACCCAACTCTGGCCAATGATCCGCCTGGCAGTTTGCGCCGAGTTCCCCGACGTGGCCAGGGTGCTGATGGACTACCTTCGCAAACACGGCTTTCCCGGCATGAAGGGAAAGAGGGAGGAAGACCTCTGGGCCTGGGACATCGACCCCCACGACGAGGACGGCGACTGGGACGAACATCCCAGACCCAAGTGGCTCACGTCGAATGCGGCACTCATGGAGGCCTGCCGCCATGGAAATCTCGAGTGTGTCCGGGTGATGCTGGATTCGCCCTATACCCTGATCCACCCGGCCTTTCTGCAGAAGTGGTGGTCGAGAGGGTTGACGTGGAATGGGGTGTCCCCAGTGGACATCGCAATCGGACGAGGAGATGAAGCCATGCTGCGTCTCCTGATCGCCCGCGGCGCAAATCCGTATGGTCTGGGTCAGTGCAAGACGGCCAGACACGGGACGGTGTTGAGATTCGCGGACCGCCTGGTCAAATCCATGGTACCAGCTGCTGAGATGGCGAATGTCGGTATTGCGCGAGTCCTGGTCGAGGCTGGCTGGGAATGCTGTGTTCATCTGTGGATGGTGGTCCTCCACAAGGCCATGCTGGCGAGAACAACCCTGGCCGACACTCTTGACCGTGTCTCCCCTGAGAAGCGAGAAGACACAATGCGCGAGTGGCGCAGGAGGGACGTCGAGTTCTGGCGGTATCTCGTCCATGTTGGAGCTGTCGACCTTACTGCCGTTCTTAAGGGGTGCGATTCGGCTAAGGATACGGCTGCGCTTGGCATAGACAAGGTAGGGTCTGTGAGGTCTTTTATCCTCGATGAGTTTCCGCCGCAGGAGAAGGCTCCTTCTGAGGTGATCCATAGCTATGCAGGGGAAAGGGATGGGTAGGTTAGATATTGTTCAAGAGTAACACCCTATGTGTGTTGGATTATCCCAGTTTGTATTTTCTAATTACTTCCCTTCTGTCCTCTCACTATGTCCGCCGCAAGGGATGTAGCAACCTCATGCTGCTACGGTGCAGGTTGTCACAGTTGCCTGCCTTGTCTTCCTCATATGAGAGTACACCGACAGCATTGGCACCAACGAGATTGAGAAGCTCAGTGCTAGGTAGCTAGTCAATTACTGCGTACACCGTAAAATCCCGAGGTCTTGTTGTAGAAGTGACAAGTCACATTGGCTTATCTACACCCTCAAGTTTACGTAGCAATTATTTGATAATCGGCCCAGAATGCACGGCTATCAGGTAAGGACTGCAGATAGGCAAATCGGAAGAGACCCAAGACCTTTTCCCTGCATTGCTGGGGAGATGCAGGCAGGCTGCAGACCTGAATAAGGGGAGTGCCCCGACGGGGGTCACATTGACGGACAGGGTTAAAACCATGCAACCTCCCTGGGAATCTCGTCTCCCCTCTCCTCGTCAAGTTCTGGATAACTTTTATTTGCCAAAAAAGAAGAGAAAAGAAAATTCCAAAATGGCCACCAGTGGAAGCGCCGCGCAGGAGGGTTCTGGGTCGTCGGTCACTGCCGACCCAGTAACTGGCATCGTCCCAGGACAGTACTGGCTGCAAACAGCCCAGGTCAGATCTTGGCGTGAATATGTGTGTTTGTGTTTGTTGAATCGGCTGACAATCTTCAGAATATTGCTTACGACGGCGACCAAGACTCTGCACTTGGTAGCGATGGCAATGCCGAGTCAACCGCGTCCATCGCGTCCAGCATCCTGGAGTACCGGACGATCCAAGGAAGAACGTATCATAGCGAGAGGGGCAATGCCAGGTACTGGTGAGTTATATGTTAACAGCTGGCTCACAACCAAGTCCAAAGACCTGACCTGTAGGGGAGGGGATTGAACGATGACCAGCAGAACGAATCGATGGATATCAAGTAAGGCGACGCTTCGTGTGGATGATGGAGACTCTGTTGACATGCGATATTAGCCACCATTCCCTCACCCTCGCCTTGGATAACAAGCTCTAATTGGCTCCCCTGAAGAAGGACATCGAGGTTCGAAAATCCAGCTCTTGCAACACGGGACTGAATGACTTGGACTAACGTATCGGGTAGAAAGCAATCGACATCGGGACTGGGACAGGTTTGATGGCTCTGCCAGTATGAACTCTACGTTACGACTGACAAAAGGACTCACAGGCCTTTGGGCAATGTAATGTGCTGTCCTTTCCACCCAAGCAAGCCCGGGACTTATCAGTGACACAGCGACTTTGCCGACCAATTCCCCAACACTGCGGTGATCGGGACAGACATCTCTCCGATTCAACCTTCGTGGGTCCCGCCAAACTTGAGATTGTAAGTTGTTTGTGAAATATTAAAAACCTATCAAAATTATCCCAGGTCAAGCTTACGATACACTCTTCCTGTAGCGAGATCGAAGACTGCACGATAGTGTGGACTTATCCGTCCGATTCCTTCGACTACGTGCATATCCGCTGGCTAAACGGGAGCATCGACGATTGGGGAATGGTGTTCAAAGAAGCTTACAGAATCTGCAAACCGGGTGGCTTTATCGAGAGCTTCGAGGGAGCGCCTTGTCTAGAGAGCGACGACGGCACAGTCAAAGACACGGATGCAGTTGGACAGTGGGGCAAGATCTTTGTCGAATACGGGCGACGATCCGGCCGGTCGTTTACCACTGTATCGAGTGGGATCCAGAAGAAGGCGATTCAAGAGGCTGGGTTTGTCGCCATCGAAGAGAAGGACATCAAGGTGAGCAGAGCAACAGCCCCTTGCCCGCTCCGTCTGACAATGGTGACTAACAGTGGCATAATTAATTCAGACCCCGATTGGAGACTGGTCTCAGGATCCGACTTTGAAGGACATAGGAAGGTAAATACCTATCTGTGTTGCAAACAAACCTTCCCCCCGCGGTCCCAAAAGGCATGCAAGTGGCAAGTGGCTCTAACAGCATCTCTCGACCCAAGATACGCACATTTGGCCCTGACGAAAGACGTCGAAGGATATCTGCTGCTCGCGACCAGCGAGCTGGGCTGGGCGAAGGAGGAAAGCTTGGTGTTTGCCGCTCAAATTCGGCGAGAACTCCGGTCTAAGAAGCACCACGTGTACTACCGACAGAAGATTGTCTGGGGCAAGAAACCGGAGGCGTCTTAATTAGCATGTGGCAAGATGGTTCTCTAGACTATCAGAGGAGCCGGTTATTGGGTCTGGGGGAGTGGGAGGTTTACTAAGGAATGGGTTCGGTTGAAATCTCAGGCAGCACCCGCGTCAGTATTTGGCGCCATGTTGACATGTCAGGTCTGCTTTTCTGTTGTCTGTCTGTGGAAAAGTTAAAATCTGGGAAATGGGTGGCCACGTGATCCATGACGTAGCACGTCCAACTTGCTCAGCTGGCCCTGCCTGAAATGAAAAGAAGTCCCAACTCACCGCCAACTCGCCGAGTGGCGTTGACTATCACAAGCCATTTCGTAGATCAGAATTAATCTGACGCTGAGCGTGCAATATTCTGTGGAATCTCGGCTCTGCCCGATACCATCGACGGCATTTATGGTTGGTTAATGGCGATGATCCAGCGCAGTGGCCCGCTGTGATTTGGCATCCTTTAGCTGCTTTCGTCCTAGCTAGCGCACAGATCTGCAGAGATCGCCGGATACAGGGCTCGCTGTCAAATTAGAGTTTTTGCATCCCGGTAGCGAGCTGAACTAGTGTGATACACGTGTACGACGGAGAGGAGAAACGAAAGGGGGAATCTACGAGACAAACTATGCTTGTCCGGGCATGTTGTGATCGACCACAGCCAGGGGCAGCTCTCGCCTATATATGAAGCCGTGAGTGTCGCTTTGCAACAGTATTTTGGTTGACTCACCTAGCATCTCGGATCAGATCATGTCGAGCGAAAAAAAGAAAATGGCACGCCTTCTTCAGTCCTCCCTCCTTCTCGCGGCCGTCCTTGCCGGCTTCAGCATCGCCGTAGACCCGGAGGAGATTTACGACGGCGGTTATGGGAACAGCACCAACTCCTCCATCCTCCTGAACATTGGCAACGGAGGTGCAGGCCAAAGTGGGCTGGTTAAAGGTGCGTGAGAAAACCGACGTGACGAGATTGCTGTTCGGTTGCTCTGACAATGTATGGGTTCCGAAATCGCAGAACTCGCCGACGCATTCATCAAGGACAGCGTGGCCAATGGCAGCGACCCCTTCCAGGTTGCCTGGTACAAGAGCGATACCACGGTGAGCATCCAGTATCTCAAGTCTGGGATTGTCGACGTGGGCATCACCTACAGTCCTGCCGCCGAGGAGATTGCCATCAACCAGGGTATCGCCAAATCCCCGAGCTACTACGCGTTCCGCGACCATTTCATAATCGTTGGGCCTCCATCCAATCCGGCAAACATCTCCAACTCGTCGGACATCTTGACCATATTCTCTACACTGCATGAGGCTGCCGAGGCGGCAACGTCGACCCCGCCTGTGAGATTCCTCAGCCGGTACGACAAGTCGGCGACAAACATCAAAGAATCAGATTTATGGATCAGCATTGGGCAGGTTCGTCGCCCCTTCTCTCTCTTAATTCCGTCTCCTACTCGCACCCCCCCGGTTCTCCGTCATGTATGCCACGCCACCGATTAACTTTTACCTCTCGATCAGGTGCCATGGGCAACAGCCTACTCCACCTGGTACCACCAGTACATCGCCTTCCCCATCCAGGCCCTGACGGCGGCAATCCTGCTAGACGAATACACCCTTACCGACAGGGGCACCTTCCTGTCGCTGCCCGCCAACATGTCGAGTCAGACCACCATCTACAAGGCATCCACCGACGACGCCGACGACCCGCTGCTGAACCCCGCCCACCTCTTGGTTGGCGAGAAGGCCCCGAACCCTGAAACGGCTAAGACGTTCGCCGAATGGCTGGTGAGCAAGCGCGGACAAGACGTCATCACCGGCTTCAAGAAGAACGGTCAGCAGCTGTACAGCGGTGCCCCAATAGACTCAACATCCGAAGCACGAAGATAGTTGCATATTATGGTAGATAGGGCAGAAGTACGTCCTTGAGATTGGGAGTCCTTCAACCTAGACGCAATTCAGCAAGTCTGGATTATATCAACGGTTTTGGTTTCCCTTGGATAGGAAACTCTGGTTGTTGACTATACTATAGAGCATGGTGGATGCTGGAGATATTGCCCTACAAGGTTGCCATCAACTAATTACAATCATTGGCGGTATGCTAGACCCGGTTTAGATGAAATCATTAGCTAGAGCTGGTCGGCAATTTGCTAAGTTCGGTCTCAACCTACATATCATAAGGCACAAAGGAATACTCTCTAGTTCAGTTCGGAATATCACGGAGGCCCAAAATGACCTTGTCTCCGCGAGGGGCATTTAGCTATTCAGGCAAGGGTTCCGGGCCGCCAGAGTTTCTTAGACAGTTGGAGCATGAAAAAGACCAGCTGCTAGCCACGGAACAAGCGACGTCGACGGCGATGGTAACAGCAACAGGTTGTTTCCTCTAGCGTCATGCTGATATGATCTTGTTTATCCTATGCGCGTGTCAACGTGTCATTCTTTCCTCAATCTATATGCTACTGTCATTCTATCTTGTTTTCTCACATGAAAATGTATGTAGCCGCCCATAATGCCCGCCCATCTTTGGAAATAGCTTGAAATTAGCTTGTGAAAATAGCAGTTGTTTTGCAATAAGGTTGAGGTTAGGATTTGGAAAGCTATCTAATCCCTTGGAATCGTTTCTAATACCCCATTGTTTCCCATATAACTGAGTAGAGTGTGGGCAAGGTTGTTGAAAAGCTTGCCGACCCCAAAAATCTTTTCCACCAAAGCGAGTGACAAGAAGTAGACTTAAACTCAGGAACCTCGGCTCTCCTATTCTTTGTCAAAATGCGATTGCTCATGGATTTGCGCACTTGGACATGGAACATAGGAAAAGGCGGTCCACCAATGGCTGTGATTCCACAGCAACTCGCGCTCCACCACCGCCAGCCACAAGTGACGACATTCTTGCCGCGAAATTACCCATCTTACGAGGGCAACTTATCCTGGCCGGGGATGATGGTGCCGTTGCGAATCGCGTTGGCGTGGCCGCGGGCAACGTAGCCATAGGCAGGCAGGTACTTGTCCAACCAGGGGAGGAGCTCGACAGCACCAGGGACGTTGCGCCAGTCGCGCATCAGGTCGCACACGATGGAGAAGAGAGACACCACGTTCACTCCGGCGTCCACCATCCGCTGGTTGCTGATGTCTCGGATCAGGGGCGTGGTCGTGCCGGAGGCCTCAATGTTTGCCCACACGCTGTAGCCCTCGGCGCGGAGAGAGAGCGCGAGGAAGGCCGTGCCTTTAGGGGGGGGTTGGTAGTTAGCTTGAGGGTAGCTCGGAAAAATGGTTGGGGGGGGGGGGGCGGGGGGGAGAGAGTCCGAGAGGACCAAGATATGTCACATACAGACGTCGGTAACAATGCCCGCCATAACGATCTGCGTCTTGTTGGTGGCGCGGACAGCCGCACGGAAGTCGGAGTTGTCCCAGGCGTCGACTTCACCCTGACGCTTGATCAGAGGGGCGTTGGGATACATGTCCAGAATTTCCTGCGGCAGTGGGCCGTTGGGTCCTATTCTTAGGCGGTTAATATTTCCTCAAGTCAGTGGAGTAAGAACAAGACGAACCGGTCTGGGCAGAGGTGGTCATGATAACCGGCACGTCGAAGGCCTGGCCAATAGCGGCGTGAGCGATCATGCTGTCCCGGAAGAGGGTGGCATCAAAGTCACGGGCCAGGTTGAAGAGACCTTCCTGGAGATCGATGATCAACAGGAGCTTTTTGCAAATTAGCGGATCGGTTCCTGGCTTTCGGTTTTCTGGGTTCATGTTCTTACAGTGTCATTCTTGTCCAGTCTCTCGAAAGGGACTTCTGGGAAGAGTGTCAGCGATGGATATCATCTTGAAGGGAACAAGCCCATGTCTCACTGTTGGCTGCATTCACGCTGCTCAGGGCCAGGGCCGAGAGAACGGCGGACAAGAGGGCAAAGTTCATTCTAGATTCGAGCCTGAGAGTGTGAGATTGGGTGGGTGGGGGGCGTAGATGATGTCTCGGATGCTCTTGGGAGAGAATCAGATCTCCGGGTGCTTCACCTTCGTCACATTTATATATACATGACGTCCGTCAGGCAACTCCTACAATAGGTGAATGCCAGGAGGCAAACATGATTCATGCCTAGATGAATGACACCTCAAATACTAAGCATTGGCTAATCAGACCAGGAGCCTACAAGGAGCAATCCTTGCACCAACACTCTCCCTGCAGAATGGCAGCGCTGTACAAGAGTGAAATTTGCTTGACTTGCAGGATGTCAAATTAAGAGAATTGCGACCCAAGGATCCGTAGAATGAGATAAGATCTGGACCAACGATGCGTGCGCAATGTGTCAGCACACTGCACGTGGCGTTATGCACCAGTTTTGCAGCCGAAGGGGGCAACCAGTAGCGGTACGGCCCGTTTACCTGCTAAAGGAGAAAGTTGCTTACGGAATAGCGCCATAAGCAGTATTTTGGAGGGCGCTGAAAATCCACTGCAAGTGCGAAGACCCTTATCTTGCATGCCTACTTTTTTCGAGCAGCCACTGCTAATTGGTTACAATAAAGTCTGCCAGATGTCGTGCCGCGTTAACGACAGACACCCCCGCCGCTTTGACCGACGCTCAATAAGCATGCGCAGTAGCGGGGATCGGAGTTAAGCTTTTTAATTGCAACAAAGATCAAAGTCATCGATTGCCCAGTATTTGTTAACACTTACAAATAGTAGGGCCATAGATTATTCTAGCAGGAGCAGCAACGCCGCTATCAGATGCCCACGATGTTGCCAGAGCTGGACGTGAGCACCTGCGCTGCGGGAGAATCGAGCCAGAAGGATGCATCTCGAGCGTTCTGCCGCTGAGAAGGAGCAGCGTTTCCAATTAAATATTAGTTACAGCTCTCCCGCCTGGAAATTCCAATTGTGCCATCAATCGTCGCTGAACTTGATCAGCTTAAATACCACACCTTCATGGCCCAGCCTACAGCCGTGGTGCCACTCCTACGTCATTATCCACATCTTTCCAGTTCTTCCAGTCCCATACCCAGGATAAACATCCCAACCATGACGGAGTGGGTGCCAAACTGTCACGCACCAGTGTAGTCGCTTGCAAGCGCTCCGAAATTGGAAGCGGCCTGGTCTGCAACGGGCGCGTCGGTGAACATTCCCCATCCCTCTGTCTCGATCCACCACGCTCAATACACAGCCATCATGACTAGCTGTGTCGCTTGTAGCTTCGGTTCGGAGTCAATCCGCAAAGTCGGCGGCGTGAAGCCGATGCGCGGTAGAGATTCCTAAGACCGGCCTCGGCCGGACTCGAGGGAGATTGCGTCGTCTTCGGGGCGTTTCTCGCGGCGTTCCCTTCTCCGCCGCATGTAAATAGCGATCCCACAGGCGGCAGCCAGCACGAAGATGAGGCAACCGGCGCCGATGCCGACGATGGGCCCGACCTTCAGCGTTGAGGACTTCTCGGGGTGGATCTCAACGTCAGATGGCGCCGTCTCGGAGTATCGAACGAGGTCTCGGGCAACGACGAGCATGGTGTGCGACGGCGGGATTGCCGCTGGCGCTCGAACGACTGAATTTGTCTTTCCACGGGGGTGAAAACGAGTGTTTGTGGATTTTTGAGCGCGTTGGAAGGTAATTGCGTAGGCTGCGGGGCCAAGGTATTTCAAGGCAGGAGCCACGAGAATCTCGCCCCAATTATCCGTTTAGGCTCGCCCAGATCAGGTACACGAGGCATGACATCACCAACCAAAATTCACTAGTAAAACTGACCAATTCACGCGTCACGCCGCGCTGCCCAATCAACCTGGCCCACCACCTTCCAGCCCAAGACTGTTTTGGAAACTGTAATTATTTCTGCCCATCACTGGCTTCTCGAGCCATTCATACCTGCTTAGCCTTTAGAATACTTAGGGTTTGAATCCGTTGAAGAAGACACCGGGCTCCCTTTTGGATTTGTGTTGGTGATTAATGAATTGGGACGTGAATTGAGACTACGGTAATGGGGCGACACTCCATGCCGCTAAGAAGCTGGATCAGTCTGCCCGTTCTCAATGGAAAGACGCGAGAGCGCGCTCCGCCGAAAGCAGTAGAATTTTCACGACTGATAAAGTTCAGATCATCAACTTTGGCAGTGTCAACACTTGGCCCCTACTGCTGATTAGAAGGGCAGTCTTTCCAATTCTACTTTATTTATTGTTGCATGGGCTTCATAGTCCGTGGTCATGCGCTCAACATCGCAGATGATTCGCACTTGTCGTCAAATACTACCAGCACTGCTACCATTTTAGACCTCGGAATGGGTGTGCATTAATTACAGTCAAGGTTCTCCAGAGAGTAGCAGCAGCTATTGTGACTGCTGTCATTGAGGCTGCCGAGGACGCCATAAAGGGCCGATGACATCTCGAGCAGGCGTGCCGGCGGCGTCTAAACTCGTCCGAACCCGGAGCCATTCCCATCCGAAGGAGTTGGAGAAGCCAAATGCTTCGGTGCAGCTTCTCCAACTCGTCGGTGCAGCCCAGTTGCCGTAAGTGCCGCTTGTGTAACCTCTCCTTGCTCACTGTGATCACCAGAGAATGCCTCGGGCCAATCGCTTCGAGCGAGGGCTTGCGACTAGCTGGTCCGAAATCATATTCGCAGAGCACAACACCTTGGGCGTGATGCGTGCGCCACCCGCCAGCCATGAGGCGGAACTCTTCCGGCGTCAGGCGGGGGGACAGCAGCTATTCTCTAATTGGCCGAACCATATCGTCAACATCAGCTGCGTCACGGCTTTACCCGCTTTGAGACCCCCGCGCCAAGACACCTGCCGCATCCAGCTTAGCATGCCGACCTCATCCCCCCTTGCTATGCCAAGATAAGAAAGGCAACTCAAGTGGTTGCAAGCCAAGTTCCCGTCCTCCCAGCCTCCGTCCCGAGGGCTGCTTTTTTACCGTCATCCAAATTTCAAGGAGGAGGAGTAATTAACAGAGGCAGGATTGAGGTCCATTTAATTAGCCAAGGACCCTAGGTCGCTTTCCAGAACCAGGGTCTCGGATCACTCAAAGAGCCCTCAAACCTTAACGATGCCGTTAGGCTGCCTACCTTACTTCCCCTGACCCAGACGGCTGCGGCACTTCTTGTCTTAGATTTGGGGGTGGCCATGACTCGCATCCAGCCAAAAGCTGTCGACCAGGCTGCCCTCCCCGCACCCCTCGTGCCCACTCCATGTGCTTCCCCCCCTGCGCCAGCAAGCCATCGCGTGCTGGTGTTTTTACTTATCTCGGACGCCAATGGCTCAGCGCAAGAACCTTCAGCTACCATAACAGAATGTGACCTTCCAAAATCGCCAAGGCCTACTTGACAATAAAGCCGCCACAATCCATGGGCTCGTGCAGCAATATTCCTTCAATTTGGTAATGATCATCCAAGTTCGGCCAATATATCCATAACGAGCTCAGAGTTTCTATCACGACTTTGTTCTAGAATTTTCCCCTATCCCCATACAAGAAGGCAATAGACAGGATGACCTTTCCATCTCAGACAGAAATGCAGCTGGATCCCTCACCTCGTACCTCAACCCCCACGCAGATCGGTCGGCTGCAAGGACTACCATTGAGAATCCGGAAGGTGGCCGGACTTTGAGGCGCCCCCGTTGGTACCATGATGTGCTATGCCGACACCAGACGGGTGCATCACCCCTTCTTGGCAGGAGATTCATCACCCTGGTCTAATTCTTGTAGGAGTTGTTATCATGAAGGAGCGGAATTCTGCGTAGACTCGGGAATTCTAGATGAGACTCTCATGACCATATATTGCTGGCGGATGACCTCGTTGTGATTTTTTGATCAACCTCGTAGTCTCGAGTTCATTCTGACACAGCCTTTAAGACGAACTCTTTTCCAAAACTTTCAACATAACTTCGTCTTTTCTGGCAGGCATCTTATTCCTCCAAATACCCTCAACACACAATCAACATGAAGTCCACCACCGCCATCGCCGCCCTTCTAGGTGCCCAAACCATTCTCGCAAATCCCATCACCTTGGTCCCCCGCGAGCCCCGCGCCGCCAAGCGCTTGGCCTTCCGCAAGACCCATCCCAGGATCCCCGTTTCCGAACCGTCTCTGACCAGCACCAACAACACCGACGTCAGCTACTCGCAGAACTGGGCGGGAGCCGTCCTCATCGGCACGGGCTACAAGTCAGTCACCGGCACAATCACGGTGCCCACCCCAAAGACACCATCCGGCGGCTCGTCGCGCACCGAGTACGCCGCCTCGGCCTGGGTCGGCATCGACGGCGACACCTGCCAGACGTCCATCCTGCAGACCGGCGTCGACTTCTACGTCCAGGGCTCATCCGTCAGCTTCGACGCCTGGTACGAGTGGTACCCGGACTATGCGTATACCTTCTCCGGGTTCGCCATCCATGCCGGCGATCAGATCAAGATGACTGCCTCGGCGTCGTCGACGTCGGCGGGGAGTGTCACGATTCAGAACCTGTCGACGGGGAAGAGCGTCAGCCACTCGTTCAGCGGCGAGAGTGACCCGCTGTGCGAGACGAATGCGGAGTGGATTGTTGAGGACTTTGAGTCGGGCGGGGCGCTGGTTCCGTTTGCGAACTTTGGGACTGTTACTTTCACTGGCAGCAGCGTCACTGAGACTTCTGGGACTACTGTGGGGGTCACTGGTGCGGAGATTATTGATATTAAGCAGAACGGAAACGTGTTGACTTCGTGCTCCGTTTCGGGGTCGTCGACGGTTACTTGTTCGTATGTCTGAGCGGACCGGACTATGTTTCTTCTTGAGGAGATGGGATGGGCTATGTCAAGTTGGATACATGTATGTAGTTGCACAGTTTTACGGGAGAAATGGCCATGGCAACTGAGTGCAATATGAGGAGGTCCCTTGCAAGTCCGATGATGTCGCTAGATTTTCGGTGACTATTCGAGAAAGCCAGATGAGATATGTTCTTCCAATGATACGAAAAGCCTAGTTCCCTACACTGTTCAGAGCCTCGAGCGCCCTTATCCGATTCCGCGCCAGCATGTGCAGACGATCCATGGCGATCTTCTCCCGCTCTTGAGGCTGAGCAGGTGGGCGCTCTTGATCAAGTTCTTGATCTCACGGCCGTTCAGGTTGACCCCGGAGAGCTTGTGGCTCTGAAAAATGAAGTTTTCCTGAAGTTTTCCGTGTGCCATTTCTCGGCATGGTAAAAGTGATGATGGACAATGGGGACTTCGGTCAAGCTGTTTGTCAGGTCGTCCTGCTCCGAGTCATGGTCTGCAAACCTGGAATACCGGGCTTGACACGAGCCGTAGCAGCTACGCATGTATATATTTGTGACGCCGTCCGTGGGATGAAGTTTGGCCAGCGTCTCGCCCATTATTACTCTTGCTGGCGTGATCTGGCCGAGTCCCTTTCTTCTTCTCTTTTGCCCTCTTCTGGCGTGAGGGAGTGTCGCAGTTGAGTGTAAGGTATGGCAGGATCGAATATTTATACCATAAGATAAATGCTTCTCAAAAGGGGGACAATATTTATATAAGATGAGGCTTCCCAAAAGGGGCATGGTTAGAGCTGGGACCTGTGCTGCCTAGTAGCTTGGCGAATGAAGAGCCAATGACTGCAAAGGCGGCGGCCGCTTGATGGGGCTGACGGTGGTGCATTTCCTAGCCAATCACCCGGCGCCATATTTTTCTTCATTGCGGGTTTAGATGACTCCATGACCAGTGTTTGCACCTTGACTTGCCCCAACCACAAGAGGGATTTGGGGACGACTTGGGTCTGATTTACCACGATTCTAGCCACGACTCAGTGGGTATGCACATATTTTTGCTAGACTTGAATGTGGCTGGCTGCGGCATTAACAGCATGTCAAGACTGTTGCCTGGCTGGATGCCTAAACCGAAGGTCAAGGTTATATGGGTACCAGTTCGGAATACACGGTCATCAAGATCTGCCTCGGGGACATAGACCAAGATGCAGGCACTCTACAGCATCTCAAGACGTCTTCGTCAGTATCCGTAGATTTTGTATTCCTTTTTCAGCTACCTCATAAGAGAGCACCCTGGACGAGGCGCGATCAGTCGACAAATTGGGCCGCGGACCAAGGAAATGGGAAAGTACGAAGACCTGAGAACCCCGTGTCGACGTGGGCCATGAAATCGAGTTTCAGGCGCCAGCGGGGAGGGAAAATTCCCAAGGAGCAAGCAGGGAGCCCGTCCATCCTGCCCTGCGCAGCACACACACCTCCACGGAAGACGACGATCTAGACAAAACCGCCGTGTAGTCTAGCCATCGTAATCCACCTTATGCGCGGCCTATGCCGAGGATGCCGCCGAGCCCGATGCCGAGGATGGCGCCTATGTCGAGGCCCAAGGACAGACTGAGTGAGGCGCCGAGGACAGCCTGGACGACGCCGCCGACGGACGCGGCCACGCCGGCGAAGAGCTTGTCGCATGACTTGGCGAAGGCGCCGAAGTTGGCCATGCACGGCTTGACGTACGGCTTTACACAGTCTAGAGGAAGGAGGGGGAGAAACAATAATCAGCTCGGTTTTTCTTATTACGTATCGGCGTGTTAACTGTGTGCATGTAGAGAGTCTTACCTTCCCCAAGGGTCTCGACAATGACGCTAACGTGGTCACAGAACGTCTCGGAGTGCTCGGTAATGGTCTTCTTGATGCAGCTGGAATCGCAGCCGCTGTTGGAGGCTTCCACGTCGGCCGATGTGGCAGCCTCAAGGTCGGCGGACGCCTGAGCGAGGAGCTCGGCGGCGGCCTCGAGGTCGGCCTGCAGCTTGGCGGCAACGGCCGCTCTCGATTCGAGAGCGGCGTCAACGTCGATATCCGCCGATGTGCAGATGGACACTGGATAGACACAGGAAAAAACGGAGGTTAGCAGGACAATATGGAACGAGAGACATCTCCGTGTCATGTTCTTCTCTCTCGCGGGGACGTGACATACCGGCAGCCTCAGCGTGGGCCTCGACCTGGGCGAAGATCTCATCAAAGTTGCAGTTGCAGCGCTTCGTCAGCTGCTTGCTGACCATGGGGTTCGCGAGGGTGACGGCAAAGAGGCCGGTGGCGGCGAGGAGATTGGTGATGACAGACTTCATGTTGACTTTGGTTGGTCTGCTGGTTGGTTCTCGTTGGACTCTGTGGGGAGATGGGAAATGGGCAACTAATAATGGCAAAAATGAGAGGCCTATATGTGAGTGAGTATGATAACACCAAACTCTGGGGAGAGCAAGAGAGAGCTGGACCCGGGTTACGCCTCCCTTTTAATCTTTGGCATGGTGGCTGTACATGACCAAAACCTTGGCTCGAGTTGGAAATCCCAGGTCTTGGTGGTCAAGGTAACCCTGCTTTTATCCCGTAAGCCCTTCGATATGAGCTCCCAGTCTCTTAACCCCGGACCAATATCCAATATGATCCTGCTGCCATTGTCGAAGCCATCATATCTGGCACTCCTATGATGTCAATCGTCGCTTAGGAGATGGTCAATATAACAGAAGGGCCGTTTAACATCTCCAAGATCAAGGCGGGCCACTTGCAGACAGAAGCCGCTGCAAATGCCGAGGTGATACTGTTAACACTAGGGGAATAGGAAATACCAAGAACGAAACGATCTTCAAGGGAACGGCGGGTTCTACTCAGATACTCTTCCCCACCCCTGGCTGCTGGCAATATCCAGCCGAATGAATAAATCATTATGGCACCAGTCGTCGTCTATTCTTCATTTAGACTCCTCAGCCACGAAAAGTGATCTGCAGCCTTGCGCCGGCGTTGTCGTCGGTCGCTATTCACGGTTAAAGACCCGGGGACGGCTGTATGTTGTGGGATCTGCAACCACGTGCCTGATAGCCCTGGACGATTCCTTATATTCCACACATGCATGAACTACGTTGGGGTAGCAGCACATGAATATCAGTTATCGATCTACTGTAACGTGGTAGTATTCGAGATTTAGCGAGCCATGTTGAAGGCGAAGCCAGGATCTTAGACTGCCGACTCTGTTGCTGTCAAAGCAATTGAATACACAACTTGTGGAGGCCCACAGCCGGCACCCTCCATGACTTCACACCTCCTCCATTGAAGTCTAGTGCGAATTAGGTGCCCTAGAAGATTCCACGGTACTGGATATGGATATCCAGGGTCTCAAATACCAGAGAACCTGGCTCTAGGGAATTCATCTCCCGATGAATCCTTCTCTCCGAATTTGAGCTATCAGGTAACATGCCAGATTCGCACCCCTCTATCGCGTACCTGGGACGGCTGAAATCGATTCATTTAATATGCAAAATCCTGATATAGATATGATTTGGCCTATTTCCAGGTAGCTGATCGACATGTATCAACCCTAGTGCCGATCAACGGCCCACCGCGTTGAACGGGTAAGGGTTGGAATGATTGCCCAAAAGTTCAGCGACGAAAAAGACGGCTGTTTCGAAACGAAGGCGGCTGGCATACAGCCTATGTATAACGATGGCATGGCAAATGCAGAGAGAGGGGACAACACGGCATCGGCGGTTGTGTTCTCCAGTGGAATTCGGTACGCAGTTTTCCTAATTTAGAAACAATTTGATCGGATTTGCCATATTCTTCTCTTCAGCGAGGGTTTCAAGCTGTGAGCCCCCTCATGTCCCCGTGGAATTGAGCGTCATGGTCGAGGCATGGCTGTGCCACAGTGCCAAAAATTGCGGCTGCTTCTTACAATTGCAGCTTATCTAACAGATGCCCGAATACTGCTGCAATAACTAGGTAGGGTGAGGCGCAGTTGTGTGGGGACACTGCACTGCCACGACATTCTCCACAGTCGATATTGATGTCCAGAATTTGAGCTCCCTGCCACGTTGTTTCCTTACTGCCTTTACTTGTCAAGTCTCTGTAAAGTAACATGGGAAGGCAGCAGCGTAATGCGATGGCCAAACCCACTGTGCTGTCACCGAAGACATGTCAGACATGCTTCAACGCCAAAATTCGGTGTACCAAGACGCAAGATTCGGGATCTTGCGATCGTTGCATGCGTCTTAGCAAGACGTGTGTCTTCGCCCCAGCTCGACGGCGCAATGCTGCCCCCCCAAAGAGCCGAATTGATCAGTTGGAGGCCAAACTCGACCGTATCATGGGCAGTAAAGCACCGAGTCCGGCCGACGAAGGGTCGACGAGCGCAGGTGGTTCTGCAGGAGACATGATCGCAAGCCCCTGTGACGTCAGAGATACCGGAACCACAGGCCTGCCTCTCCAGTTGGCGGTTTCAGCCGACTCTTGCGATCCCCTGGCGTGCGGCTTGCTAGATCTGGACAAATCAGTACGCTTGCTCAAGCTCTTTCGCTCCAGGATGACTTCACACTTTCCCTTCGTGGTGCTACCCGACACTGTGACATTTCAAGACCTGCGTCGGGAACGGCCCTGTCTCTGTCTAGCGGTTCTGGCTGTCACTGCTTTCGAAGACTTCGTCCTACAGCGGAAACTCAGTGGCCTCTTCAACCAACTACTTGCCGCCAAGATGGCAAGCGGGAAGATACTCTCGATTGATGTTCTCCAAGGACTACTGGTCCACCTGGCTTGGTTCGCGTCCCCGGCCTCCTTTGCTCCATTTGTATGTACATACACTGACGTGGTCAGGGCACATTATCAACCCCGGCCACGCAAGTACAGCCAGCACTTGCATCTTGCAGCGAGTATTGTGGCCGATTTGAGACTAGACCGACCCCGAAGACCGCAGCTGTGGAAAGTTGATTTCGAAAACGACAGACGTGGTGCTGAGTGGGGATCAGATGAACTGAGAGCACTCATTGGAACTTACTACCTTGCCTCAAGGTAAGCCTCCCCAATCCCATTCTTCACTTGGTGGCGTGCTCAAACTCTTGTCAAGCTCCTCTATTGTGTTGCAAAAGATGCGCCACTTCCCATACACACATTTCATCCTCGAGAGCTGCGAGAAGCTAGTGCTGCAAGGCGAATTCCCCAGCGACAAGTACCTCAAACATATAGTGCAGATTCAACGTCTTTCTGAAGAAGTCGACGATTTCGTTACGCACGCAACTGCCAAGTCTTCTGTGGATGAAATCACGGCAAAGATGACGACGATTCGACATCAGGTAGACTCGCTCAAATCGAATCTAACCTTTGCCCTTAGCGAGTGTCGTAAGTCATCGACATTATTCAATTATTCTTTCAGATGCTAATGATGTGCTCTAGCGACTTTACTACTGCAACTGAGCATGCTCGAGCTCTTTATCAGCCAACAATCTCTCCCAGGGTTTCCATTAGCTTTGAGTACCATTCAACAAACGCTGGGCAGCAGCCCACAAACCGTCGATTCATTTTCGGAAAGCGTATCAGCATCGAAGTCCCTGATAAACATTCTACTGGCTATGGCGCCAGGACAAGAGAATATCCTCTCAAACCTTGCGTGGATCATGCTCAGTTGCAGCTTATCGTTCTCGGCGAGGTTTGATGTCTTGGCAGCAGATCCTCGCATATCACACCTAACTCAACATGTACGAAGATGTCTTGACATCCGCCACACTCTTCGCCAAGTCATTCTTAGACTACAGTCGCTTGTCTCGCCAGATGAGGATAGTAATGGCGATCGTGACACGTTTTACCACTTTCTTCGGCGTGCTCAAGCCATTGAAGCGTGGTATATCCGCCAGACAGGACATTCGTCTCCATTGACGCCAACCAACATCGACGCCACGCCTATTCACAGACACGACACGACACAGGAGATGGGGGATTTTACTTCGGTGGCAGAACTCACCGCGTTTGCCCCGATTGGCGAGTCATCGGAAAGCGGGTCGGGCACATTCAGCGACCTGGCCATGATAGATTTCTTCACAGAAGACATGCAGGGGAAGGATTTTGGGTCATACATATATGCGACTAATTTTGACCTATTTTGAGGCTGAGCTTCAGGACAGCCTGGTGGTCGGAAATTGCATGATAGCTTAATGGTGGGAGGATTCGGTCCGACGCGGACGCGGACACGGACACGGACACGGATGAGGACACGGACACGGACACGGACATGGCACCTTGACACCTGACATCAGACAAGGAGGTAATTATCAAAAGCCATTGAGAAATAGATAAAAGACACCAAACACCCACGGGAGACTGGCTCTTGCTTCTACTCATCCCTACAGAGACTTCTTCACACATCATCTTAACCATGCTTTCTCTCACGTCTCGGGTCTTCCCCCTTTTAACCGTTATCTGGCACTTTCTGTCACTCGGTCAAGCCACAGATCAGCTATCCTACCAGCCATGTCCTCTTTTACGAGCCTACTACCCTCCACCAACGCTTGACAAATCCTCGGACGCGATCAAATCCTTCTCCGACGACCTCACATCGGTATTTGACGAGATTGTCCGCACGGGTAAAAGCGACGATTTCGGCACCATCACGCCTAATACCACCTCGTTCTCCGTCGTACTGTTTTCGGGAGCAGATGATGGGACTGGTGACCCCATCTTTTATAGCTATTATCACACTGCTCCCGTCTCGGGGGCGGAGATAAACGTCACATCCGACACGGTTTTTCCCTTGGGCACATTGACGCAGCTATTCACAGTCTACACGTGGCTCGTGGAGTTGGGTGACGAGAATTGGGAGGACCCGATTACAAAATTCCTTCCAGAGCTCGAAACTGTTTCCGCATCGACGGATGGGTTTGGTGTTGACTGGAGCGATGTCACAATTGGAGCTCTGTCCGGGCACATGGCCGGTATCGCCCGTGATTGTGAGTTCACTTTGAAGAGGGTTCCCGGCAATTAGGGCAATTTGCTGACAGTACTAGCCCATGCCTGTGAACTAGGAAAGCCATGTGATAGACAGAGTAAGTATCGGATCGCAACCAAACCTAAGGTCGCTAGCTAGGCAGGTTTCAGTGCTGACATGCCCACGCAGACTTCATCAAGTCCTTTGCTGAGGTTCCGCCCATCTTCCTACCCGACACAACCCCGATCTTCTCCAACGCTGCTTTCCAGCTCCTCGCCTTTGCTCTTACGAATGCCACTGTACGGGACGGCAACAAGAATAGCTTCAGTGATATGGTGCTCAAGTCGGTCTTGCAGCCCCTCAACATGACTCAAAGCAGCTTTCTCAGCAAAACAAGCTGCGCCCGGGTCTTCGGCGAGGGACTCAACACCTCCGCGCCAGGAGAACAAGCGTAAGCCGCCCTCTCCCCATGCACACGCCCCCGCACACCATCCCCCCTCTCTCTAACCCCGCCCCCACCAGCGCCCTCTCCATGCTCTCCACAACCCGCGACCTCGCCCGCGCCGGCCACGCAATGCTCTCCTCCCGCCTCCTACCCCCCGTCACGACGCGCCGCTGGCTCCACCCCGCCGCCGACACATCCAACCTGCGCAACGGCGTCGGGCGTCCCTGGGAGGTCTATCGCGCCGGATCGTCCGCCGTAGACCCCATCCTCGACGTCTTCCTCAAGGGAGGGGAGGTTGCGCGGTATAGCAGCTACTTTGGGCTGGCGCCGGATGTTGGCGCGGGGTTCGCGATCCTTGGGCATGATGCTGGTGGCGGTGGCGGCGCGGCGGATTTGAATGTCTATGCCGATGTGGTGGCCGGCGCGCTGGCGAAGATGCAGGGATTGGCTGCTGCGGAGGTGGCGGAAGGGTATGCCGGCGTGTATGGTGGTGGTGGTGTCGAGGATGTTGCTGTGTTCAATGTCTCGGATATTGGGCCGGGGCTTGTAGTTGAGCAGTTGGTGGTGGGTGGGAGTGATGTTAGGGCTGAGATTGCTGCGGCGGCGGGGGTGATGCTGGAGGACCTGGACTTCAGGGTATATCCTACTAATGTTGTCAAGGGGGGTTTGTATCAGTTCGTGGCCGTATTCCAGGACATGAGCGCGCCGGTGGATATGGGCACTCCGACTTGCGTTACATGGATGACGGTGGATGCCTTGGGGCCAACCCTGGGGGATCGCTTCGTGTTTGAGCTTGACGGCAAGGGGATGGCGACGAGAGTCTTGATTCCTGCCACTGGCGTTTCTTTCACTAGAGCAAAATAGGGGTAGGAACTGACCACATGTGGGTGTTAGGGTCATAGAGGAACCAACAATAGAAAGAGACAGAATATTCAAATGGCAATATGGTACTGTATAGAAAAGGTTGAACTGTGGCCTTTGCCATTCACAACTACGCCGATGGGAAAGACGACGATGATGTAAGTGGAGGGGATTCCATTGGCTGTGCGTGAGGAGTGGCCCGAGGGCCGAAGGACCCCGCCTCGTGCCAAGTGTGGGGTTGTGGGGGTAGTCAAGTCAAATTCTTCCCTGGTTCCGTGCCCCTGAATCCTGCCACGCATCATCACTTCCAATACGGAGTATGCTCGTCGATATATCTCCAAATGTCGCTCGTTAGATCCTCACGTATCGCATTGCGCTCAATAAGCCGTTTGTCTCTCTCATTTCCTCCAGAGGCTCAAGTACTAACCTTTGGAACTGATTAGCTTCTCGGAATATCGTCCCACAATTGGGACTCGTCAGTTCGTCAACTGCAAAGGGCTCAACTGCCCTTTTACCAAAAAGCACTTGCCTACCGGCTGCGTTTAGAAGGACCTTAGCGTCGGCTACAGGGCCAGATTCCCTCTCATCAGCCCAAACAAGGCCGCTCCCAAACAAGATGGCAGCATTAGAGCCCCATCTCACACCGACCTTGTTCCAAGGTATTCGCGACTTTTGGTTTGAACACCTCGAGAACGAAAACCACCTTGTACTCCCGGCGCAGGAACATGCCAAGCGCTGGTTTTTCGGCGGAGAGGAATTCGATAAAATATGCATGTAAGTACCAAAACAAACCCCTTCCCTCCGAAGAAACCCCTTTTCTCACCACAAGCAGGGAACGCTTCTCCCCAACACTCTCCGCGATCCGCGCATCCGGCCTGACCACTGGCGATGAGATCCTCAGAATCGCAAATCCCAGTTGCCCGTTGGACTGGCTGAGCCTCATAATCCTCCTTGATCAACTGCCACGGAACTGCTACCGCGGCGAAGCTGCCGCCGTCGTATTCAATTTCTTCGACCCGATGGCCCTCCAGATTGCTATGACTGCAATCGAGCGAGGCATAGACATGGAGCCCGAGATCCGGTGGCGTCTCGCTTATCGCACGTGGCTCTTCCTACCGCTGATGCATTCTGAAGACATAGCCATCCATGAAAAGGCCGTGGAGAAGTATGCACGAGTGGAAAACGACGTGGAGGATCTAATTGAATCTGAGGATGATCTGGCAGATGCGGATAAGTATCGCAGCACAGCCCGCAAGATCATCAAGGAGAACGCAGGAGCTGCAAAGGCGTTGGCCCAGATGCATATGGCATTCGAGAAGAAACATCAGGTTATCATCCAGCAGTTTGGGCGATACCCTCACCGGAACAAGGTGTTAGGAAGGGAACCAACCCATGCAGAGACAGAATATCTAGACAATGGCGGAGACACGTTTGGTTGAAGATAGAGGCGGCATCTTATCTAGAATAGTTCCCAGCCAGCGTCCCCACCGACGAAACAATATGCACGATAAACTCCATCAAGGGAGGGTGCGGAGGTACTCAACGGCACACCGAGGGAAACAGGACCCTCTGCACCCACGAGAATAGCATCGCGGCCTCGAACTGACCAAATGCACCTAATAGACATTGTATATTGGATTGCAGCATCCCTTAACCCGGATGACGAAGGGGACGATGGCCTCGCCATGTAATTAGATTGTCGTCTCGACGGGAGTCGCCAGCCAACCCAATTGGCAACGTCGAGGACCAGGGCGACCACAATCTACCAATGTGTCAAATAATTGGGGGTTACCCAATCGTCTGACCTGCCCGTGAATTTATACACTCGGTTGGGGAAAATAAATCTGGAGAGCGGGCGTATGGGTTGCCTGGATTCAGTGGGAAACCGAACATTGAGCAGTTCTATAATCAGCATCCGGAACTGGTCATGTATGGCTTGAACTAATGGTTGGAGTTAGTGGCAGATAAATGAATGCCACTTACGGTCGGCCGACCGGAAATCGATCAGCGATGATTAGCCAATATAAATTCACTATAGCTCGGATGTCACCGAGGTCCGGGACGGGGCCGGTAATGGATAAATCCGTTTTGACTGGTCAATTAAGACCCGAGTTTAAAGCCGCAATTATTTGGCCACATGGGATCCGGGGTCGCAAAGAATGGGTTTGGCACAAAAGGTTCGTGATGGACGCAAATTGTTGTGGCCGACGGTTCCTCAAGTGTCTAGTTTGTTCTCATTCGTACTGCTCCTAGCCAAAATGGTTTCTCTTAAGCTCCTCTACCTCGCCGGCATCGCCGTCTCCACCACCGGGGCGACCGCCCAGACCAGCACGGGTCTTCGGTATATGCCCTTTGGCGACTCTATTACTGAGATCGTCTGCTGGCGCGCCAAGCTGTGGGAGAAGCTGCAGGATACCGAGTGGGCAACAGTGGATTGGGTTGGCTCTGGCACGACGGAAAATAACTGCCAGGACACCAAGTACGACCGCGACAACGAAGGACACTCGGGCTTCTTGGCCATCGACATTGCCAACAAAAAGCAGCTTGTGGGATGGCTGGAGAAGAATCCAGCCGATGTCATCACCATGCACTTGGGCACGAACGACATTGCCCAGCAGAATAAGCCCGTGAACGACATCATTGCCGCCTTCACCACCTTGCTTGAAGTGATGAGAACCAGCAACCCCCGAATGAAGATTGTCGTAAGTCCTTGCTGCCGACCAGTTAATCACTCTCTCGACATAATTAGATGAAAGACTGCCTACTAACAGCGGCGCCTCCCACAATTCAGGTCGCCCAGATCATTCCCATGGGCCTGGGCAACTTCAACACCCAAATTGAAGCTCTCAACAAGGCTATTATTCCTTGGGCAACGGAAAAGAATAGCACCGAGTCTCCCATTTGGGTCGTCGACCAGTACACTGGTTTCAGTAGCACCGACCTTCGCGATGGTGTACATCCCAATGCTTCGGGCGACGATAAGATGGTCGAGGTTTGGTATCCTGCTCTTGTCCATGCTTTCGAAGTGGCCGCGGCAGACAAGGCCGCGGTGGTGGCGAGGCAGTTTGTTGCGTAGAGCCCCCGGCATGGTTGAGTCTAGGAGGATGATGTTCATATGCAAGTGGCTAGGAAATGGAAATAGCCCAATAGGTATCTACATAATATTGAACAAGATATACAAATATGTAGGGCCACGCAAACATGCTCTACGACAGCAGAGCCAGCACGCTAAACACAACAGCAGCAAGCCCAGTTACTCCCGCCATCTCCGCATTCCTAACCGATGAACTACCTTTCGAAGTCTCCGTCGGACTTGGACCAGTACTCGAGCTGGACGTTTTGGATGGCCCAGCCTTGGTCGCACTCGCACCCGTTGACGGCGCACTGGTCGAACCGCTCACACCAGCCGTCGTCGTCGCACTCGTGCCCGACGGACACCCCATGCTCTCCAGCGCGCTCGCATACGCATCAAGAACGCTCTGAGGGGACCTCTTGTCGAAATACGCACGATTCAACTTCTCGGCCCCCGCCGTCACCACCACGGGCACGGAGTGGCCCATGACGTAGCAGCCATCCAGGCTCGTCGACTCGACGCGCGTGCTCCCACCGGCCACGACCGTCTTGACGCAGTTGCCGTTGAGGTCGGGCGCTCCTCCGGCGCAGGCCCCGCAGCCGCCCAGGGCGCAGCTCCACGTGGTGGTCGAGTCGTCGGCCGAGGCCGTCACGGTGCCGCCGTAGACGGACCCCTGCGTGTGGTACACCTCGGCCGGATAGATGCCCTGGGCGCGGCAGGCGTCGTTGTCCGGGGACGCCGTCTTGGGGCAGTCGACGGCGAGCGTGACGACGGTGTGGCCCGTCTCGGCCGGGTCCGGATTGGCCGCGACGATGGAGCCGTCGAGCGAGCGCGGGGCCGAGTCGAGGATGAAGACGGGGAAGAGCGACTGCGAGCTGACGACGCCGCTGGCGACAAGGGCGCCGAGGAGAACGGCGAGGCGGGATGCTGTCATTTTGTCAGACCGGCGGTAGTTCCACTGTTCGACGGCGTGCGAATCGCGCCGTATTTATTTACTCATGATTTCGCTGCGAAATCTAACCCTGAATCCTTCGTAAGGACCCACGATTACCCGAGATTGCAGGAGGGCGCGCTGCCAATAAAATGCCTGTTGGGAAAATGGTTCCCCAGATTTGAATACGGTAGGCATATGATTGGCTGGTCTACTCCCGGCGGAATCCTTTCCTTGGATAACGCCGTTGAGACGAACAGATTAGCGAGAAGCCCTGAAATGGTTACTCTCGTAATATAAGAGGGCCCTGATCTTTTGCCAGTAAGTGCAGGGGGATAAACTTCCCAACACCAGGCCGGATAATATCCGGCGGGCAGTTCGTGAGGATAACCAACCTGGAAGTCAAGCTCGAGAGCGGCATGCATCTATACCATCGGACCATCTTGATCGGCGGCATCATCGGGAACCCCATCCTGATAGGGTCTTGCCACGCCGCGGCATAATTAAGGTACTTGAAAGGGTGGTACATGTCCTCCTTCCGTGTCGCCTCGTCAATCTTATTGATGCTCTTCCGAGCAGCGGCGGTGATGATGTAGTCATCCTCGGGCCGGTGCCAACTTGCAGAGACAACAAAAGGAACTAGGTCTCCATCAGAAGCTCCCAACCAAAGACTGTTCCTTGCAGGGGCGGACTTGCTGTTGGTCTTGTGCCAGAGACAAGGTTGATTGCTGAACGACCAGGTGCTGCCTGAGAGATGCTGTATGGATTTGATACTCTCTTCCCAGATGTCATAGACGGCCCTGATCAGTTCAAAACTCCCAGGGAATGTTGTTGTCACATTTTGAAGCCTACAAAGTATCAACAGCGTTGTTCTCTCTGAGTTCGTAGAGAATGCAAAAATTTGGGGGTGGCATGATCTACACAGCAATGTCTTACTTAGACCGGGTTACTCACCGTATTCCTGTCGTGAAGACCGCCTTCATTCTTTGGTGAATGAACCTAAGCGTGAGACACGGAGAGTATTGCGAAATTGGCCAGGCACACGCGCAACAAGTCGAAGGGAAGGCGGTCAATACCTGTTACGCAAGCTATAAAAGTTACCCAGCTGAGACAAAAAAAAAAAAAAAAAAAAAAAAAGAAAGAAAGAAAGAAAAGACTAGATATGGGCACGATGATGAAGGACTCCAACCCTTCCTTCCGCAACCAACACCAACTGCTCCATCCTTCTTCGAAACTCTGGGTCTCGCTCACTTTCCAGCGCTACATTGTCGTTCCTCACCGAATCCATATCAAGCTTCACAGCACATAGATGATTCGCAATCGCCGTTCTGACCTCAGTGCCTAAATTGTTGGCCAGTTCGGAGAATTGAGTTATGGCTTCCATATATAGGTCTTGGAAGAGGCGTTGGTCTCCAAACCCCCTTGTGATCTCGGCTACTTGCCGAGCATGGGTGCCCTTACCTACTTCATTGGTAAGTATATGGTATATGGCAGGTCCATGCGGCAGAAGGCAACTCACCCCCAGTGGTCATGCAGGCTGCGTCGTACACTGGCTCCACGAGCATCATCATAGTTGAGGTCCGAATGCATGAAAGCGCATCCGTCCTTAGTGAACTGGGATATAATATCAATTAGCCTCCAAGGACCGAGAGGGACACGTTTCCAATGGGATAGGCTTACGAGAGTCTGCGATTGAATAGCTCAAACGATCCCGAAATCTCCGAATCGAGCTGCCTTCGACGGTGTTCGATGTTATAACACAGGGTTTCAATTGGACTCGGCGTGCCGTCAATCACGGTTTCTACCTGTCCGTTAGCGTACCGTAGAGAGCCTGGGGAGAGAGCAGTAGCGAGCAGTACCGAGAAGCATCCTGGCCTGCGTTAGAGAACCGTTTGTCTGCGTCGATATCTCCTGGTAGAGGGTTTGAACGGCAGTGGTAAGACCTTGCCAGTGGTCCGGAGCCACACTCATCATAATGGCCATGGCTTCTTCGTTCCAGTTATGCCATCCAACGCTGCTGCTCTGGAACTCACCGTGCCTTCGGCAGAATGCTCCGTATGTATCTAGACATCATCAGCGTATAGTCGCGCCGGCGAAGTTGAGGTGTATTTACTCCAAGCCCACTAGCCGCGATTTTGTTAGCCATGTTGCCAGCCCCGTAGCTTGTCAGCCATAGAATAAACATACTGGTGACCACCTCCTTGCGGCATTAGAGGAGCCTTCGGACCAGGCGGCTATGTTTCGCCCTGCACGATCAGGACTTCAGAATCCATCCCAGAAAGCATGCATCATGATAGAGACGTACTGTCATACACCAACGCCTTGAAGATATCGCATAAAATCCCCCCAACGTGCTGTGGCCGGGATACGGGTGATGCAAGTGACTGTTGGGGGCCTGTTTTAGCATAACTCCTTTCTCGTGATCGAGGCGCAGGACCACATACTTGGGCGAGCATCACCTCGGCTTGCTGCACAGTGTTGTAGATGATCATCTTTCTCTCAACGGAAGCAATGGTTGCACCGGATTGAACCCAGAGCTTAACCGAGCCGATGAAGGCGGGGATATCGTCTTTCATGTATCGACTCGCGGTGCGATGCTGATTCTGGGCAACAATAGAAATTGCGTGCTTCCGGAGTTCCAGGATTCCGCTCAGATCGAGATACGGCTTTGAAACATTTTCTGGTTTGTCACGATATTCCCAGTACATCGTATTACTTACGCAGAATACTTCCAGCGGGGAGCTGGGGATTCTGTCCTGGTAGAGGCTTCGGAGCTCTTTCGTGACTATCCCGTTCCGTGTTGTCACGATAAAGCGTTCCAGTCTAGATAGCCCGCTGTTAGCATGGCCAACGAAGTGTAGCGAGTTACTGGGGCTCTTACTTGAAACGGGTGTCGTTCAATCGTTGTTTCACCCGAATTCTCTTCTGTCGTAGCCGCTGGAACTCTCTCTGTTCCTCCGGGCTCAATTCCTCCTCACCGGCATAGTCATCGATACGGGTTTCTAGGCCATCAAGTGCTGCGCTATCCTCGCGGATCGAAGTACGCCAACGTTGGATTTTCCTGGCGTTGTCACCTCTCCAGTCCCGTTGCGCTTCGTCGGGCCGGATGTCCTGAATAACAAAGTCAAAGTCAGGACTCTGTCATATTCATATATACCAAGGTGAGTATTGGCTGGGAGAACTACTTACATCTGACTTCGTACACACAATGCCGACATTGTGCATATTTGCCTTGCATGCGAGGTCGATGACACTCTTGACCCCCTCGTCGGAAGTGGCTCGTCCGATGTTGCAGACGACGAAAACCTCGTCACAGTTTCGCATGTACCGTTCCGTGATCTTGCGCCGCGCCGAGTTCAGATCCCGAAGGCCTAGCAGAAGCGTGAGTAAACAGTCGAACTTCTCAGAGAGACCAATGACTTCGGACCTGGCAAGTCCACCAATATAAGCCCCTTGCTCAAAATGAAAGTCCTCAGGTAAACTCTGATATAGTTGGTCAGCGCATGGAACCAGTGTCAAATGAAAGCGAGGAGATATCGCACCTGATACAGCGGATAAAAGGCCATGGGGCCGACCGCTCGTTTGTATCTCGGCGGTCTGAGGTGAGCTGCATCAATCTGTCGGAACATTGCCTGTGGGTTAGAATAACCTCCCGCCGAATAGCACTCTGATTACCTTGGAGGAGGTGATCAGCTTGCCCAACCCAATGCATGAGGTTTCCGAGAGCGTCTTCCTCGGAATTCTGGAGTAGAAGGCTGTCATCTTCGGCAAGGTGCGTGGGGAACATAGCAAGGAATGTGTCTCGGGCCAAGTTCGCTCGCTCTTCGCAATCTCGCAGCTCGGCTTCATCTGTGATGGTCTGCCGGTGGAGGTGGAAAAACCTGTAGTTCCGCAGAAGTTCGACAATCTGTCCTCGCAGCTCATCCAGGGTGAAATATTCCACTTCAACAGTGATATCATCGCGGTTATGGTAGTGGTATTCAGTAGCAACGCATGTACACGCAGCCCCGCTGTTGCTCTGGTTGCGGCATGTCAGCACATCGCCCATTAATACAAGATGTCAAGGGAGGGGGCAAGTTACCGCGCGTGCCAGATCCTTCACGTCAAGAAGAGAATTGATGAGGCTGCTCTTGCCTGTACTTGAAGTGAGCACTGGACCTCGTGCTGCGAGACTCCCTTCAAGGCAAAGACTTACCAACACCTGAATCCCCAACCAAGCCCACAGTCCGGGTATTTTGACACTCGAAGTTCGCCAGCCGTGTAGACTCTCGAACAAGTCTTGCCAACGTTGATTCAGGCTCACGGCTAAGATCGCTCGTTGAAAGCCCGTTCTTTATCATGGAAACGAGGTCCTTCGCATCGCCAAACGCCGCTTGGAATGCGGGCGCATGGAAGGGCTCGGACGGTAGTTCCTCGCTTTCAACCTCGTGGCGCGGCTCGGCGAGCCGAGAGCTCGAACGTCGTCGGCGGGACTGGGTGCTCGCCGTTTCGGACCTGGCCACGTCAGAGCCACGGCTATCAGTGTGAAGGCGGCTTGAGCTCGGACGACGACCCGGCGGGGTAGCACTGCCGGCTTGAGAGAACACCAGCGCGTCGAGTCGGGCGTTGACGCCGCCCCAGGAGATGCTAGAAGACGCTCGGCTTGACGCGGGCGTCCAACCCTGGGTTGATTCCGTGCCGGTCTCGGCAGCAGATCCGGATACGGATATGGACGGAGTTCTGGGCTGGTCATTCTCAATGGAGAGGAGCGCAAGGTCGCGCGCCAGTATCGTCCTCTGCTCGCTGCCTCTTCCAGTTGCGGGGACGCCGTTGCTCTGGGCTGATAAGACCGAAGAATGTCGAGGATGGTGGTTGGAGCTTCCACCAGCACTGCTCTGTGATTCGCCAGAGGGGGATGACTGGCGAGGTTCAAATGAGCGCGACGCTTCCTCATGTTCGATTGGCTGAAATCCGCGGCCGTAACTGTTAGCTTCCCGCATAACCCTCTGTAAATCCTGGAAAAACTGGACGACTAACCTTGCGGGTCATGTTTTCAAACGAACCGAGACAGGTTTGCAGATATGAAAGAAGTAGGAGAAGACGGGCCGAAATGGATTTGAAAAGTTGAAGAATGAAGACAATCGATGCCAACAAATGTCGGTCTTCGCGCTGCACAGGCACGATGTGGCACACCGCGTTCAAGTATTTTCTCAAGATCATGCTCCAGCTCAGGTTACCTCATGATGGGGGGCCTAGAATACTGCGTAGTATGGTGCGTGAACTAATTTAGATATTGTTGTTGGGTGGCGCAGCAGAACCTCGCAGTTTACAATCCATGCTGTCACTGGGGTTTACAGCTCTGTGATTCGCTACAAAACGATGGTCGGGTCGTATGCAGCCAGTTTAGCTGTGATCACCTCACTCAACTCCCCCCTCGACAAATTCCTGAAAACAGCAACCGTCTCAGGCTGGCATCCTTGTCGCAAAAACCATCATACTGGTCCTTTAGCTGCCTAATTTCTGCGCCATATTCTGCATAACTGAGACACTTGGACTTGGCTCGGCCCAATGAGCCTCGCCATGCGACTTCGGCTTTTGATGACTGCTACCAGCGGCTCCGCCAAGAGGGTGGGAGGCTAGGAATGCATTGGACAGACGCCTCTCGATTGGTCATAGTTGCCGCCGGTGTGATTTGATGTTTCGCTGACTCGGAGGCATCACCTCCTTTACCTGAATGGGTTGCACAGCGGTTGCGCAGTACTGACTGACATTCACGGGTTCTACGTTGTCCACATCTCCAGCGGGTTATCCCGCCTTCTCTCCGCTGGGTTAGTCAGCCTCCTCATGTTGAACGTCTACCTGGCCATGCATGCGCTAGGGGAATACAGATGGTGAGAGTGCAGCGAGCTAATAGGAATGGAATATCTGATATAATGGTTAAAATTATGCCAGTTCTCGAACAAAAAAGTACGCCTTGTGGAAAGTAAATAGAGGTAGATCTGCGCGTATCCAGTCTGCCTTATTGAGCCACTTGTCGAATCGCTGTTGTGCCAACGTGATATTTCTGTGTGAGGATCCTCCTCCCGGCCCGCTCAGGGAATTGTGGGGCCGGACAGTCCGTGGGCATCTAACAAACCCAAGGGGGATTCCACATCCCCGCATGATGAGAGCTACACAAAGACGGCGAGGAATTACGTGTGTCTTGCAAGTGTCAGGTTGTATGGATTTAGGCAGAAGCTGTTCCTCTTCGGCGGTCAGCCAGCTTGTGCGATATCTAGGTATCATACTGATACACAACCCCCTGCCGACGGCCTGCGTCTGACTAATCCATTCCGGCAACAAGATAATTTGATCAGGTGATGGGTCACCTGATTTGCTACAGAGGGGGCAAGCAAAAACGACAGCGCAATTGTGGTCGAAGTCTCCAACAGACACGACGCAACCAAACTCATTCTAATATTCGATTAATCAGCCAGCTCCTTAGGGCGGCAATTCTTAGTGTCTCTTCAACACTTGGTACATGCAAATGGGGCACCACAACAGACATTACGCTGGCGATCCGCACTCGGCAGCCGGCGTCTGGAGTCCTTCCACAAGCACAGCCAAGTGAGTCTCATCGGTGAGATTCAGGCTCCCACACTTCCGGGCTTCTAAAACGGATCAGTTTCAGCATGTACAGTGTGGCGGCCTTACAAGAGATTTGGCTAACGAGGCGTGTGGTCTGCCGGAAATAGCTTCTGTGAGGAGGACTACGCCATCACACTCTACATTGCCGAGTTCATCAACACGCTCACAAACCTGGCTTACAGTGAGTACCTCGGATGTCAGAGATACAGACCGGACTGCTAAAGTGTCATGCCAGTCTGGTTCGCCCTACGATACCCCAAGAAGCAGCGCAGTAATGCGACCCCGGGCTTCGGGCTCGACTTGATGTCTGTTTCCCTCGTCGTCCTTGGCATCAACTCCTTCATCTTCCACGCCACGCTGCGCCACACGACACAGTACTGCGACGAGATTTCCATGTTTCTCCTTGGCAGCGCTCTCATCCAAGGAGTATTCACCATCAACCAGTCCCTACGTGTCAGGAACCTCATGACAGCCGCCATCCTGGCGATCATGACGGTGCTGTCCGCCATATACATCCAGACAGGCAACATCCTGCACCACGTCTGGTCCTTCAACGCCATGATGGGGCTAGTCGGGCTGCGCACCATGTTCCTAATCTTCACGGGCGGTCGACCGCGCGAGGAGAAGGCCCGCCTCCTGGGGCTCTTTGGGAAGGCTGTCGCCGTACTCGTGGTAGCGTATACGCTCTGGCAGATTGATCTAGAGAAGTGCATGGAGTTGCGATGGATCAGAGAGGCTTTGGGATTGCCGTGGGCGTGGTTGCTGGAGTTGCATGGTTGGTGGCATGTCTTGACCGCACTGGGGGCAAGTAGGTATATCAGGCTGATCAGGGAGTTGAGCGATTGACCGAGGACGCCAGACCGAGGACGCCATCATAGATACAGACTTGGTGTATAGATTTAGTTGACGACGTGGTGACGATGGACTGGCGAGATGGTTGAGGTAGGAGGGGGCGAGCTTTGCAGCGTCTCCGGAGGTGACTTGGTACTGCATGAATAGATCCCAGAGCTCTTTCTCGTCCCATCCCATCCGTACTATCCTCTCGAAATTTAAAAACCACTGCCTAATATTATCCGGCGAACAAATGGAGCGTTCCTACCCTCCTCGCCATGTTCTCTGCAGGTTGCGCTCTCATATCCACCTCCCAAATAAGAGGCAATGTGGTAGAGGGTTCTGAGATCAATGGGGCTTGTCACACCTGCGGGTCTCTGAATGGCGACGTTGGACACGTTGGCAGGACTAGGTCCGTCTGACCTTGCTGTTACTTTCATGGTCAAGCCGATGGTATATAGATTAGCAGGACTTAGTTGGCTCGGCACTTTCGCCGCCTGGAAACTGTCTCTCGTACGACTTTTGCACTTGGTTGAATGAAATTGTCTTCCCCCAATTTTTATCTCGGTGGGACGACCTCCTCTCGTTTGGTCTCGTGGACGATCCTTTTCACAACGGGCTTTTTGAGGTTTTTCCAAAGGCCCCATTCCGCGAGCTTATCCTTGTACATTCCCGCGCTTCAAAAGTTGTCAGGGCAATTGTTCGGTCACATGTGCGTGTGAACAATGTATTTGTTATATGTGGGGGACACTGGGCAACATACGAGGCCTGGAATTGGTGATTCTCTTCCATCAGCTTGATTATTTCCGACAGAGTTTTGTTATCTCCTCAACCTAGTCAAAGCTCATTTCCCAATTGAGAAGGTTGATAACCTCAGCTCAGTCACCAACCCCGCAGTCGCACACACGTGGGACGAGCCACAAAACAATTGGACAATAAGTTCCATACCGTCCAGGGTTGGTATTTCCCATCTTGCCCACTCCTGCAGACGATCCGGAGTAGCAATGCACGTGGGCTCGCGAGCAGTGTTGCATCGATCAAATCTCGCAGCCATGCATGCTATGGCTGCAAGCTGCCGCTGCGAATTGCTATGCGTGGTCTAGAGTGGGTCCAACAAGCATCGCAAACATAAACAGGCACCCGCTGCACCTGGTTCGTCGTGTTTTCCACCCCAGGTCTTGGCTATCTTGGCTATCTTGGCTCCCTTGGCTATTCTCTTGGCTCTCTTGGCACCCCGGAAAACTAGCATCATGAAGAAGACCCACGCTGCAACAGTGGCCATCGTCTTGGCAGCAGTCGCAATTGCTGCGCCATCCACGGTGAAGAGGGACGTCGACACCCACTATCCGTACACCGGGCCCGAGGTGCCTGTTGGTGACTGGGCTGACCCGACGGTCAAGGGCAATGGGAAGGGCTTCCCGAGGCTCGTTGAGCCACCTGCTGTGAAGCCGAATAATGACAGGCCGACGAATAATGTCAATGTTATTTCGCTGTCTTATTTGCCCGGGGGCATCAATATCCACTACCAGACGCCGTTTGGCTTGGGTGTTGCTCCGGAGGTCAATTGGGGCACGGATCCCGAGCATTTGAATAACAAGGCAGTGGGGGTTAGCCACACGTATGTCGTCTCTCCTGTCTCCAGCTAATAACTAACATTGGCGGAATGACACAATTACTAACTCGGTTGGTTTAGCTACGATCGCACACCTCCCTGCTCCGCGGTGGCCGTCACGCAATGCAGTCAATTCTTCCACGAGGTTCAGATCGGGGGCTTGAAGGCAGACACTACATACTTCTACCGAATCCCCGCTGCCAATGGAACAACTGCCTCGGACGTCTTGAGCTTCACCACCGCACGTGCCGCTGGCGACAAGAAGCCATTCACCGTTGCCGTGCTGAATGATATGGGATACACCAATGCCCACGGCACCTTCAAGGAGCTCACCAAGCTGGTGGACGAGGGAGTGGCTTTTGCATGGCACGGCGGTGACATCAGCTATGCGGATGACTGGTACTCGGGCATCCTCCCTTGCGAGAGCGACTGGCCTGTTTGCTACAACGGTACCTCGACCGAGCTGCCCGGCGGTGGCCCCGTTCCCCCAGAATATGACGTTCCACTCCCAGATGGCGAGATCCCCAACCAGGGCGGCCCACAGGGCGGGGACATGAGTGTGCTGTACGAGTCAAACTGGGATCTCTGGCAGCAGTGGACCAACGACGTCACACTCAAGGTGCCATACATGGTCCTCCCCGGAAACCACGAGGCATCCTGCGGCGAGTTCGACGGGCCAGGTAACATTCTGACGGCCTACCTAAACAACGATGAGCCCGACGCAACGGCCGCAAAATCAGGGCTCTCATATTATAGCTGTCCCCCAAGCCAAAGGTGAGAAGAACCCCAATCACTCACTAATTACGCCCCAGGCCCTTCTCGTAAAGAGAGCCAGCTGACAGTCCTCAGGAACTTCACGGCCTATCAACACCGTTTCTACATGCCAGGTAAGGAGTCCGGCGGAGTGGGCAACTTCTGGTACTCCTTGGATTATGGTCTAGCCCATTTCGTTTCCATCGATGGTGAGACCGACTTCCCCAACAGCCCAGAGTGGCCCTTCGCCCGAGACATTAAGAATGGCGAGACAACCCCGACACCGGACCAGACCTTCATCACGGATAGCGGCCCCTTCGGAGCTGTCGACGGCAGCTACAGCGACAACAAGGCATACGAGCAGTATAGGTGGTTGGCCAAAGATCTAGCCTCCGTGGACCGGAACAAGACGCCCTGGGTGATCGTCATGAGCCATCGACCCATGTACAGCTCCGAGGTGTCGAGTTATCAGAAGAATCTGCGGGCGGCGTTTGAGGATTTGCTGCTGCAGAATGGGGTGGACATGTATTTGTCTGGGTAAGAACTCCCTTCCGGTGCTATGATGAAACTCGAGGAAAGAGCTAACAGCTAATTATTTGTTTGAAGGCACATCCATTGGTATGAGCGGTTGTTTCCCCTTGGTGCCAACAGCACCATCGACAAGTCGTCAATTATCAACTATGACACGTATTACACCAACCCTGGCAAGTCGATGACGCACATTATCAATGGGATGGCGGGCAATATCGAGAGCCACAGCACGCTGTCTGGGTCGGAGAGCATATTGAACATCACTGCTGTTCTGGACCAGGAGCATTACGGGTTTAGCAAGCTGACTGTCGTGGACGAGAAGACCCTGAAGTGGGCCTTCGTTCGCGGGAATGATGGTGTCATTGGCGATGAGCTCACGTTGATCAAGCGGAAGCCTGAGTGCTCGAAGCGGAGGGTGAAGCGGGATGAGTAATTAGATAGTAGGGTGTATTGTTAATTACTGCATACATCGAGATGGAGCTACCACATTAGATATAGAGCCAAGACTTCCTCCCCCTCGATGCGTCTCGATTGTGATATTGAATCCTCCAGTCTAAAAGTTAGTTCGCCGGTCTCGCGGTCTTCCCGCAGCTCCCAGATCAGGCCACCCTCCATTCTATGGCCTTAGTCCCCATCTCACCAGCGCCGTCCTCTTACCCCCTAGCCACTCTTCAAGCGCATCGAGGCCGAGGAACGTTGCGCGAACAATGATACCCAGGTCATCGACATCCTCTGGCGCCGCCTCCATCATGGGGCAGTCCCAACTCTCAATAGTAACCTCCAGTCTCGGCCCCTGTGTCCACACCGCCCTCCACTCCGCCGCAGACCTTGCCTCCCACAGTGAAACCTGCACCGTGAACCCAAGTCGCAGGATACTCGCCCCCGCTTGATCCCATCCCTGCTTCAGAAACGCATACAACCCCGTCAGCAACTCGACCGCCAGCACCGTCCGCCGCACGCTCTCCTCCCGCACCCAACAAGCCCAGCCACCCCCACCATCACTGCCACCTCCTCCACCTCCGCCCAACGGCCTCACCTGCGCCCGAAGCCTAGCCGCCCACGACCGCAATCGCACCTCGTCCCGCTCCGCCCGCGCCCGCTCGCCGACGTCGTCTCCGAACAGCCGCACGCACTGGTACACAAGGAGTGCCTGCACCGGGGGCAGCAGGTCGATCTCGACGGCCTGCTCCGCCTCTTCCTCGGCCGCCGCCATGGCTGCCACTAGCCGCGCCGCGCGCCGGGCGTTTGCGCAGCGCGTGCAGGGCGCAGGCTGCTAGGGCGTCTTGTAGCACGGCTGATGCGGCTACCTGCGTGTGGTGGATGAAGATGGTGTGTCCCAGCTCGGCTAGAGCTCGCGGTTGTCCCGCGAATCTGCGGGCCGCGTACTCGGTGCGGGCTTGGAAGATGCTGCCCGTGGTTATGGGCCCGTCAGAGGGAGCGGCGGTGTCAGAGGGGAGTGGGGGGAGAGCGTATCGTATGCTGGGTGGGGAAGATGTGGAAGCTTCGAGGTCGAGGGGGTAGGGGCTCCCAATCCAGTCGCCGAGGTCGTTGAATAGGGATGGTATGCCGGGAGATAGGGGCTTTGGAATGGAGAGAGCTGACGGGTTGGATGGTAGGAAGTTGGTGACATCAATGCTAGTACCGTCCAAAGGATGCCGGAGGATCGGAACGTTGGCGTGGTATCTGGTTACTGATGTACTCTGGTCTGTCGCAGGCACGTTGGTCTCCCACGAGCTGCTTATGGGCCCGTCCACCGCCCAGGGATACTCGCAAACAGCACCCTTTGTGAGACATCGTTGACAGATAGGTAAGGTCAGGTCGCAGCGCCGTTTAGACCTGACGCAAGCGTTGCATGACTTCCGTCGCGATGAGGCCATGACTTTGGTGAGGTCGAATTAGTCACGGATTTGATGATGGCGGAGGACGATGAACCGATCTGACTCGGGGGCTACCTAGGTGGCTGATTACTAATTAACAGCTGCGGAGCTGTGGAGTTCGGCTGATCCGGCTTTACCGACAAGAGGTTCCTCTCATAGGCGTCGGTGAGGGGCCGATGCGGAAGTCCACGTGGAATTCCGCGTGGAATTCCGAAATGGCAGCAACCATACCGAATATTCAGGGCACATTATACGCGAAGGAAGATGGACTTCTGACAAAGATGCCAATCTCTAAGCTGTCTGCGCTGTCTATATATACTTGCACCTCGTCCCTCCCATCTCGGTCTTTCTGATCGCTTCGCATCAAACAGTGGTCCTCTTTCTAAGAAACTACACACTCGGTAATTCTCGTCACATCCAGGTGCACCTCTCTTATAATTCACCATTCACTCTCAGCCCTCGTTCCACTACGCGTTCCTACGCAAAATGTCCACCATACAGTTGGCGAACAACTCTACCCCCCTCGCCCAATGGGTCGATGAGCTCTTCAACAAAATATTTTTCCAACCGGATGACACCCTAGCCACGGAGACCTTCAACGAGTTTGTCTCCCCAGATCTCTTCGCCAGGTAAACAAAACACTCCCCCTTTCCCACCTTCCTGTCCAACCTCCTTGCTCAACTAGCTTCAAACCTAGGATCAACCACAGCCAACTCTCGCATGATCAGTTCCTAGAAGCCCTGAAGCAGGCGCGGGGCAAGGAGTCTATGAGCGTCCAGGCAAGCGACGAGGTCCATGTTTGGGAGGCTCCAGACGGATCGGGAGCGGGATGTGTCGCACAGCTGGTGCGCTTCACGCTGACAGACAAGGCGACCGGGGTGGAGAACAAGGCGTTGAACCTCACGTTAGCTAACGTGCAGGTGCGTGAGGGCAAGAGAATGCTTGTCGAGCTGACTGAGGTTGCAAACTGAACTGGGAATGCTGTATGTGGAATGTTATCTCCGTCGCACATATTACTTCCGATGGGAATAAGTAGAGAGAACTAGGTTGTGCTGAATTAAACACGAGAATGAAACACAACATCTGTCTGTTACACTACCATCATGCTGATTTCGCGATGTCCGAACAGCTGAGATAGGTGAAAAGTGGTATTAATGTTGTTGACAATCTAGAGCGACAGAACCGCGTCGTCTAGGTTTTTCTACGGATTACAATTACAATGTATTAAGAAACTCAAACCAGAAAACCGAAATGTCAGCGTCCATTCCACACTGCGGCACCTGTGAGACATCTCCCCCAATAGGTGAAAGGACACCCATTCTTGTCCATGCTCACGTTCATGCCAGCATGAACAACGTAGCCGATCTTGCCTGACTGACGCGTGACGTCCACGCCATCGGGGTGGCCCGCCTCCATAACCTCGCGGTCCCCAGTCGTGGGCTTGCCCTGCTTGATGCGCAACTTCTCAAAGAAGACGTAGGACGCGTAGAAGAAGGTGTTGCAGTTGCCAGCCAGGGATCCCTTGAAACTCATGAAGTTGCTGAACGAGTTGGTCTGGACCTTGCGGCCATCCTTGAGGACGGCGGCGGCGATGCGGCCTGCGTGACGCCGTACTTCTTCACGTGGGCGCGGATCTTGCGTCGGATAGTGTCGCGTGTGTCATAGACGGGCACTTCGTGCGAGTCCTCGCCGTCGAGCTCCATGCCCGAGACGTCGAGCGGGTCCGGCTTGGGCTTGGCAGCTTTGGCCTTCTTCGCGGCGGGAGCGACGGTGGTGCCGGACGGGACGGCACCGTCGGCGGACTTGCGCTTGTTGGACTTGGGCACGAGGGATGCAGCGCCGGGGGCGGCGTTCTCGCTGCCGCCTTTGTGGTCGGGTGCGCGTTTCTCGGAGGACGGGATGAATGGATGCAGCTGCCACGGAACGAACCTAGGCTTCGGCGCCGGCACCAATGCCAGCATTAGCATCTGTGATACCGAGCGGTTGCTTCTTCTTTGGCGGCATCGTGGTTTCTGATTGAAGATTTAATTGATTTCCAGGAAAATATTTACTTTCAGACGCGCCCAGTCTGGCACGCCGGGCAATGATGCCGCCCTGGATTAAGGTTAGACTGGCCGACCCAGGTACAGTGTAGCTGTGCGGGCGGCGCCGCTCTTGTGCCTTGCAGCATAACACACTAGCATAGCCTGCGCCACCCCTGCGCCACCCCACTAGAGTGCAGCCGCCCCATGCCGAAATCAGCTTCACCCCCTCGCCTCTCTCACAGTGTTAGGCAATTTGAGTTGCTTGCAACATTAACGCAAAATAAAACATAACAACCTCTTGGGTTGTCGAGAAGAAAGAGGAATCCCAGGCAAGCTATGCCCCAAACCCTCACCAAATCTAACTCTTTCCTGGGGATCCGGATCGAAGAGGCCCCAGGAACGAGCTTTGAGCCGGGAGACACCATCATCGGGCGCGTCTACCGGAAAACCCGAGCCGTCAGCCCACGTGCAAGCGTCACGATCTCGCTACACGGGGGATCTGAGTTCAAGATAGTGGTGAGAAATGGCCAAAGCAGCACCTTCAGGCGGCACGATTTCTTCAACGCCCGCGACACTACCTACACGATATTCGACGGGCCTCTTCACATAGAGCCTGCGAGTTCAGGGGTTGCCTGGCCCTTCGCCATCACCATTCCTTCGTCGTTTGACCACTTAAGCCTGGACAGAGGCGTGCCCGAGGACCACAGCCACCCGTCACTTGGCCCTGACGATGTCGCCGCCCGGCCGCTGCCCTCCACCTTCTCTACGGGCAACCCAGTATTTCCCCAGAACCCGCGAGCATTTGTCGAGTATTTCCTCCAGGCCGAACTCCGACTTTACAACCACCGCTCAACCGACGTCTACGAGGCCACGCTCCCTCTGTCTATGGTAAATTCGCCGGAACCTCCAATAACAAACTACCATCTACGACTTGCCAAGTTTCAAAGGGGAGTCAACTCGCAGCGGCTTGTCCCCGGCATGGAAGATGCCGAGCTCACATTCACGCAAAGGACGCAGAAGTTCTTTGGGTCCCCCAAGATACCCAACTTCATCTTCCAGGCCCAGGTGGAGATCCCGACGGTCATGCAGCTTAACGACCCGCACCCGATCCCCATCTGCCTGCGTGTCAACCCCCTCTGGGCCAAGACCAGCGACATCATCCGCGGCGTGCCCCAGAAAGTGAAACTGACATCCTTGGCCCTCGTCCTCAAGGCCGACACCGAGGTCAAGTGGTCTGACATCTTCAACACCCAGCACGCCAGCACCCTGCACAAGCCCGATCTCACCGTTGACGCGGCCTTCCACGCCCTTGGCCACGACCTCTACGTGCCCTGCTCCGTCGAAGATCCCCCCTTGGACGTCGGCCAGCTGGTCAATTTCCGCATCGGCCCACACGGCCGCATCAGCCCGGCTCCGGATTATTCAGGGCAGCCCCGCGTATACCCTTGCTTCACGACGAACAACATCCGGCACAGTCATCGCCTGCAGTGGGAGGTGCGCCTGCTCGTAGCGGGCGAGACGGTCGAGGTCATGGGCGAGGGACAGGTAACGGTGCTATCGCCCAGCGATAGCAGTGGCCGGAGCGCGTGGATGCGGCCTCCTACTGCACCGGAGAATACGGATTCGTGGATTCGTCCACCGGCAGAGGAGGAGAAAGAGGAGGATGTGGCTCCGCCTTCGTTTACGGAGGCGCAGAACGGGGGTTAAAGTTGAGGAGAAGGGTAGGATGAGCTGTCTGGTCTTCAGTTTTCAGATTAAGGGCTTCTACTGCAAAATTGATATCCGGAAGTGATTTCTATTCAGCATTTTATATTGAGACGGAGGAAGTCAACCGCGCTCCGCCTCTGGACCCTCCATCGCCTCTGGACCCCCACCAGGCGTTGTCCGTCAACCCACACCTCACTCATCGCATCACCAACTAGGTAGAATGGCGGTCAGCCGTCTGGCGCGAAGCCCGACTCCACAACGGGAATAAGGTGGCACATACATGCAGGCGACACGGATGGGCACTGGCCTGATATTCCATGGCTGATCTAGTACCGTAATTACATCAAGACGCCTTGCAGCATCGTGGCTGCTTTGCTGGTGCTAGACCAATCCTACTCTACATGGCGTGCATGCCCTCTGGAGGCGGATGATGGAGATTGAGCGCAAGCTGGCCATCGCCGACCCATCACCATCGAATCCCTGACCCTTTCACGCAACTCAAGGTTGATCCCGGCGCGGACTAGCAGCTGATCGGATACACCATGGGCGGTGATCTCAATAGTCGACTTGGTGGTGTGCGTCTGCCAGCCTCCCACCAACCCCCTGGCGGCTTGGAGCAGGGGTCCTCCCCCTTGATGTCCACACCAATCACAGTGGAGATCACAGTGGAGTGTGTACTAATTGCACCAAAATACCAATCAGAGCGAGGCAAGTGCGCTTGCCTGTGATGGAAGAAAATGGGCCGCCTTGACCTGGCCAAACTTCACTCTTTAAAAACTATAGCCTCAACAGCGAATCGCAATTCGCGCTCGAGACAAATTCGTCATGCTCTTGAGGACCAGGGCCATACCATCTAGCGTTTCCATATCTCTCTCCGCTCTCTGTTTCCACGCGCAGAGCAAATTCAAATTCCCGACGACCACGCGACCCTTCTGTCCCAGTCTGCGTCGCTGCCCTTCCCAACGCACCATGGCATCTCTCTCGCCGACAAAACCTGAGCCCTTTTCCGTAGGAGCAACTGTTCGGGGCCATTCGGGAAGGACCTACAAGATTCAGCAAATTCTTGCTGAGCGACGAGATCCATTACTGTGTGTTTACCAGGCGAGGTACGTACTTCTCACACCCCAGTCGTTGAGCCGAAGAGCCAAGCTGAAGAAGCATGCTACCAAGTGCCGAAGGGAAAAACTACATTATCAAAAATATGATACCGGGCGAATTTGAGCATCAGCAAGATTTGCAAAAGCCACTGGCCTCCTGTCCCAACCTACGCACAGTGATGGACACTATCCCAGACTTGGAACTATTCGTCTATCACTTCCTAGCCGGCGACCTCCTTCGGATCAGCCAGAGGCCTATGTCTGAAGAGACAAGGAGAAGTATTCTTAGGAGTGCTCTCACTGGGCTTGCCGAGCTTCACGATAGAGGGATTATCCACACTGGTGCGTCAGAACTTTGGCTGCATTGCGCTAGGCAAGGCTGATGGCATTGTACATACCAGGCAAAGCTGGTGGACAGGGAGGCTGACAATCTGGCAGACATCAAACCTAACAATATCCTTGTCGACTACAAGGAGATGCCTAGCGACAATCTTGCGATCCAAAGCGTCCAGGTCTCCGACTTGGAGGATGCAGTGCTCCTTCCCCCAGGAAAGAATCTCAAGGGCTGCCTTTGTGGAAACCAGCTGTGGCGGAGCCCGGAATCTTGGGCTCGGGCAAGGCAGAACACTCCGTCTGATATCTTCTCATTTGGGGTTGTAGCCATCTACGTCATGCTCGACGACATGGTCCTTCGTGCAAGCGACGAAGAACTAGGCGGAGATGATGCCTGGCGGTATGTCCTCCGGAGGCACATCTCTTATTTCGCGGATGAAGATGGCTTTAAGGGCCTGCTTCAGCACATTGGGGAAGAGAATCCGTTTTTCGAGCGCCTTATCACCCTTGCAGGCGACTTTGATGCACAGAGGCCAAGGAAGCCGTTCGCAATGTGGGATTACGTGGATGCAGAGCTCAGGGATCTAATCGTGAAGATGACAAATCTTGATCCAGCGAGAAGGATCTCAGCGCGGGAGGCACTTGAGCACCCTTGGTTCCGCCAAGCCAACCTAGAGGGAGATAGCGCAGGACCACAGTAGTCGGAAACAAATACTAAGAATTGAGAACCTCTGTAACTACATGTATGGGATTCTTAGATAGTGCTACAAGCAACAGGCAAAAGCAATGGAATCCATCTAGAAATAAGAGCACGAAGTTGAGCCGCACGTCGTTGTCCGGCGCCAGCTATCGGCGAGGCGATGAGGCACATGGCTTTGGAATCGGCTGCCGAGTTAATTTCGGGTTTGACATTGCTGCCTTCGAGATTGTAGTCGAGAAAGACTTGATCAATGTCCATCTTTGCTGGGAAGATCTCGATAGAGTACGTGACTAGCCTCTGGTCCGAGAGAAGAACGACAGTTCTCTGGGCCGGGCATCGTCATCCATTTCCAGACGGATCGCTGCCCTTTGGCCGTACAGTGAGCTAAGCCCACCAGGGTTCCGTCGATGGTCCTGTAGACGTGGTCTGAGTCTCTTGTTGAGACGAGAAGGTGACGGCGTCTTAGGAATTCAGAGCTCAGAGGCATATTGCAGTGAGGGTGTGAGGAGCAAGAAGCCTCCCGCGTATCTTGCAAAATATATAGGCAAAAATCACCACCTCCCATAAACGCCAATCCAATGCAATTACCGAGTAAGTAAAATATAGAATACTTGTCTCCTTCAACCGCCGCTGAGTGTCCTTTGTAACAGTTATGTTACCGGCATTCCGTCCCAGCGCCACATGTCCTGTTGGGATGAAGTAAACTGATTGAGTGCAGGATCGTTAAACAGCCCGTCAAGCGGCGCACTCCAGTCAAAGTTGAACTCGAACAAAGCAGATTTAGAAGGTAAGGGCCCCCCCCCCCAGGGAACAGGAGCTAGCTCGTCGTTGAAGTTGGAGACTCTCGGAGCTCGGGTTAACATTTGCATCGTTGCTTGCCCCACAGTGGCTTGTTCAGGCTCGGCGCGTTCCTCCATCTCTCCTATCAACCCAGACACGGCCGGAGATCCAATACCACCCTCCCTACTCGGCCTTGTCTTCATCGTCTCCCGTTCGTAAATGGTGATAATTCTGGTCTGGAGGCGGAACACAATATCCCGGACTCGTGGCCGAAGTCTCTCCTCAACGTCTTGAAACTCGGATTGGAAGAGAATATCAAGTTCGTGGCGCACGAGTCTCAGAAACTCTCTGCGAACAAAACCAGCAAAGTTTGTGGGGGTATTGGACCCAGATTGCCCACACTGGCCGAAGTCCACTTCTTCGTGGTCTTTCAGGGCAAGTCAGCGAATGCATAATTGTGAATAGGGGACTGAACTTACAAGGGTTTGGTATTGTTGCTGCATCGTCATCAGGAAAGAGGATGGTATAAATCTCTCTCCATTTTCCGGCATCAGTCATGTTCGTATCTGTTTTCTTCCTGCTCTTCAGCTACTTCTACTGTGCCGGCGTGAATCCATCGAGGGGTGTGTCATTCTCTGGCTTCGGACATGGAGGATCATTCTGGAGATGAGTATCGCGAAGGTTGTCGGTCGCGAAAACCTCCCAACAGCGGGGGCACTGGGGCGGCAGAGCATGTCGCCTGTGGAGATGGCCCCTAGCGCATGAAGTTGTCAACTTCCGACTCCAAAAGAAAATCTTGGTTAATGGGAATCCGTCTTACTTGACTCTATGAATCTCGACCCATCCAGGGCCAACACAGGTCGTCTCTTGGCAATACAGCATGGGCTTTTGCCCAATGGTGAAGAATGAATCCAACGGGTGGCGGTGCCGGCCCGACGAAGGCCCGATGCCGGAAGCTGGTTATTGGGGAGAAAGCAAGGTCAAGGTTGGATAGTTAATTAGATGGCTCGAAATTTCTGGCATGCACCCTGGTCATACTATCTTGCTGCACTGGGTTGACGATGACCCTTAAATACTAGCGGGTTGCACCTCGCCCGCGAGGAAGAGGACCTTCTGCGCGAGATTGCCGCGCTGAAGAGGCACGTTGTCGTAGATAGAGGCCAACCCTGCATCTATCATGTTGTTAATTACCTCTTGTTGTTTGATAGGGTGCTGCTTGCGCCGTGCTCATGCCCCTGCCTGGCCACCTTGACATTCATGTCCTAGCGGATAAACACCATAACAACTAGGACGACCTATCTTAGCAGCGTGTCTACTACTCCTTTGAGGATGCCGCCTTGAATGCTTTTTGCCTAGCACCAACGCCATGACAAGGCGGATGATGGTTGACTTAGCCACCAGCTCCTTGCCACGCTTAAGGCCTTCAATGCTGCGCCAGGTGCATTTGTCTGGCTGCAAGACCTGATTGCCCTTTTTAAGGGACTTGGTTAGGCCCGTCTTGACGCAATTCTTGTCCTCAAGCGACTGCATAGGCATTGTGGCTAGGAACATGGTGTAGACCTTGACGTGGGGCGCAGCAGGGTTTGCAGCAGCGTATAGGTTTATCTCCTGCGATAGCGAGTTTGAGAGGGACTGGCTGGCGGCCTTGGAAGGTGAGAAATAGGGCGTGAAACTGGCAAAGCTGTAGAAAGAGACGAAGGATCCTGTAAAGACAAGGTGGCCTTCAGCGAATGGAACCTGGGAGATAACTCCTTCGCTGGTATTATGGACCTAATGTATCTACAGGTGTTCTCTATAATGGCGCGGCAGATTACCGCGCCGGATACCAGACGATGAAGGCACAGTATTGCCTTTCCCAAGCCTTCAGCGCCTCCTGTCAGCTGGAGATTGAGAACATGCTCTTGTTCATCGTCTGTATCATTTGCGCCATCCAAAAGCACCCTGTGCCTGAGCATTATATCGACGTTTAGGCATCTATCACCGCTCATTACGCCCGGGATGCCATCCAGTCGTTCATCATCAATCCCGACAGACCCACCGCGGGCATGTGTACTTAGAGCCGTGACGATTTCAGATGTCGCTGCACAGAACCGACCCAGTCTACGTCACCGCGAGTCTGGATCAACAGGTCGAGGGGCATTGGCTCTGCCGTGGCCCCGGCGATCTGGATTTAGTCCTACTGTTTCATCAGGAGCTCCCTCATCGCTGCCGCTCTACTGTTCAGAGCACTGGTGATCAACCAACCAGTGTAAGCCACGCCTCGACATGATTTCCGGCGAGGCATGCATGTACTAACATAGGGTTTAGTTGGAGGCCTTTCTTTGGACATGACTCGAAGAACCCAAACCTTTTTATCGACGGCCATCTTCCATTGGGCGGCACATAGGTGCTTGCCATGTGGCAAATACTCCGCAGCTCATTCTTTCCATTTGCTGTCTCGTAATTATACAACGGACTATTTACGAGAATGCTATCCGAGGTTGAATGGCTGCCTTCAGTGCTAGATACGTGGCGCTACGAGCCACCTGCAAGCAGGGGGAGCAATGACCTACATATCGCCTTCAGCTTCCGTGCCGGTGGTCCATCCCCCTTCTTCTCATTAGCATCCTCCTACACTGGCTATATTCGAACTGCATCTACATCACTGTCTACGAGGGTATTGTCTAATTCTTTCCTTACAACAACCGCCCGCAACCACCGCGGACAAAATCCTTCATAGGGCGAGATGTGTCCGAAGGCTATTCCGAGAGCAAAAAGGAGCGCAGCGTATGATGCTCGACTGTGGCAATCGTAATATCACTCGCAGCCTCAACCGCCATTGCCCTTGCGCCCATCGCTCTCGCCTTCACCTCCGCAAGGCTCCAGGAAGTTTGTAGAGCGAAGTATGAGGTGAGGGCGGGCCAGACAGAAAGAGGAGACAACTCTTGAGGCTAGCCTGCGAACAGGATCTTATCTGCCCTGTTGGATGGAAGACGGAGAGCCAGATATTAAGCTGAGTTTTAAGAGGAACATCTGCAAGGGCCTGCATTACAAACAGCAAGCTGCGTGACCTACTTCTTCCCCTTGTATGACACTTACAAGACATGTAGACCCGAGCATCCGCTGGCGGAGAAGCTATACGCCGTGGAATTCTGCCCAAGGCCAACAGTAAAGTATCCCGGGCGCCCCGATGAAGTAGTGGCATAGCTGACGGCACGAAAACCAGATAGCGGGGCCTCAATAGGCCAGGTGCGAAACTCGCCGCACAGAGAAACTTGGAGACGCTTGTGGACCATTACCTACACGCCCTGACCACCATTGACGGCGCAGCATGCTACCTTAGAATGCAGCATCGAAATGACCTCACGGAAGACTTCCGTACCGCTACCAAGAAGAGAAATCCGGACCTCCAGCAGCTGATGTCGTCCAAATTGCAAGATGAACTAGAAAGCCGAGATGAACATGTCGCTCTGACAGATCGAAAATATTACATTTCAGGTCAGGAGAACCACCAGTGATGCAGCTCTTGACCAACTCAAGGACGAAAGGGTAAAGCTCTCCAAGAGCCGGGCGAAGCTCAGACGTGAGGAGCAGAAAAATTTCCGTCCGAGCCAGAAGCGAGGGCCCAAGCCCCAGCGTGAGGCACATCACCAAAGCGATCGGCGCAGGGCTTACTTCGACCATATCCGCCACATGATGCCTGAATGCGATCGTCTTGCGCGGACTCTGTCGCTGAGAGTCCCGCTGCGGAGTCCAGAAAGAATCCCCGTCATGAAGGATCTCATTGCTCGGCGCATGAGTGACTGCCGGGTTGCGTACCAAGACGTGCTACAGCCGGTAGGGAGCGTCTGCCGAGCACCTGGCTGTGGCGTGGACATGGAAAGGGGAGGGATCAACACACTCCCATAAGACTGGTGACTTTAGAAGTGACAAAATCTCGATCTCACTCTAGTATTCCCCATCCGCTTAGATGGAGGCACATTGTTTGATTGCTACGAGTCTTCCCTCAAGAGAACGCACGGATACGCCCAGTTCTGCTTCCTCTGTAGCCAGTGGGTACTAGTAAGCGAGGAAGGCTGGGGGCTGCACTGTCAAGCTCACATCGACGACGGGAACACTCCTTCCCGATGTGATCCAGTCATCTTCCGGCATGCTGTTGCTTGTTCCGGATACTGTCCCGTCCACGTTGAGAATGAAAGTCTGCCAGCGTCCGGGAGACTACAACAGTTCACGGACCGGACGGCCTCGCGCCGACATATCTCTCGCAGCATTGCACACTACATCACTAGTATCAAGTCATTAGATCAGGTTTCATGCCCTCTGTCGTCCAGCATAACACTCCATTCGCAGGCGAGATCATCGCATCGCATCCACATCCGGCTTCAGTGTCAACACAGACCCTGGCACCAGCACGCCACTTTACTCATTGTTTGACTCTGAGTCAGCATATCAGGATGAGTCGCTATCGGAAATCTCAATCCAGTCTCCGTTTACCGAGTCACAAGCTGTCTGTGATGGCGACCTTTTCTTAGAGACCTTAGATCCTGCCGTATTAGCTGACATTCTTGCAGCTAATAACGACGCGTGGTGAAACAGGGCAAAGCAACAAAACAAACACAGAAGGAAGATCAGCGGCCCCGTAAGAAAGTGAGAGCGTTCTCCGACCATATATTCGAAAATATGCGGTTGCATGCTCTTCTCTCGAGAATTTCTCCACGGGCATGCGCCTTATGCTCCAGCTCCATGGGCAGGTGGTCTGTGCGTCACAGGTGTTAGAATTTTGAAGCAGGTGGCAAGGATTGGCAACAGCTGTCGCGACTGTCGCCGACACTCACCGTCGCCGGTACCGTCACCGTCGCCAGCGCTGTCGCTGTCGCTGTCGCTGTCGCCATCACCATCGCAATTGCCATCGCCATCGCTGTCGCCATCGCAGTCGCCGTTGCTGTCGCTGCTGTCACTATCGCCATCTGTCGCTAGCTATTCCTATCCTTACGGATTCGTATTTCTGTCGCTATTGCAATTGCTGCAACGGCAACGGCAATGGCAACTTACTTTGGCGACGGCGAATTAGGTTTGGCAAGGCTGTCTCAGTCCCCTTGCACCTGGCAATGAGTTACCAGCCCGGGACCACCTGTAACGCACAGACCACCTGCCCGCAGAGCAAAAGGCTCCCCAGCCACGTGATCATACACGTGCCGCAACTTTAACCCCTTTTTAGTGGTCATTCCAAGGGCAGTGGAAGGGCACGGCCCCAATCCAACCGGCTCTGCCGATGGATGGAGTTGATTCGTTCGGAGCTGCGGAATGATGCATGAAGACACTCGAACACTCTAGAATAGAATTGACAACTATATAGTTGCGCCGTCCCCCAGGCCCAACCTGTGTCACGCTATGATAGAAAATTAAAGAGAGATTGAATGAGAATGAGATAGGGCATACTATTTCACTGACTCGAGGAGCTTCACAACAGCCTCGTGCCCGTTCCTGGCAGCCCACCACAGCGGCGTCTGGCCATAGGAATCCTTCGAATCGACGTCGACCTGGCCTGTATCAAGCAGCTGCTTGACTACAGCCTCGTGCCCGTTCCTGGCAGCCCACCACAGCGGCGTCTGGCCGTCCCGATCCTTCAAATCGACGTCGACCTGGCCTGTATCAAGCAGCTGCTTGACTACAGCCTCGTGCCCATTCTCGGCAGCCCACGACAGCGGCGTCCGGCCATAGGAATCCTTCAAATCGATGTCGACCTGGCCTGTATCAAGCAGCTGCTTGACTACAGCCTCGTGCCCGTTCTCGGCAGCCCACGACAGCGGCGTCTGGCCATAGGAATCCTTCGAATCGATGTCGACCTGGCCTGTATCAAGCAGCTGCTTGACTACAGCCTCGTGCCCGTTCCTGGCAGCCCACGACAGCGGCGTCTGGCCGTCTGAATCCTTCGAATCGATGTCGACCTGGCCTGTATCAAGCAGCTGCTTGACTACAGCCTCGTGCCCGTTCCTGGCAGCCCACGACAGCGGCGTCTGGCCGTCCTGATCCTTCAAATCGACGTCGATATCTATAATAGCTTGCTTATCCCTTTGTAAAATGGCTGTCAACAGTCTTAAAATCCGATACCTTGCCGCAACATGTACAAGACTAGTCCTTTCTAGTGGACAGTCATCTGAATATTTGTCCATCATGTTGTAAACACGCGTCCATAGGTCCACAAGGACATTTGATGGCCAATCAAACAATTCCAGAAGATCTCCTTGAGAGACACCTCTGTCATCGCTTTGCCTTGTGTGTGTTACCCATGAAGTCGTAGCATAATGCAATAATGGAAACGCGATTCCGACTTCGTCACGCTTGTAGCCTGTTGACTGACTGATCTCCTCCATCGCTAAGTAGCGTATGCAGATCCTGGACAGCTGAAAGTGCGCCATTCCAATTGCTGCATCAGCCGACGTTGAGCTGTCGTCTAGAGCTAACACGCCCTCCTCGATGAAGAAGTCATTGACGGACTGGTGGATGAACTGGACAACTGATGGCGTAGCCAGTGTGACCTCGGCAAGACCACAGCTGAGACTCTGAACTCGTCTTTTCATCCTCTCCGGTGTGTAATTTTCGCATTTCCCCTTCAAAGACCGATGTGAAGAATTTGGCTCAACAGCCATGGCCCATCGCAATTCGTCCAAAGTCAATGGCCGCGTGGCAAAGCAAATCCATTGGATTAATCTTAGCGAAGCTTGCTTCTCACGCATGCCTTGGACAAGGTTGCGGTATAGCTTATCCAGTTCTGAAGGGTTAACACTGATCTGTCGCTTGATCTCTTCCAGTGCTACTCCATCATTGTCAAGGTCCAAGACTTGCTTTGCAACAAGACGGGCCCACATGAAAACGCCGGAAGCAGAGTCCTCAATGAAAGCCGGAATCGAAGATTCAGCCAGCTCACGGGAGCTAGAAAGCTGCTCTTGCACGTAAGTGGAAATATCCTGTTCATTTTCATGTTCCAGGCATATTTCGAAGTCAACAGTCTGGTGTATAATCGGATAGTGGCGACAAGTAACGCAGATGCGAAACTGCGAAGCGGTAGGTGAATAAGTCGGAAGCAGTGATTTAAGCCACTGGAAGAGTTCGACTGCACTATCCCTGCCGCACTCGTCTAAGGCGTCGACGAATAGCCAAATTGAGCGGGTCTCAAGCACCTTTGGAAGGGACAACTCAAAGTAGCCCCGAAGTTCTTCTTGATGCCACTGCCACTTTTCAGGATGATGACCTCTCTCCTTGCACCTTTGTTGAAAGGTGTTGACAAAGACTGACAATGCCTCAGGGGTCTTCTTTAGGAGTTGATGAAGGAGAGATCGGTAGAAGCCCAAAGGCGTCTTTTGAAGCTCATCACCGCGGCCGTGGAAGAAGAATGATAGGACAAGATCACTGCTTCTGGCGCTAGGCGCAACTCCTTGATTATGAAGAGCGTATTTGAGCAATGTCGACTTCCCAGAGCCTGGTTTCCCCTTGATCCAGAGCAGGCTATTGGAAGCCTTCCAGCTTGTATATGTCTGATGTCGAAGCAGCCATTCGCATGTTCCCTTGATGGCGGGGTCAATGTCGTTTGCGCGACTCTGCATCTGCGGAAAGGCCAGCGATTGCAAGCAATCCTGTACCTGCTGTGACAGTTTCGGCTGTAATGGGGCTGCAAGGCTTAGTATAGCTTCTCTTCAATCCGACAGCTAATCTAGAGAGGGACTTTATTTACATACTCGCCCTTGAACGCGCCCGTCGAATGAGGCCTTCAATTCGTTGGACGGCCTTGTCGTACTCTTCATCTTGCGGCCCAAACTTGACCATTTCTGAGTGCGTACGGTTGATGGCGCAGATATGCTGCGGTCCACTCTCCCATGGTCGGCAATGCGTAGCGGACGATTTAGTCACCAGGGCTGCGATTGGACCTGTCATTGTCCACCTGCCCTTTTCATCCTGCTATATTTTAGCACAGCTCGTCTGCAGCTGATGGACAGAGACATACTTGCGTGGCTGTCGGCGATTTGAGGGTTTCGTAGAAACAAACAATCTCGGACTCGCCTTTGCCTCCCAGTGCCTCTGGGAATTCGCGCTGCTGGATACTGAGGACTTGCGAATTAAGGGACCCAATGGATTCCAGCAGAAGTCGGTTCGGTCCATCCCGGACCATGGGGATGAGTGAACCGATGTCCACACCGTCATGTGGGACGCCAAAAAAGGCGATTCCGTACACCGCTCGTATTAGTTTCTGGTCCTCTTCGTTCTCCGACCTGGAGATGGATGTGAGAGTCTAACGCGCTGTGAGCATACTATCTAGACGGATGGTGTAAGTGGGCTAACCTGCTTGACGATCAATCCGCCTAGGCTATGGGCGATAAATACGATCGGCCGAAATGCGCTGTTAACCGCCAGCCTCCGAAGGTGAGTATGTAGAGCCGTCCCAAGGTCTTCTAGGTTCTGGAAGCTCTCGCTCTGCGGGAGACCCGAGTCGTAGCCATACACCATAACGCGTGCAAGGGGTCTGTTGTCTTCCCCCGTGACATGATGCGGAAGTGCGTCTCGTAGCCACATGTGCTCTCCGTCCCTTTCTTTGAACGAACCGAATGCGTGCCCACCAAGGCCGGAGATTGCGATAACACTAGACCGCATTAATACACGATTGAAACGCAAGCAAGGTTACTTACTCAGTTTTGTGGTCCTGCAGGGGAGGAGCATAGAGAGTGGTGATACCGAGAAACCCATTATCAAGCGTGATGCTCGGCAGTCTAGTGGACTGATTGGAACGCGCAAGAAGAGGGATATGCAAGGGGCGCCTGGCCTGGGCGGCCGTCTGCAGCCTGGGGGGGATGTTCCGAAAGGAGACCGTCGCAGTCTGCGAGAGGCCATGAATCTCGTTGGTCAAGGATCGGACAGCCGGGCTAGCACAGTCTTGCTCCTCCAGGAAAGACTCCAGCCTGACTCGGTCCCAGTCGCGGGGCACGCCACGAACGCGGAATGTCCATCCTCCCTTCGGTGGAGGTTGGTTGCCAGTCGGAGTCGGAGACGGAGACGCAGACGGAGACGGTTTCAACCATGACCACCACCATCCAAAACCTATCGTCAAGAGGACGGCCAATACCGTGTAGATTGCCATGGACATTTTTGATGGACATGGGGAGAAGAGGCTCTCCGCTGTTGATGGATTGGCAGGGCCAGCTAATAAATGCCGCAAGTCCTCTGGGTGGTTTGCGGCTGCGCATTTTCTGCCCAACCAGCCCAACCGCATAGCCAATCACTTGCGAGCCCATTATTGTGTCAGAAGTGGCACTTTCGCGGGAAGTTATCACCCCGATTGGCTGGATGACCCAGCCATGCGAGGGTCTTGATTTTGGCGGTGGCAGCCGTGTAGAGAGTGTCCTGTCAAACGAGCGGGGCCGACCTAGCAGTACGCTCAATACCAGGAGCGAAACAATGACCACGTACAATGACCACGTTGCCAGGTCCCGACGGCCTTGAACGCGTCGACCCGAAGGTATCGAACGCTTCACGAAACGGAGGGGAGAGCGACGGATTCCAATATTTCTCGTGGCACACTTGAGCTAACATGGCGTGCACAGTCATCTTCCTCGTCGTCGCCTCCCGAAGATCGACAACACCGGCCATGCCGACGCAGCTCGACGCGACCCGGCCCTCTTGTCTCTACTCTCGCACGCAGCCTATCGCGACGATTTCGACGCCCGGCATTACGAGGCCCGATGACATCACTGACTGGCATGGACAGCCGCGACCTGCGGCGGAAGCGAGGCCAAGCTCTGACATGCTGTGGATTACGGATCGGCTCGTGTTGCTACCCAGCTCCCCACCGCTGCGGATCGATCGAGCGTTCGTCACGCAGCTACGCTGGACGACAGGCTGGCCTCCCGCTAGTACAGATAACCGCAAGGCAGCCTCTCTGTCCACCTCGCTTGCACCAAGCACAGCCCACAACGATCACCGTCCCGTACGATCTGCCAAGCCCCAGAATTACGAGACACTAGTTGGAGGGGCGAAACGAAAGGTCGCCACGGCTGCCAAGATTACAAAGGGAGTCGGCGAAGTCGCCCATTTGTCCTCTCTGAGAACGCTCGGTGATCCAGAACATGCTCAAGCATGTGGAGCCTATCGAGTCATGTGGGGTAGCCTAGCCGTCGTTGGATCCAAGATGGAGATGCTCTGATAGCCTAGAGGGCGGTTACAATACAATCACTACTCATATGACCAAGGGGGTTAGCAAAGCAACTCAGACACAAAGCTGAATTGGGGGTGTGTGGAGCAGCACCAGACCGCTCTTGTATTGGCAATATCTCTGTACCTCCAACAGCACAAACCGACTGTCCAAGAATAGCTGCTAGCAAGACTCAACCTGATCAAGCCCACCGTTCCTCCCCGTTCGGATGCATCTATCTAAGTGCATTGTCGACAGCAGATGATAACAGAACAGAGACAACCAGACAAGCCACATCACCCCAGCCCCCAGGAAGACGACGGCTATGGCCAGCAACGCTGTGCCGTAGCTCAGGTTCTCAAACGTCGGATTGCCGTTCAGCCTCTGCGTAGCCAGGCCGACCTGCATCGCGGACAGAATCACGCTGATGCACACGAAGGCCGGTAGCAGCCAGGAGAAGTTCCGCTGGAAGAAGGCCTGGCGCCACGTGCTTGTCGAGAGGTATCCCCAGACGAAGTTCTCGCGCGACCACATGGACGGCAGGAAGCGCGTCATCGAGTTGAGCCGCGAGAGCCGCAGCTCGCCGTAGTGGTAGCGCCGGTCCACCTGCGCCAGGCTGTCTAGATGCACGTTCCCCAGGAAATCCTTCATAAACCCATTCCACTGGGGCCAGTTTATTCCATCGGTGACCAGCCCGGCCGTCTGGGCCAGAACAAAGTCGCCACGGTGGCCAATGAGCCAGGAGTAGCTGAGCAGCAGCCCGGTGGCACTCCGGTGCAGCGCCGCGTCCGAACAGAGGTGCTCCGTCCAGAACGCGTGGCAGAGCAGGAACTCGGGCAACGGCTTCAGCAGGAGCTTGGTCTGGTACCACACCAGGTGCTCGTCCGGCCTCTCGGTCAGGTAGATAGCACGACCCATCACCCTCTGGCGCTGGAGCGGTCGCGCAGGTAGGGCAAGCCCGGCCAGCCAGAGGTGGTGGTGGAGCTTGTCGAGCTTCGGGGTGCAAAGTTCAGCTGCCAGGAAGCGTGCCATGTACCTCTCCGGGATGATGAGCGGCCTGTTGCGACCGTCTTGCACCGCAGCGGGAACGATGAGCCGGGACCTGTCAACGATGCTCTTCGACGCTGAGAAAGGCGGGGCGAGAGGTAGGTCTACTGTAGGCAAGCGGCTTGCCTGGCATTCGCCAACGCTGCCCTGACGCGGAGCCTGAACTGGATGAGGCGGATGGCTTCTTGTGTTCATTGGCACTGTTCATGAAGCCAATGGCCTAATGGATAGCTAATAGAAAAGCCAGGCCAGGGTATGTCAGGAGACGACACCACCGCTTCCAACGGCCTATTTCCCATCGCCATCCGGGTCTCCGTTCGAAGTGCGCTTGAGATCTTCTGTGGGCTCAGCCTCCATGTATGCCAGTTGGCGTCCTCTCATTGGCTTCTTGCTAGGCAGCCGCTGCACTGGCGTTGGTGAATGGTCAACACCTTGGCAATGTGTTACAGGCTGCGGTACATGTCGCTAGAAAGATGGTTTGGATTTTTTCGTAGGCCAGCATGGAAAATAAGCTGTAATACCGGATCCGGAATGCCCCGGGGCCGGTGTAATGGCAGCCTAAACCCTGACCCTCGGCTCTCGGACGGCCTTGGTGTCAGATAATTCCGAGAACCCAGATCCAGAAATGCCCAGGCAGAGAAAGATTGTTTTATAATGAATGAAGGCTTGAGTAACTCCATCCCAGTCACCGGAGCGTGTCTACAATCAGATTGGATTCAGGCGTGTCGAGACTAGCACGATAAGTTGGCACGTAAGCTTAATAGGACGCAACGGCACCGTCCCCTGAGGACAGGTCGTCTCTTCTGATGCGGCTTTCGGGACTCCTCGGCATTATTATTTTGGTTTTGCAGTTCTGATCAGATGAACCGCCTGGTCAAGCGGAAGCGAGAAGGCTGGACTCAATCTGTCTCGTGAGCCGTTGTCTCTGTCTGGTAAATTACAAGCAAGTCAGTCTCGTCGCCCATCTGAATGCTCAGGGTGAGAGAAACCCCGCACCATGTCACCTCGGAAGAGTCGACGATAGCCTGGACTTCACATATGTCCAGATGGTCCACGGCGAACTCGACTTTTCCAACCTCCTCGATCCCTAAGTTGGTAAGATATGGATGTCAAAGCTGTGTCAGACGAGAACTAACATTACGGAATCCTCAACTGACGGTCGTTCTCAATGATGCCTGGGGCGCGATCCACACTGCAGGCAAAGAGATCCGCACTCTGCTTCCCCTTCCCTTCCAAAAGTGCCTCTTCGAAATGGAGGCCAAAGTGGCTCTTCACTCCCGTATCATCTTCCAGAAGCTCGCCCTTTTAGCAGTAAGCCAGTGAGATGATTAGTATAATATGATTGCCGTGAATTTACTCTTCGTCGAGCCAACCGTGTAGGTAGCATCTTATTAATTAATTAGTGCCGCAGGATCAGACCATGATGATTCTTTTCCTGGGCCATCGTCTAGCTTCCTGATCCAACCAGCCGCTGCTTTCATTGAAAAATGCCCCAATTCTTTCATACTGGTGACCTTCAACCTCGCGCAATAAAACACCGAAGTAGCAGCGGTTCTCTGTCCTTGACTCGTGTCATTGCATCCAATCCCGACTAAACGTGATGAGCCCATATACCCTGTCTGGACGCGCGGCCTCGACCTCCTCCTTCGATATCTTGTCTTTCGGCTGGTTTAAGATATGGTCGAGCATCTGGCTGTACCACTCCGAGACGTCATTGCTCTTCGGTGGAGGCGGGGCCAGGTCCTGGAAGCTGAAGATGCTGAGGACGTCATTCCGGTCCAGTTCAGCGAAAGGACCCTCTATCTCGAGGGTTCCACCTGTCACCATCCCAAACGCTGAATTCTCCGGTGCCGGAACAACGTTGCAGCCAAGCACCCTAGCTAGTGGACACGCATCGTCGGTGATGTTACCGTATGAAATAGGGCAGTTGACAGATGCCCACGACCAGGACGGAGCTCGCCATGTCTCTGGCCGGGTCAGCCACTCGCGAGTGTCTGCGTACCACATCATGTCGTGAAGCAGGTTGTTCTCCCATAAGCCCGCCGCGTATCTCACGCCGAGAAGCCTGCTTATCTCGGCGGCAATACCGCCAATAGCAGGCAGTCGGTCGTTGTCTAGGCCCAGCTCCCGCTTCGTGTAGTCGTTGAGGAGGTTATACCAGGACTTCTGCAGTTGGCTTGTCGTGAAGAAGTCTGCTCCATTACTGAGCATATTGTGAATATTTCTAATAAGCTGTCGCTCGTCCGAAGTCGCTTTGCCGTCGTGAGGATAGAATCCGCCGTCACTCCAGGTTCCCTTGTTACATCTCCATGTTGGCCATCGCCCATACGAGATCATCCTGGGGGACAGAATCTTCTCCTGAAGGCACCATCCCCGCCGAGATGTGGGATCCGGGAATCTGTCGACAAATGCCCTATCCTCATCCATGAGCCAGATTGTCCCTATCGCCGGTATGGGCATACTCAAGGCATCATCGACTGTTTGGGCTTTCTTATTCGGCAATGGCAAATCAATCGGGACGAGACCCTTCCACAGGCCCGTCTCCGGGTCAGCATGGCTTGTCAAAAACCCATCGGCTGCCTTGGAGGCACTAGTGGCACCGATTGTCAGGTACGAGTTCCTGTAGATATCGGCCATGTGGGACACCTGGTGGGCCTTGTCCTCCTCGTCGTCCTGGATAATACACATCGAGTCAATCCAAAGATACTGGACACCGAGGTTCTGCGTAACTCGGACGGCATCTTGCAGTGTCTGGGGGAGATCTTCGATGGAGAAGCCGGAAAGCCTATCCGACAAGGTTGACGAGACCGTGCTGAACTCCTGCGGGCCGCCCCAGCAGTAACTCAGCGAGATATACGGTCCCGTCTCGCCATCCGAAGTCCTGTGAAGACGAAGATGGTCGCCCCCTGAGACATCGATCAGGCGCGACGGCAAGCTAGACGGTCCTGGGGGCTTGCACACGTCTCCATGTTTCTCATCGCATTCTTTCACCCAGTCTTTGATCTGCAACATTGCTTCGGGTGATCCAGGGGAAGCATTGGGCGGTCGACTGCTTATAAGTGTAGCGGCCGGGTCACCTATTGTCGTATCGTGTCAGTCTCTAATTAGACTATGGTTGAGGGACCGGCTACTAACCTTTGGCAGCAAATACATCCACCATAGCGTGAATAGTTCCTGCCGAGTTGAACACACCCTTCAGATTTTCCATGTCTTGGATTTCAGACGTTGCCTTATCCAGACCAATGTCGAGTCGGTCAAAGTCGGGCATCGCCCCATTCATGGACCTGATTGGATTGACGTGGAACTCGAAATTGTCGTTCTTCAGCCGAGTAAGCGTCTTCATGCAGTGCTTGATGAGTTCTGCTCGTTTCTCACCATGTTTGCTCGGTTCGGCGTACCAGGGTTTGTCAGGCTGATATGCAAAGACCTGAAGATTGCTCGGCCCGAAGAATTTATTCAAGCAATAGCAGCAGAAGGTGCAGCCCTTCTGCGTCGCTTCAATGAACCTGGAGATGCGGACAGGCCACCGCAGGGATATCTTCTTGTCTCGCGGAAATTGAGGATCTCGGAAGACAAGGTGTATAGCTCCCAATAGCTTCGTGATAGGAGCGCAAAATGAGCATGCTTCGAGCTTTGACATGGCAATTGATGCAGAATCCTGGGCTGGTGCGAAGTTTGAAATAGAGCTGTCATCTTTGCCATCTTCCTCCTTGCTTTCGGTTTCGGTTTCGGAGGCCTCGTCTGGTCCTGCCCCCTTGATGATGGGGGCGAAGGTGTGCCCAGGATGTATTAAGGAAGCTTCGGGAAAACACGCCGAACAGTAGTCAAAGTCCGGACAATCCTGGCACTTGTGTCGAGTTCCAGAGATCCCCTTGTTGCAGCTATCACACACAGCTTGTGGCTCCAGCGTTGTAAGCTCAAGACCACCGGAGAGGCCCTCGAGTTGTTTCTGGCCACCACTATCGTCCTTGCCCGACTGATCGACCTCAGTGGCCGTCAATCGAGGGTTTGTATCGTGAGATGTGCCTTTGGAATCCATGATGGCAAAGATGTCTGACTCGGAGACACCCCGAGGCTGGCTTGAGATGGACGTTAATTTAATAGTTGGTAGACGGGGCTCTCTTCTTTAATGTTTCACTCATGTTACACTGGATACGCAGCCTCAAAGGATCGAGTGACCCAGCCCACTCAGCCACACAGCTAAGCCACCTACAACAACGAAGGAGGCCGTCGCGGAAAAGTGGATTGATCCTTCTTTCCCTCAAGCCCCTGTGCGAAAATCCCACATTTGATCCTTTAAAATATTATTTTACGCATAAACCAATGATGCCTCGGGATTTGCTCTCGAGTCCAACTTGCCTTTTTTGAATCTCTTAAGATGAGCCTCCCTAGACGACGCTTGAATAGCAGGCTTGATGGCAGGGGGCATCTGTTGCCTCCTTGAAGCCTATCACTGATATACTTTTAGACAACATAGTTTACATTCCATGCAGTATATTTTATTTCAGGACCATACCGAGCGATAATTGCAAGCTCTCTGGGATCTCAAACGGCCTCTCTACTGGCACTAAACCCATATCGACAAGCTCTTTCTCCGTCACGTCTTGCCTCTCATCCAGCACGCGCTTCAGCTCCCTCGCCCGCTCCGTCACGTCTTCGATGCTCACTATCCACTTCTCAGTCCACGTGGGGCTGAGCGCTGCCGGGATACCGATCTGAATACTCCGATACTCGAGCCTCTCCAAGCGGACCGTCCGCTCGGGGTCCCACTGCACTTTGACGTTGGCTGACTTGGGCTTCGCTCCGGCTGCGGCTTGGGGTGCCTCGACAACGCCTGCTGTCTCAGGTTCGCTGCCATGCGCTGTGGTCAAGACCGCTGTTTCGAGCAGCCTGATGAGATCCGCATGCTTCATCTTCAACGCCAGGATACGCTCCTGCCCCGGATCCTTGTAGCTGTATCCGGCGCGGTAGAGCATCCACGCCCAGCTGGGCTTGATCCATGTCATCCGCGTGGGCTTGAATGCCGGCGAGGCGTGCAGCTTCTGCTCGGCGACGGCGGCGGTGGCAATGGCGCGGTTGTATGCTTGGTAAACGGTGATTGTGTCTGCGTTGTAGCTGGCACGGATCTGCTTGTAGGGTGGTGGAGTCGACATGTTTGATGGGGGAGTAATAAAATGCGGTCCTCGATTGTTATTGACTTGCTGAGGATGGAAGTATCAATACTCTGGTGGTTGGGGGGGGGGAAATGGATCGAAGCGCGTTTTGCTGCCTTAAGTACGCCAAATTTGACTCGAGAGAAGATGACTCAATCGGTGAGGACACTGGCTTAGGGGATGCATTACGGGATTGGCTAGCCCTGTGACCATAGAGTTAGCGCAGTGATTACCCGATTTGATGCTGAAGGGAGAGGAGGCCCAGCTGCGGGGGCGGTTCAATGAAAATTCGAAAAAACTGCCCTGGTAAAGGGACCTTATCCAATCGTTCTTGCTCAATCATTAAGTGAGGGGTATGTGCCTTGCCCACCTAGGTAGTGAGTCAGCGAGACGACGATGTTGATTTGTATGGCTATACTATAGTCACAAAAGCAGTTAGAACTTAAAACGGGTTAAACAGGTTGTATATTCCATTCAACATCCAATTTAAGATCCCCATTCCTCGACTCTAGGGTAGGTGCATTCTTTAACCCTAGTTACAGAGCTATTTCTCGTAGCCGAGCGGGAGCGAGCTTTTAACGATGGATAACTTTGCGGACGCTGCCAGCAGACCGTTCGTCTTCCCCGTGGCTCTGATGTCTGGTCCGATGAAGTCATGCGGGAACCCGACATCAAAAGGCCGGACGCTCTCGAGGAACTCGATTTGCTTGTCCGTGAGCTTAATCTTCAGCGCCTGGATGTTGTCCTGGAGATGCTCGACCTTCCTCCCGCCGACGAGGGGGAACACGTACGGCGCCTTTGACATGACATATGCGAGCGCAATCGCCGTCACGGACTCGATTCCGTGTTCTGCGGCAACCTTGGCGAGCGCCTCGCTCACCTTCACCTCTCCCTCGGTCTGCGTGCCGCCCATCATGCTGCGGAGGCCCTCGCCTCGCTTCTTGCGCTCCTCCAGTGCCTTCTTGGTCTGGAACTTGCCGCCGCCAATGGCGTCCCACGGTGCCAGCGCCATGCCGAAGTGTGCGGCCATGGGGATGATGTCCCGCTCGAAATCGCGTCTCATAACGTTCCACCGGCCCTGGTAGATGCTGAAGGGGGTCTTGCCGTGGGCTCGGGCGTATGTGTTGGCGGCGCTGACAACCCACGCAGGGCTATCGGAGATACCCAGGTAGAGAACCTTGCCCTGCTCGACGAGGATGTGGAGGCTGTCCATGACCTCCTCGATGGACGTGGTGTGGTCCCACCAGTGGAGATACAGGATATCAATCCAGTCCGTCTGCAGCTTGGCCAGGGAATCGCGCACACTGACGTGGAGACTCCTCTTGTGGTTGCCGCAGTGGTTTACGGCATGGCCCTTTCCCAAGGCATGTTGCCTGTAGTCCGTGGTGTACTTGGTGGCGATGACGACACGATCGCGGTTCTTGCGCTTGGCCATCCACTCGCCGATCCAGGTCTCGGACTGCTCGTCTTGGTAGTTATTCGCCGTGTCGATGAAATTGCCCCCGGCATCGAAATACGCATCCAGGAGCTTGAAGGACTGCTCCTTGTCCATGCTTCCCATGCCATCTGCCCAGGCATCGCCAATAGACATAGCGCCAAGCTGGAGCGGGGAGACTCGGATGCCAGCTGTCGGCGCCAGGATGCGGTATCGGCCGAGCTCAGTCTCCGGCTCGGGAGCGGGAGCGAAAGTAGAACTCATGGTGCTAATATTCTTGCTAAGAGTGATAGTCTTGGGTGAGGTTTTGGTGAAGTGTGAAGTGAGAGCGGAATTAATCGCATGATGGATATACTTTTCGTTCTAATTTATACCCAGAGACATGGAGAACCGATGGCGGCGGATTTTGGAGTTAATGACTAATTATGTCGGACTTTGGAGTTAGCAGTTGATGACGTGATGCATTAATAAAGCCGCGAAGAGTTTCGGGGTGGGCACTTTTTCGGCATATGAGCTCATTCCATGCTCAGCTCGACGTTTTTTTGTTTTATGTTGCCCCAAGGTGGCACATGCCACATCAGGCGTCAGTAGGTAGCAGTAATAGAAGGAAGGATCACTCTGCTTCTTGGCTCTCAATGAAAATCCGAAGAGAACTACCCTAGTCAAGGCACCGTATCGAATCCCTCCATTTTTGCCCACCAATCATTGAGTGAGGAGGGTACGTCCCTTGCCCACCTGGCGGGTCGGCGAGACGATGTTGATTTGTGGGAAACTTGTAACTGGGGCTTGATTTGCAGAGTATAGTACAAATGGCGTTCTGCAATGACTTCCATGTCTCCGCTTTTCGGGATCGGCCGCCCTTTAGGTGCCTTCGGTTCTACCAAATATCCCCACAACTGCGGTGTCAGGGCCGTTCCTTGGCGATATGGGATTGTTTAATACTTAGCGATTGATTGATGATATACAGGTGCTCCAATCTGGAGAAGTCCGGAAGTTGTCTCGTCCAACTGTTGCAGTTTCTGCCACTCTCTCCCCGTTAAAAGAGTGCCCCCAACAGCGCTGTTTTTGGGCGACGTCCAGCTGATGGACACTGAAAAGGGGTGAAAAGTCGTGGCACGTTGCGCAATAACGTGGAGAAGGACGAAGCCTGCATATGCATCAGCGCCACCGAGTTTTAATTGCCCTGACAAACGTATCGGATCTGTTTCCTCCCGTGCGCGCCGCGGGGTAGTTAACCAACACCTAAAGCGCCATCTTCCATAGGTACTGCTTGACAGCCTTCCCCCGCCCTGTTGCGCCATAATCCTTCAACGATCTTGGAAAATGGCAACCAATGTCTTAGGAGACGATCATCAGCCCTCGATGGATGCCTGGTCTCAGCTCAACGAGTCCTGGACGACTAAGGTCCCACCAAAATGGAACAGCTATTTCTGCAAGACGGTTTATGTGATTGCGGGAAAAGGCTCGACGCAGATAGCGTTCCCGATGCGAAAGATCGTTCTCGAACAATCACCGGTCATCAAAACCTCGTTCTGGCATCCATACACACTCCCTCCCGACATCATTAAGCGTGGTGAGAACATGTACTTTGAATCTTACAGCCCCGACGTCGTCAAGGGAATCTTTTTCTGTCTTCTGAGCCGAGACGAAGGCATTTCGGACCTGCTTCCGCGCGGTCCGTTGTTCTGGCGAGAAATCTCCGACCCCACATATTTTGTGAGATTCTACTTTCTGGCCGCGTCTCTAGGATAAGTTTTCTCTACATATGACGAATTCTATCTCATCGTCTTAAATTCTAGGATGGATTGGGCATGTGAATCAGCCCTTCGAGCCCTTGAAGCCCTTTGTCTGGGAGATCTTGATCACCGCTCGTTCTGGGATCTTCTCAAATTGAGTGAGACCGAGCAGCTTCTCGAGGATACCAACTTCAGAGGCTGACCGGTCCCGGCTCATCGTTCCCGCTGCGGTGCAAGACGGCCGAAGATACGACCCGTGTTGTCGAGCTGCTGTTGCAAATTACAACTTTCATGGCCCAGGATCTTGCAGCTAAGGAAGAGAAGGAGAAAATGCTGCGCACAATCTTGGACCGCAAAGGGAAGACGGAACTGCCTGCTATGTCGACCTCTATGGAGTATAATATGTAGTTCCAATGTTCTCGCTCACATAGTGTCAAGAGCATGGAAAATACAGCGGATACAAGTAGATGATTGGCAATAGCCTGGGGAAGGGGGTGGTTGCATGTCTAGCGATGGCTTTACTATTGTCTTCCTCTCGGTTGCAAACAATCTAATACGACGAGAAAGGCACTGTTCAAAGTCTCTTTTTTTAACAAAACCTGAATGTGGCTGAGGACGAGCTGCCTGATAGCGAGGAAGATGAGGAGGGGAAGAAAAAGGGGGAGCCAGTGCCTTTAGCCGTGAACGACCGGATATGCCGTTAGCGACGTGGTGACATCCGCACAGAAAGGGCCTCTGAAGGGGTAGATGGGTGAGAGAGGGAGAAAGATAGAGTGTAAAGCCAGCTATATTAATGAATTAATCACAGGGCATAACTGTACTAGAGGCTACCAAAGAGCTTGACGCCGCGAGAAGTGCTTTTAGAGGTTTGCTAGGTGCAGGTAAATAGATCTTATGGAGAGTAAGATAACCATCTCTTATTGTTCCAACCGCAGCTCAGCTCAAGTATCCACGGGTCGAGCACAACAGGACCTTTCCAGTCCCGTGTGGCCAGCTCAACCCTCATCAGCATGCAAAATTCCAGTGTTGACGACTTCGGTCCGAGCCTGGTCCACAGCTGCATCCGCATCCACCGGCTTCCCACTGTCGAGCTTTCGCTGCGCATATCTCCGCAGCCCGGGGACCTTGACCATAATCGACAGGGCCCGCTCCTTGCCCGGCAGCGAGCCAGTGCGCTCCTCGTAGAGCATGCAGGCGATGGTCAGCATCAGGGCAATCCAATAGACGTTGTACGCGATGACAGATCCGTAGGTGGCCGAGTTCTGCCACCCAAGGATCGCGTTGAAGACATCCCAACCGTTGTCCGTTTCCGGATTGCAGCAGTTGACGTGCCAGACGGACTGGTCGATGTCGTATGAGCCCGGGCCGTCGCCCAACTCGGCCACGTCGCTTCCGACCCTGCGGGCGAAAACGTGGTACTGCAGGCTCCAGACGGCCTTGGAGAACATGCCGGCGGCGATGAGGTAGAGGACGCTGGTGGAGGCGATCAGGAAGATCTGGATCGACATCAGGTTGCCGCCCCGGTACATCAAGAAGCCGATAAGCAGGGCGGCGATGATGCCGCAGACGACGGGCAGCGGGAAGGACGTGGCGGGCAGGCTGAGGGACACGCCGCCGACGAACACGACGGCCTCGACACCTTCGCGCAAGGTGGTGATGAACGGGAGGATGAACATGACGTGCCTCCGAGACCAGTCGCCGAGCCAGGTGGAGACATGGCGCGTCTTGGACTTCTCGGCCAGGGCCTGGGCGATCTTAAGTCTCCACTTCTCCTTCATCTTGTTGATGCGTAGAAGCGCGAGGCCCATGATGGAGATGATGATGGTGGCGATCAGGTAGAAGATGCCCTCCCAGAGGTCCTCGGACTGGGCCCAGACGTCCTTGCCCAGGCCGTAGAAGACGCCAATGAAAGCGCCGCCGATAATGAGGCAGACGACCACGCCTGCTGCCGCGCCGAGCCAGACTTGCCGCACCAGCCGCTTGTATACTGCCGTGTCCTGGCCGCCATCGCCGAGGCACTGCTTCAGGAAGGAGAAGAGCACCGAGATGATGATGGTGGCTTCTAGGCACTCGCGGAATACGATGAAAAAAATCTGAACGGCAAAAACGTCCTTCGCCATGGTGGAGGATGGTCGGAGTGCGTGGCCGGTGATGGCAATGAGGAGATAGACGGAGAAGTGTTTTGCGGTGGAAAATAGGAGGAGGACGACGAGGAAAACGACGAGGAGGGACTGGAGCTGCGGGGGAAATCAATCAATTTGTGAGTGTGTCTGCCTTGCGGCGTCATTGGAACATGGGAAAAAGGCTTTGCTAATGAAGTAATTCTTAGCGAGGGGATACATCTGTACCTTTGAGAAAAGCTCTGGACCGGTTACGGAGATTTGGGGCTGTCTTTCTTGCGACCCTTCCATCCACTAAATTAGCGCGGGGTCTGGAGCCAACAAGAAGCAATACCCGAGGCCACATGAGGTGCCGTTAAGCCGAGCGAGCATAAATTTTCGTGGCATCTCATCGATGTGGTGGATTATCTTTGGTCATCTTATCTGATCCGTCCCATCTAGCGCCAAGCTAATGCCAAGCTAGGGCTAAGCTAGTGCCAAGCCGGCACTCCTGCTGCCAAGAAAGGTTATCTGATCGAACCATCCCCCACCCGAGAAAAATTGACGCACCAGCTTAGCGAGACCGCGACCGGCCCAGCTCGCCAATTGGTGTGGCAGCACGGGTGATAAGATTGTCCACGGTCTGGCTGGCTTCTACGAGTGTGTCTGGTCTGGCTCCCCTCAATCCTCTTCTGTCTGAGTCTTGCATTCTGTCAACTTCCAAATCCTGCAACTCCAAAGTCCATCGTTGGCAAGACCATGCAGTCGGGACATACATGACATATCTGTGCATATATCTACACTATAATTAGTGGAGCCACAATCATCCATTCCCATTCCCCAGGCTTGGCAGAAGCAATGCCGCGACTAGCTTGGGCGATCGCCTTGCTTGGCGCAGCGACAACAGCCTTGGCAAAGACTGTCACCTACAACTTCAATGTGTCGTGGGTCACTGCGAATCCCGATGGGCTCTTCGAGAGAAAGGTGGTGGGCATCAACGGCCAGTGGCCGCTACCCGTCATTGAGGTCGACAAGGGAGATCGGCTCGTGGTGAACATGTACAACGGCCTCGGCGACAAGGACGCCTCGATCCACTTCCACGGCATGTTCCAGAACGGGACTAACGAGATGGACGGCGCCAACATGGTCACCCAGTGCCCGATTCCTCCCGGCTCGAGCTTCACCTACGACTTCACCGTCAACCAGAACGGCACCTACTGGTACCACTGCCACACGGACTACTGCTATCCCGACGGCTACCGGCAGGCCCTGATCGTCCACGACAGCCACGCGCCGTTTGAGTTCGACGACGAGTTCACCATTACCCTCTCCGACTGGTACCACGACATGCTCGAAGACCTGTCGCACGGGTTTATGTCGGTCTACAACCCCACCGGCGCCGAGCCCATCCCGGACTCGTTCCTCTTCAACGACACCCTAAACACCAAAATCCCCGTGCAGCCCAACTCGACCTACCTGCTGCGCTTGATCAACCACGGCGCCTTTGTCGCCCAGTATTTCTACATCGAGGGCCACACCTTCGAGATTGTCGAAGTCGACGGCGTATACACGGAGCCGGCTGAGGCTGAGATCCTCTACATCGCGATTGCCCAGCGCTACTCGGTGCTCCTGAAAACAAAGAACACGACCGACGCCAACTTTGCCATCGTCACCGTTGCCGACACGCAACTCCTCGACACCATCACGCCAAACCTGCAGCTTAATAACACCAACTGGCTCGAATATGACAGCCATGCCGACTACCCGCAGGCGTCGATCAACGTCTCGCAGGCCTCAGACCTAAACCCGTTCGACGACATCACCCTCGTTCCGTACGACCGCATGCCTCTCCTCCCCGAGCCGGACTACCGAATCAACGTGACGGTATACATGAACAACCTGATCACGGGCTACAACTACGCCTTCCTCAACGACATCACCTACACGCCCCCCAAAGTCCCCTCGGTGTACACCGCCCTATCCTCGGGCAACCTGTCCGCCAACCCCGCCATCTATGGCGAGTACACGCAGCCCATGGTCCTACGTCACAACGACGTGGTCGAGGTGATTCTCAACAACGGCGACAGTGGCTCGCACCCGTTCCACCTTCACGGCCACAACTTCCAGCTCATCACCCGCGCTCCGCCCTACGGCCCCCACTTCTACGATTACCTGAACGGCGACCCCGTGGGGTACGACCCGAATAACCACACGGCATTCCCAGCGATCCCTGTGCGACGCGACACGGCCGTGCTACCTCCGCAGGGGTACTACGTGATCCGCTTCGTGGCCGACAACCCGGGCGTGTGGCTGTTCCACTGCCACATCGACTGGCACATGTCGTCGGGGCTGGCCATGATAATGGTCGAGGCCCCGGAGCTGATGCCGGAGCGGATGAGCATCCCCGAGGACCATTATGATGCGTGCCGCAAGGCCGGGGTGGCCTACGAGGGTAACGCGGCGGGCAACGCGGAGGATTTTCTTGACTTGTCGCGGCAGAACGTGCAGCCGGGTTTCATACCGGGGGGATTCACGGCACGCGGGATCGTGGCACTGGTGTTCTCGGTCGTGTCAGCTGTTCTTGGGATCGTGAGCATCGTCGTGTATGGACTGGCGGATATCAACCCCAAGCACAAGCACCACGCGGCGGCACCGGCTGTCTCGGAACCTGGTGGTGGGTCGGCGGATCATGCGTATGAGGTTGTTGGTCAGACGGTAAACAGTGAGAAAAAGGATTGACACGGGACACGGTGAATCTTGGTGGGGGATTTTATCTTGCCAATCTTCCACGCCCTCTTGTGGCTTTTAATTAGCTCTTTGTTCTGTAATAGCGTCTACGTGCTGAGGGAAATAATTCATGGACTTTTTATGTCTTCGGATTAGTACTGCATATTATTATCGCCCCAGGTCCGAGTGCAGACGTCTGGATTCATCTCATCTCACCGTATCACAGCACCTACAAACTTTGTAATACGGGGGTGAGGTTTCAAGCGTTTGGATATCTCACATTCCACGTCAATCAACTCCTTGCAGTTCGGAAGGGGGATGGGCTTCTTAATGACGGTAGTATCGGACGCCCGGTATGCCGCACTAGAGACACCGTATCTTCGACTATACCTCCGTGCATGCAAGTTTATCTTTCAAGTCAGTACAGTAAGTTAGAGCGGTGTTAATTACACAGTACCCCTCGCTTCCATAGGTAGGCGGTACCTAGCCCTCAAGACGGGCAGAAAGTAATTCCAGCGCCGAGTCCCAGCAACTTTCGGCGATTAATCAGCAGAGATGATGACACTGTTAGAGGCGGGGGATACCGCAGCCCACCAATTTTTCACTCACACACACACACCTTCCTAGGTTCATTTTCGCCTATGTGTGGATGCGACATTGTTCTGGTTGCATTGGGATCCAATGCGATCCAAACCCGTCGACCTCCCAGCCGCAGCAGCCGGCCAGAAACAAAAGCGATGTTGGAACTGTCGTAGTAAGACGATTCCCAGATGAGGCCTAGCCTGCCAGTACCCCCCCGTCAACTGATCCTTGATTCCATCACAGCCCATAAGATTGCGTGTGATAAGACACTGCCATCCTGCCGGAACTGCAAGGAAAAGGGGCAGACATGCTTGGGTTATGGATTGAAGCTGTCATGGCCACGGGCGTCACTACACGATCCCTGTTCAGTCGGGGGGGCTTGATTTCATCAATACCTCAGCTGGAGATGTTGAGGCATCCCAGGGACAGGGTATGTAGCATCACTCGGGAGACCGGATCGTCTTAGTACACCATATGTCCGAGATGTTCCGTGAATCTAATAAAATAACCATCCATTCCAGATTTAGGGAACCGCGGTCAACATCATGTTTTTGGGCTCTCACAGCAGCCCCATAACAGCGTGGCGAGGTTGGATCCGCTGCTCGCAACGAATCGTATGTAGTAATTCAGTATCTCTCTTTCCGTCGTTGATCTGGTAATGCTCTGTCTGCTCACACAATGCAAATACCCACAAGACTACAGCCCAGTCGCACGGCTGGTCTCTTCGAAATCTTACGACGCCGACGATCTTTTTGGCCTTCTCGTAAGGCTGTCTCTTAGCGATGATGAGCTGCCCTCTCTGGCAACACGACATGCCATCAGTGCGTTGTCGTATCAGCATCTGCGCATGGAAGAAACGGCAGTCATGCATCAGACCTGCGCAATTCGTGCTCTCCAAGCGTCCATCGAGAACCTCGACCCATCGCGAGCCATGCAGACGATGGCGGCGAGCATGTTGCTTAGTATTTTCGAGGTCAGGCAGACTGCCCAGTTGCTGTTTGACTTTGGGTGGCGTGTGGTTTGTGCCTGGCTTACCGAATTTTATGAATATTACAGACACTGAACTTCGAGACGTCGGCTCTCAGTTGGTCCATCTTCTTCTGCGGCACCAAGAGGATTGCGAGTCTTGTAACTCAAAAGAACGACATTTACTTCGGCGATGAAGCACTAATCATGGACTGGATCTTCTACAACGACACCATGTACAAGTTCAGCATCCGACACTGGAGGGATAAGAATGAGGACCAGATTGAGCTAGCGGCGCAGGAAAAAGTTATATCCAAGGCTGTGTTTTCGCCCGAAAGGCAAATTGCAAGTGACCCGTGCCTGTCCTCTCTATCACAGCCACAATTGATATTTTTTACGCTAATATGCTAACGAGGGGGATGCACGCAGATAGTGCCAATCCTAGGCTGTTCTCTCGAATTGTTAGATCTTGTCTGCCAAGTTATCGACAGCGTACTCGATCGCGGCGATCCCCACTACCACTCCCAGGTGCATCTAAAAACGACCAGATCCCTCGAGATCCGTCTGCAAGATCTGGAGCAGCGGCACAGCGGGGTCTCGGACGTTGATCCCGAGGAAGTAGTCCGCCAAACCAACATCGCAGAGCTCTTCCGTCTGGCGACACTGACGTACCTCTACCGGTTGGCCAGAGGTGAACCCAGAGACTCCGCAGCCGCCGACGGAGTAATCAACCGGGCGTTCGCCGTCCTGGGCCGGCTTGAATACTGCGAGCGGCCTTGGCCCCTCTTTATCATTGCTCTTGAAGCGCGCACGGAAGAGCAGCGCACGGCGGTTCTGGCGGTTCTGAAAGGGTCTTTGGTACGACAACCGCTGGGCACAACGGCTCTAGCAAACCGCATGATTCATGACGCGTGGATACAACAGGATCTTCACGAGGCTGAGATGGACAGTTTGACATTGTATGGTCTCATTATCAGCCGAAACCGGGTGCCGCCATGCTTCACATAAGCAAATGGATTGTTTTCTAGCAAAGAGTGATAGTATTTGTGGTTGTGGAACGATATTTGGCAAAAGATGAAACGAGGGCAAATATCTATATTAATTATCCCGGCCGTGAATGCTATGTAATGTAGTGTCCCAAGACTCCTGGACCTCCAACCTTTCTATGCAGCGACTAGATACTCAATAATTAAGATCTAACAGAGGATTTAACAGAGGACTGGGTAAAGAAAAGAAAAGGAAAGAAAAGGAAAGGAAAGGAAAGAAAAGGAAAGAAAAGGAAAGGAAAGGAAAGGAAAGGAAAGGAAAAGCCAAACAGCTCCCAATTTTTTGTGTACACCACACTGTAAGGATGAAACGGTCATCATCAATCAAATGTGACACAACCCCATTGAAAACCTATGCGCCGACCTGGAGGACTTCGCCAAAGAGTTTCTCACGCTTCATCAAGAGGCCAGCGATGGTCAAGACGCCGCCACCGACGCAGACCAGGATAAAGGACCTCTGCATGGCCTGGGTGATGGCCAGGACGGCTTGGTCCCTGAGGTCTCCGCTCAGCTCCTCGAAGAGGTGGCTCTGGGCGCCGGCAACGGCACTCCGGATATCCGCATCGGTGTAGTGGCCGGTGCCACCCAGAACCTTGGTGAGGTTCCCGATAGCGGCAGACTGGAAGACCTGGCCTGCAATGACGAGGGCAATGACACTTCCGCCGATTTGGGCCACGTTCTGGAGGGACAGGGCATCGCCCATGTGCTTTGGGGCCTTGAGGGTCGCAACGGCGTAGCTAATCTGCAGGGTGAGACCGGACCCGACAGCGGTAATGCAGGTGAAGCCGTAGATGTAGCTTGCAGGTGTGGCAGGATCGAGGTAGGCTGTGAGCAGAGCGCTACCGAGAGTCATGAAGATACCGGACACGACGTAGATGGGCATGTAGTATTTGACTTTGGAGAGCAGGTGGCCGGCACTGAGGTTGAAAACGACGGTGACGACGACGAATGGCAGTAGGCGGACGGCAGCCTGGAGAGCAGAGTCGCTGTGGACGAATTGAAAGTAGATGGGGATGAAGTAGACAATAACGAAGAGAGACGTAATATTGGCAGCGGTTCCGATGTAGAGGAGTATTTGCGATCTGGATCGGAGAAGGTGGACTGGGAATGATCGACTGTCGGGAGTTGTGAAGATGCACCAAGTCTGCTGAATGCCGAAAGCTACCAGAGTGATGACGAAGGCGACAATAGTACCAATGGTGCGGCCGTCGCTCCAGGGCCACTGGCCACCGGCCATAGTGAAAGCCATGGTAAAGGAGACCCAAACGCCAGCACCCAGGAACAGGCCAACGACGTCGATCTTCTTAACACGGTCCATAACTGAGACGCCGGTAGTAACGGGATGGAAAGACGGCAGGGCAAAGAGATAGGCCGGAAAGAGTGCGGCCGCGATGATTAGGTTGATGTAGAAGGCCCATCGCCACGTGGCGCTAGAGGTGACAAAGGATCCCCCAATAACAGGACCAAGGACAGCGCCTATGCCCCAGCAGAAGCCAGTGCCGGTGATGTAGAGGCCTCGCTCCTCAGGGGTGGTCAGGCTAGAGAAGTAGTTCAGGCAGCCCATGAAGACACCGCTACCACCGGCACCGGCGAGGACGCGACCAACAATCAGAGCCCCCATGTTGGGAGCGGCACCGCAGAGGGCTGAGCCGACTTCAAATAGGCCAAGCGAGGCAATGTACATCCATTTCATATTGAAGGTCGTGTACATGACTCCATTAAGGAGAATGACGGAGACGGAGCCGAGAGGGAAGCCAGCACCAACCCAGGCAAGCTGTTCAACGTGGCCAAAGGCCTCGACGACGGAGCCCTGGACGTCGGCGGCGATGGTGGTGTCGAGACCGTAAATGAAGATGGAGATGTAGAGCGAGATGCACACAAGTGCCCACCGCAGGCCGGTGAGGGTGCGAGCCGCCGGGTGTAACGCCGCCTCGGGCTTGGTCTTGTCGGCGCTGCCCTTCTCGGAATCCGGGGCAGCTGTTGGGGAGGGAACGCGGCTGGTGGCGAGCTCCATGAAGGATTGTTGGGTAGTTGCATCCATTGGTTTCTCCCTTCTCTTTTTTGGGGGGGTTGAATATGGAAAACCGATGAGCTGGTGATGCAGCGTCACTGAACAGATATTAATTCAGCAAGGCCGGGTGAGGACGGTGAAGGCAGAAAACTCCTGTTGAGGAAAGTCCTGTTGAATTGAGGAAAGAGTAAGATATGGTGGTGGCTATCAGATGCAAATACGAGGATGGCAGGGTCAGAATCGAGTTGAGGAGAGTAGGATTTCATATTTATTGCTTTCTAGAGTCAAAGTTGATGTCAACGATTTATATCTTCCGCTGCCTTGTAAGGCTTTCCATCACAAGCACTGCAGGAGATAGGGATGGATCCAGCAATTATTCAGCAGTGCTTTTGTCACACCAATTCCAATCGGCAAGTTAGGTAGAAAGCGATTTGTGAATTGCTGCGAATCAGGGCAGGTTTTTGCGATGCAGCCCACCCCACCACGCAAATGATTGGCTTATTGCTTTCGTCGCTCCCGGCCTTGGCACGCTAGTCCAAATGCAGCTGTCGCAGCAATTAGTTCATCGCAAATAGCTGCTCTCAGTCCTCCGTCGTGACCAACCCGAGTGCAATGCCACCTTCATCACTGCCTGCCCCAGCTTGGCACCGTCGTCAATTTAGATCTGACTAATTTAGCAGGACTCTATCTCGACTTGCTTGGTAATGCAGCGGATGGAGTAGAAAGCACCACATTAGACCAGAATTTTATGTTAGTCTCCGAGGGAAACACCGAGGATTGATAAGACAGTGAGCCCGGATGGTTCAACATCGAGGAGTCAGTCCGAGAGCTTGCACCTCTCAATGGGTGTGGGTCCCGACCACTTCGGCGGGCAAGCGCATGTCGACTTCTGGTTCTTCGGCTTCAACATCGACGTTGGCGACGTCAGGTTGGGAAATCCGCCCATCTCCCTCGCCGACTTCTTCTTCTTCGAGCTCATCCGATCGACCGGTCAGCCCGGCGAGTTCCGCTCCACCGACACCATCTCCTCGTCTATGGAGAACCGCGCCATAGCGCTGCACAAGTGGACGGTGGAGCCGGACCTGGCCCTCGTGACCACCCCCGACGCCGTGCCGGGCCAGCCCTTCCTTCCCCTGCACCAGCCCCGGCAAGGAGTGAGATATCAACGCCTCCTTACTGATGATGCGCGTGGGCGTCGGCTTTGTGCTGACCGACGCCTCCTTTGTCACCGCCATTGACATTACCACCTCCCAGCCGCCCACAACCCCCACCACCCCATTGGTACCGTCGGCCCAACCACCGGCGCCGTCTACTCCATGCCTATGCATGCCCTCACAGGCGCGACATCCTCGCTCGATATCACCGTCGAGCACGACTGCACCCGGCCCGGTAGGTTTGGGTCTAGATGATATCAAGAAGAGTCCCGCACAAGCAGACCATAGCACTCACCCAGGCGACTGTCGCATAGCACGTATGCGTGCCAGTGCAGCTCGACGCCTTCATACTCAACCCGGCGGTTGTCGATGATGGACCTACTCTCATTGCCCCATCACGCAGCCCAACTAACTACGTCAGTTTGCGACTGTCGAACTCGGCCATTCAGGTTAGTTTCACGACACAGAAGAATGATAGCATAACCCTAACCTGCCTAACCTTGCCTTCCGGCAAGTCCCCAACAGATGGCTGCTTGCACGCATCCTCGGCAGCTACCAGCCGAAATCAGCCAAGATCGAACCTACTTCCTTGACCCCGACCTCGCCACCCCCGACAAGACCAATTTCATCGAATCCCACGCGTCCCGGCTCTTAGCCAAGGCCCTAATTACTTGTAGACCAGTACGCGCTATCCACCTCTACTCGGGCATCCTGCCCATCAAGTCGCTCTAATTAACTGCCGGCTTGGGCACTCGCGGCGCCGACGCAGAACATGACGGGGATCTTCGCCATGGGCCGGCTGATACTCACCAAGGACGTGCCAAATGTGTTTGATGCCGAGAAGCAGGCGGCGCCGACATCGTGGATGCGGGACCATGGGGGAGGTATGAAAGGACACGAAGAAACCTGATGTGCCGATTCCTGTGGCGGAGATTAAGGGGTACGTTAGCCATCTAATCTCTACTTGGTTTCAGGTACAGTACATGTAACTGGTCTGGACCTTGCTAACGATCGAACTCTCGTGGCACATAGGCAATGGAAGTGGCTCCAGCCGTACTCTCTGTTGACTCCCTCGCCGGCTAGTGCGGGCCCAGGCACCGTTGCCGCAATGACCAAGCCAACGGCGTACATGTCGTTCTCAGCCAGGCAGGAAGCTGAAGACAGATCCGGCCCCGTATATCTCTGTGGAAGGCTTCTTGCGGTTGGCGGCTCCACTGCTGGCGAATAGTCTGAGTGGGGATGGCCCTTGACGGGGGGAGCGAGATAACTGACATGTCTTTACCCCTATTTTCGTGGGTTCTCTTCGTTAGGTTGAAGGCACCGAGATAGTAGTAATAGCATGATTCCTGCGTCGAACAGTTCGATCAGACTTGCAACGGTTCTCGGAAGGTCTCGGCCTTTCCTATGGAGATTGGTATCCAATTAGGGGTGTCTGCATCAGTGCTTGTCCTGATTTCCCTAGGCCAATAGGAACTCTAATACCCGCCAACTGCATGTGGACGGATATCGCAGGCCGTCATCCAGGCAATTTATTTCAGTGCGGACGGTCCGTATATGCAGCGTTATGGCGCACATGGGTAGAGCTGCGCAATGGGCTGGAAGAAGAGAAGCATGGTTATCATGCAGTTGGAACTCAAACTAAACCCTGCAGGAAATCGTTCATATTCTACCATAAACCAACACTGCGTTCTCCACTCTTTCCCATCGTCTCGCTATCCAAGCCGCACAGTCGAGCACCTTGTGACACTTGAACGATACGGAAGCATGCAATGTTAGCACCGCATCTTCCCCGAACCGCTACTCATCCTCGTCTACCCTCCTCTCTATCAGCTCAATTGGTTGGCAATCCTCGCTCCGGACTCTTCTTACGCTCTAGATTCCCCACAGTGGCCGAGTTAGGAAGGTAGACCCAGCTTGCGAACCAACAGCCGCAGGAGCATCCGGTTAAAGCCTCCGACCCGGATATCGGTCTGGACGGTGCATAGTGTGTTTGCCTCACTGAATATTCAGGGGTTAGACAAAGTTCACACGTGTTTATTTTTATTGGTGGCCAATTTCAGCCTGCCTGTTGCCTTAATTTGCGCCGAGGTGCATTTCCGGGTATCATACATCCTCGCACCCCCTCTAAACGTCAAGCCTGACTTGACGGCAGCGGAACCAACGAACAGGATCGGCTCGCAGAGAATTACCAAGACACCTGCATTTGAACCAGTGTTTCGGCGACGTAAGGTAGGACAAGGAAGCGAGATGCTCGACACCTCCGCCGCTGGGTCCGAATTCCATGTCAACAAACTAGGTGTACAAGGGATGTTGAGCCAACTGTCATTGATCGACAGTGGATAGAAATTAAAGACTCAATTCCAGGTTTGAGGTGTAGTCACACGAGAGACATGATTGAAATGCGTTCTGAAGGATTCGGTGTCTCAAGGGGGGTTCAAGTTGGTGCCTCTTAGTAGAAACCAACGACTCGATCACATAATGCCAGTACAGTCAAAGATTATGACTGCCATCCTCGGTCCCGAAATCGTTTGGTTCAATGTTATCCGAGTTCCAGAGATATATATCTGGAGGGAATCCCCGGCTCCCTCCCTCTCTCTCACTTGATATCGACTCAGTCTCGAAATCCAGGGCTCTGATACTACAGGCCAGGCTCATTAGCTCCTGCACTTCCACTTCCAATCTCACACGCGTCTTTACATACAGTGCGACTCTCCTACTCTCCTATCATCCTCCGACCCTCACCGGATACGCAACTCTGCCTGAGGCTATGCGTGTCTCCGCCCTTTCCCTGGCCACTGCCGCTCTCGTGGTCTTAGGCGGGTCTGCTATCCATGTGGCCACGGAACGTTCTAATGGGATCACCTTCACGAAGGCCCAGCTTGAACGCCTTATCGCCGCCACCCCAGACGACTCCATCGGCAAGAGGGCATCTCAGCAATGCCAGTGCTCAACTCCCGACACTATCTGCTGCTATGATTGGTTTCCTGCTCCAAGAGGAGGCGTATGGGAGTGCAATCCTGACGCGGCCAATATTTGCTAGGACGTCTACGCAGTGAGTAGCCCATGGAATTAGCGAGTGCTCGGGTGCTGATTGCCAATTACAATAGTTGACAATTACCTAGTCCTGCATATGCGCAGTGGGTACTGTCCTGGGAGTGGAGCGATAACCCTTTTGACTCAGTCGGGAAGAATGAAGAGGGGGTTTCGCTGTCAAATGGTTCAATTCTAGTCACTCATTGCCTCTTCGTTTGGAGAATTTAGTTTTTTTCCCTGCGTATCTTATGTATCAGAATATCATCAACCTGGGTACCCAAATGAATTTTTGAGATGCAGATTGCTTCGCGAAGTCAGATCCTTCCGGTGGCGCAGCTCGAACCATCCCACCCATCGGCCCGCACCCCCGAGTGACTCGGTGATTGGACGGATGCAACCGCAGCTGCCTAAAGTGCAGCGCCGACCAACAACTCTCGGAAAGCAATGTCGCATATTATTCCTTCAAAGCGAATGGGTGTGGTAATTAGTAATTGCCTCCTGAGCGACCCCTCATGGGAAGAGAGACACCATCGATCGTGTTCCCCTTAAATCCTAGCGACTGTCTGCCACCTGGATCCTTGAGTGATACCAATTAGAGTCCATTCTATCCTCCACCTTTTTATTGTCGATACCATGGACGGCCCAAATGATTGCGCACCTCCCCCAGCCTATGGCGCACATGTGGCCGACCTCGCCACTGACGAAGACGCGGCAGTGCTGACGGCGTCCTTCGCCGCCCTCGACTTGGCTCCAGGGCCCCAGGATCCGAGCGTGGCCACGTGTCTGGCTCACCTCAAGCTGCTCTTTGCATTCAAAGGGTTGAAAGATGATGTGGGATGCCATGACGGCCTGTGGGACATCTGGGACTCCCGAGCCCACAACTCCCAGAACCCAGCGGACGTCCTGCCGTTGCTCCGCGAGAAGCGATGGGCCATTTTTGTCGCCAGAGCTGTGGACCGTTATGAGTCGTGGTGGAACACATTTCCTGGAGGCGATACGCTGATAGAGGCCGACATTCACAACGGAACCAGCAGATATGTGAAATCCACCGAGCCATGTGAACCCCTGAACTTGACACTAGACGAATTGCCGCCCCTTGGTAAGGATGCTAGTCAATGGGTAATTAACGAAACACACTTGCTGATGGGAAGCAGATGTTCTGCTGGTTTGGCATGCACACATGCTAAATCCGCGCTTGTTTCTGGAGGTAGGGGATAATTATTGCCCGCATTTCTATTCCATGCATCACTCTGGACTAACCATATCTGTCCCAGGATTGTCTCAGGAATGGCCGTAGGGCCCTCTGGTCTACTGGCATGCCATGGAATGTGGTCAATCAAGCTATCGACACGAATTTCCGGTATAGCGTATCGAATGAATGCAAGGCAAATTGGGCCACCTCCACAGGCCGCCCTTGGAGTAACGAGGAAGACTCCACGACAAAGCCGGTTGCCTGTCCGGCTTGCTCTCACATTCTGGACATTCCATGGACAACTTGTGGCCAGTCTCAGGACACAAAAGGAAACAGGTATTTACTTTCCGTCTTTGACAGTTTCTCATCGAGTCTAACAGAATCCAGACGGCCGGGTCTCGTGGGGGAGGGATTTGGTGACGGTGCACTCAACTACATGTGTCGCAAATGCGGAACAACCGTTGACCTGGACGCTCTGAAAGTCAAGAAATTCGTGACCGACACGAGAGATCTCGTTAACAACCAGAGACCAATGCCTGGCACGATTCTCGACGTCAAGAAGGGGATGCCGGAACAAGCATTGGACAAGTCAACCCGCATGTTCCCAAATCGGCTCGTTCGGCGGGGCATCCTTGTTGAAGTTATCAACCTCGTCAAGTCTGCTAGTGGCGAAAGAGTGACGATGGAGCAAATCCGCGGCATCGTTGAAAAGGCAATTGCGGATCCGAACACCCTCAAAAGAGTCGACGGCCTGGATGGACTGCAGGGACTTCGGCCGCAAAAGCTAAGCAGGCAAGAACAACTACAGGTCCGGAAAATGATGTCTCGGTATTGGGAAAACGCCTCACTGTTTGCTCTCGATGTCGGTGGCGCTGTGATGCGGCAATGTTCATTCACAGAGAAGATGTACAAGGCATGTCTTACTTATCTCAACAGTGCCTAACAGTTAGTTACCCGGTGAGATTTGCTGACGTCTTGCAGTTCGATTGGATCCACAGTCCTGCCTCAGAAGCCACGATGGAGGCTCTGTTGACAAAGTACGATCGATTCTTCCAGATCATGGCTTCACACCCCGACAAAGTCGCAGTACCAACCCTCGATATCGACTTGGCGTGGCATACACACCAACTTAGTCCCGTGTCGTATTACCAGTTCTCCGTCGCCAAGGCACACGTATTCATTGATCACGACGACAAGGTCGATGAGGATAAACTGTCCATGTCATTTGAGTGGACCAGTAAGGCATATGAGAACAAGTACAATGAGCCTTACTCGGAATGTCGTTGCTGGTACTGCGAGAGTAAGCGTCATCCCCTGTTCTCCATATTCGTTAACGAATCATCTACTAATCAATAGGACAGCAATCCGAACTGCGCACAGCCCTCCCTCCAAGAAACTGCTGGGCGTGTTGAAAACCAACAAGTGTCAGTCATTGCCTTTTTCACTCCAGATGTGTCCACATGTTGATAAGTCTCCCGCATAGCATCGAACCAACCGGCACCCCCCGACAGAGAAGTGCACATCTCCGCCCACAACTCCGTAAAGACCATCGAAAGCGAGGCCCGCCGTCGGACCAACTACCAGCTCCGCCTGCTCTTCAGGACCCGTCTCACAGAAAGCTACGAAAAGGCAGCCAAGCAGGCGAGGAAGCGAGGGGAGGTTCTCGGTCCCCGCGAAGACGAGCAAAACCACTGGGGGAAGACGCACACCCTCCAGGGGCCGTGGTGCCACCCGCATTATATCACAACATCCATGTATCCCGAGGCTCCACACATCGTCAATGCTGGGCCCGGGGCCCCGGGCGCTTGCGCTGCCGGCACTTGTGGCGGAGCTGGGGGATGCGGGTCTGGGGCTGTGGCAATGTGCCGGGCCGGTTGCAGCGGTGTACGTATAAACCCCCCTCCATTGTCTTGATTGGATGGAGAACTCTTCGAAAAGCTAATGGTAGTGTTTATACAGGGTAGCCAAGCAGGGTGCTTGGGGGGCGCAGTGTAACGAACGGCCTTGTCTGCCCCGCCGGTGATACTAGGCATTTCAGATAGGATAACTCAGATAATCCCTAAAGAGAAGAGTGGCTCGGCTCCTTTCCCTGGCACAGTTGTCTACATGGGTATGAGTATGCAAGTGTCATTCAGTCTGCCATATGTATACAGTGCACTGACGGCATAGCCTTGCACTTGGATTCCCCGAAGATGGTAGATTCCCACGCGATAGCCACCGGAATAACCCAAGGGACCACCGGTTCTTCCATCAGTGCCATCATCGAAGACTTCCTCCCCTCGACTAAGCAAGACACTGGCGTGAGTAACGTCTCTGGTGTCCTAGCAACAGCATTCTCGCAAAAAAAAAAAAAAAAAAAAAAAAAAAAAAAGGCGAAGACGATCAGCATACGTCGTAACCTGTCATCCACATCCTCCCCCTTTACAGACGGGTAAGTGTTTGGTGGTTTCATCTATTTATTAAGAATTGTATTATTGACTACCAAGATCAAGACCAAGACCCCGACCTTAGAGACTGAATGTTCTCCAAGGCCCTCGCTAGGACGATCAGCTCCTTCATCCCACGACCGGAATCCTCTCATGTTCCACAAATTCCACCTTCTGAATATAATTCCCGTCTTCATCTATCTCGATGTATGGCACTCTTCGCGTGTGCAACTCCCATCTCCCCTTCCACTGAACGTACTTCAAGCCCAGCCACCAGATAATACCCAAGGTCACGCTTAGCCACCCCACCGTGGGGCCGACATAGTACGGCAGGCTACCTGGCTCAACGTTGCTCGGCCTAACGAATGATGCAAAGACAATCAGGCTCAAAGATGCCACAGCCAGGACGGTGGGCAGAGGATCAAGCCAAGGCTTCCATGCTGCTTTGGTGCGCCAATTCCTGGACTTCGTGCCCGCCACCAGGGAGTCCAGTTTCAGATACAGGAGCCCACCAGCAGTGAAGAGTCCGAGGACCCCGACCACAGCGAAGGTGTACAGGTGCGTCAAGAAGCGGTATGACTTGGATGGCGGAAGTGCCAATCCCACCGCCAAGACAAGCGTCACCTCAAAGATCCAGTGGAGGAGAGTGGCGGCGATCGGTACTTGCTCCAGGTGGCCATCGATATTTGAGACTGCTGCCATTTGAGGGCGCCCCATGGAGGACAGACGGGACAGGATGCTGGTGCTCCCGGTAGCGAAAAACAACGACCACGGGAGGATGCCCTCTTTGGCTATCTCCTGCTTGACTCGGGATGCCGTGTATGTCTGGGCCAGGAGGTTTCCGAAAGTGAAGAGCGCCAGGAGAGCGGAGACTCCCCGCTCGGGTCCACTTCTGCCGTCGCTGGATGAAGAACCTCCGAGCCCTGCGAAAAAGGCGAGAGCCATGTTTGAAGGGAGTGGGTTGTTCTCGTTGTACGGCGTCACACAGAGGTAGCTGACGTTAACTAGCGGGTAGAGGACGGCGGTGAAAAGCATGGTGATAATAGTGGCTTTTGCAAAAACCTTCTTGGGCCGAGACACTTCAGCAAGGACGTAAAACGGTTGCTCGTAGCCGGTGTACGGGTACATGGCGTAGAACAGGGCTAGGACGATGTCTCCAAACTTCCCAGTGCCGTCTTTGGTGTGCCAATTGATTTGCTGACAGCGATTTCCATTGACAGACCCGTATATGATGCCGGTGAAGGCCATCGCCAAGAGAAGCAACACCTTGAGAACTGCCAGAATGTTGTTTATCCCAATGGCATACTTGCGCGTGAATACGTTTATTAACGCGCACAGCGTCAGCGCCGAGACTGCCCATCCAACGACTTCGCCTCGGGTGAAGCAGGTGTCCTCTTCGTGGCAGCCCCTGACGACCGTCATCATAAAGATACCGAGTTGGATGGCGTTGCCCGCTAGGTTCCCAAAGACGATGAAGACGATGCCAAAGACACAGGACATTAGGTACCTTGGCCTCTTGAAGATGTACTCGAGCTGCGTGTGAAACAGGAGTCAGCTAAGTGGACGGCGGTAATTATCATTATTAGAAGAAGGAGAAGGACGGCATCTTACGTAGTTCTTGTCTCCTCCACTTCGAGGAGTCGACACTTTGGTCCAGGCTCCGTTCCAAAAGATGTTGTAAATAGGCACGCTCAAGCCTAGCTCAAGCCAGCAGACAACCACGCAGAGAATCACAATGCCTGCCAAACACCACACTGCGAGCGCCACGCCGGAACTGCCAGTCTCTCTCAGGACATTGACGGGCTGGGTGAAGATTCCGGTGCCAATTGTGCGATTCATTATCAAGCAAAAGACAGTGAATGGCCCAAGCATCTGCTGCGTTGTTGGCGCGACGTCAAAACGCTGCGAGGTTGGCAGATTAGTTAGCATCAAGCCCATGGGGGTTCTGCGGCGAAGTCTCGTTTCATTAATCACCTGTCGCTGAGCGTCATAGTTCTGGATTGCATTCTGCAACTCTTCCCTCGTGAAGGAATCGGGGCCCTCTTCCTCCACGTCGAATGGCGGATCATGTTGGTTTGCCATGGAGATATGGCTACCTCTCTAGATTCTGTTTTATTGGGACTTGCTTTTGTCGGTTCGAAAAGAAGTTCTCAATACTGGTTGACATCACAAGGAGGAGCAGTCCTTTAAGGACTGGGGCTGGCCGCAGTGAACTTAACATGAGTGGCCGGGATTTGACGCCGGATGCAGTGCACATTGCGAGCCAGCCAATTGTGGCCATTGGTTAAAGGTGTAACGGACCTCAGCTGAAGACACTATCGACGCCACGAACCAAGCATCTCGATAATAATAATAAACCCCGCTTCTGGACAGTCTCGACTCAGAGCCTTGCCGTTCCTTCATAGTCGGACGCAAAAGACCGATGATACAGTACATTAATCTAGCGTTGGTGATGTCTGTGTGATGCATGCTGTGTGTCACGCCTAGACTACATATGTAGACTTTTCACCGTTCCAAACCGAGTTGAGTCGCAGAAGGGACCATGTGCCATCAATTTCGCGCGAACCTGAGCAAATCCTGAGGTTGGCACAGCCAATCCAGGCCCAAGACTTGGCACACGCACGCGACACAGCCACAAATCGCCTGGGCGTTCTTGGTGGACCCCGTTCCACTTCCCTGCTTCCATACCACATAATTACCCAAAAGTCACAGGACTCCAGGGGAAAAGCTGTCCCTTGACCTACGAGGCTTCAAAATGTCGTCCCCTCCACTGTCGACCTTCCCCATGGAGCTTGATGCCGGGCTCGTATCGCAGAGACTGTTGTTGGTGTCGCCAGAACCTGACGTCATCCATCACGAGCTTGCAGTGTATCCCGAGAGCGAAAATGGCCAAAGATTTCGCATTGTCGAGACGAAATCCTCCGAGGGCAGTACCCGACAATCCGAACGGTTTCTCGACCTCACTCAGGATTGTGTCATCCCCTTGTACACAATCGTAAGCCTGCCTCGGGTTCACTGGAGCATGGAACTGGTTTACGGAAACGGGATTCAACGGATTGCGTACTCGTTTAGGGAGCGGGCGGATGCCTTCCGGCTGCAGCAATACTTCACAGAATACAGACCGACACATGCTTTCGAGGGCGTGACATGCACACTCACATTCCAGAGCGGGAAGCTGCTCGGAAAAATGTTCCAAAATCCCCAGTATCGGGGTTGCGGCGAGGTTCAACTTTGGTGGCCAGAGACGCAAAGAACACTACAGCCATCCTTGCTATCTCCGATGTCAAGTAACAGGTCCAGTTCACAAGGGACTCGGATTCAATCGACCATCCCCGAGATTGTCCGACGGTCAACGGCATTATCAGTGCAGACCGATATCAATAAGGACAAGGAAATCGTGGTATCGCACCGGCCCCAGCCGCCAGTCCTCGTTGCGTTTTTGCAAGACGCCGATGGGTACACAATGCTGAAAGCGGACAGTAAGTTTACGGGATAATTGACCCGGATATTATCATAGAAGAACCACTATTGACCCCCTTATTAGTAACATATCTCGAATACCCAGTCCCGCAACAGGGCCGTATCAACATCCATGGCCCAAGGGGCGGAACCTTCGCTGTCGACAGGCTTTCGGTGAACAAGTCCCAGCTGGATCGCTGGAACCTTTGTGCGTTCGACAGGGCCACTCCTGGAAAACCGTCGCCAGTCAGCAATCTGAAGTCCACATATCTGACTCTAGAGTTCAGTGGAACAGAGACTGAACAATCGGAGACAATGGGCAAATTCGATAAGGCACTCCTGTGGCTCCAATGTCGCCGGAGGAAATTAGATACGGACATGTCGATGGTTCAAGCTGAACTCCATCGAGGACAACCACCTTCGTGGCCCGCCACAGCAACCTCCACCCACACCAGACCCTCGTCAATGGTGTCAATGATGACGCCTCGGATTCCAATCCCGACCAGCGTCCCGAAATTGCCGCCTATTTCCTCGACCGAGCCTCTAAGCTTACAAATCGATGCTGAACTACAAAACGAGCGAACAAGGCGAGTATTAGACGGGAGAGTAGCTACGGGTCCGTATGAGATGGACGACACTAGCCATTGAAGAGATTGCTTCTCTCCGCAACGAGTCATCTGCCTACAACGACCCTCAACCCTACCCAGCTAGGAGGAAGCGATATCCCGGGGAGATTCCCCACTTGATCTTCGACGATGCGGTCATTTGTCTGCCTGTGTACGAAAGTTGCCATCGCAATAATTCGGGGGCTTGGAGCGTGCTAGGGAGGTCGGTGCGATCTCGGCCACGTATTTGCGCGGAAGTTTGAACGACGAGAGACTCACAGGGACCAAACAATCGCGTGAGGATCGACACAGAGGCCGCCAGGAGGTAGATGTAATTAGCGCAGGTCTGGTCTGGCAGGCAGGTCTAAGTCTCGCACAGTTGGTTAACTGCAGAGGTATTCGGCGACACTTGACAAGAAGAAGAAGAGCTCTCGAGAGGAGGAAATATTAGCGAGATGTTCACAAGGCTCATCTGTGTATGGTATAGCGGTATTATCTACCCCGGTCATATTAATTAGGTTGCGAGACAAACAAGACCGGACCATCAATCGGAGGAGTTAGTAGGAATGAAGTGGCAATGCTTCTAATACCTAGGATATCTTGACCCTCTCGCAAACTCAACTACCTGTAAATCGTGTTATCGTCAATTTCTGTGTCCCTCTCCGCCTGGAATCTAAACTCCAAACCCCGATCCTGGCCCCCAAGGTGGACGGCAGTCACTGTGGTATCCCTGGCAAAAGTGCGCAAGCGTTCTCCCCTGTCCTTATTCGTACCCTCCCAGCGACGGAGTGACGTGTTCAAGACTTGCGGCACCAGCTGGAAAGCCACAGCGGCAAAAATGTCGGTGGCTTAATTTTGGGCCGCGCCAGCGCTACCTGTAACTGCAGGATCTGGCTAGCTCTTTGGGTTTGGAAATCTACCCCTGAGGCTCTGTCTCTATTTTTAGTAATTGTGTCAAGCAGCAGGATCTTAAGCACATCTTTTGGGAGCTTTGATTTTGGTGCATTCAAAATATGCAACGGAGGATAGGTGGTTCATCAACCAATATCTTGGCGTATACAAGGAATAATTAGCGAAGCGCACATTCGATTGAGAATATTGCCTGGATGTGCGGCAGAGGCTATGCCCTCCCCGCAATAATAGCCGCAGCCTGCTCGGCCAGCCCATACAGCGGCGCCTGGATATGAGCGCTCAGCGGCACGGGCAGCACCGACGCGTCAACCACCCAGAGACCCTCCACCCCGCGGACGCGGAGCTGGCTGTCTACGACCTTGCCCATGGAACACGTCCCAGACGGGTGCCATGTCGTTCCTCCCGTGAGGGCGAGTCTCTGGTCAAGCTTCTCGTCGCTGTCGCTTGGCGATAGGGGCGAGACGCCGAGACCACTGAGAGCCTCAGGGACGGATTCGCCCGCCACGAACTCCCGGCCGAATTGGGTGTCTAGCATGAGGCGGGCTAGTTGGCGCAGCCCGGAGCGGTACACGTACTTGTCTACCTCGGTGGCGAGGTAGTTCAGCTGGACTGTGATAGGGGTTTAGAGGGAGTAAGATTAGCTTAGTGATATACCATTTGAAGAAGATGGGTAACCTTAGGGCAAGGTAAGCAAATAACAAAAGATCTGGCATACTCTTGGGTGCGTCTTCGGGTTTCACCGACCGCAACGTCACACTACCCCTGGACGTAGGTAGGAAGCTAACGACGCCCGTGGTGAGGTGATCGGCGTCCATCGGGACACCCGGAAAGGGCAGTTTCGCGTAGAGCAGTATGCTCTCAATGAAAGTGCGCGGCCTGCTGAGGAGCGGATGTTGAGACGCGTCGGGCGCAGCGCCCTCGTCCTTCTCGATCGCCTCGGCGAGACCCCCCTTCGGCACGTCGGTGCAGACGATCCAGTCCATGGGCACGCCAAGGCCGAACTGGGGCTGCTGGAGGACCGGGTTGCTGGATCCGAGGGTGTAGCCGGGCGAAGGGTCGCGGAGCCGCCAGTGCTGGAAGAAGGACATGTGGTCTGTGAGCCCCTGGCCGACATCCGGCAGGTCAACGAGCGTCTCTATCCCCATCTCTTTCAGGTGAGCTGATGGGCCGATTCCGGAAAGCAACAGCAGTTGAGGGGAACGGAAAGTTCCCGCCGAAGATATGACGCTCTTGGATGATACTATGGTCCCGTCGGCCAGCTCCACCCCGGTACATTTGAGCGTCCCGCTGGCGGCATCGCGATCCAAGACAACCCTCTTCACGAGGGTGTCTGTGAGGACCGTGACACCATCGAGTGGATACACGCTTGAGGACAGCTGCCGCTTGCCGACACGCCTTGCCTCGCATAGATAAGCACGGCCGATGTTGCTACCCGCATTCTGATCCAAATCCGGGAGTTTGGGTACACCCAATTCGTCCCAGGCCGAGGCGACATGTTCGCCCAGGGGGTATTTGCGACCGGTCGAGTCGGCAGTCGCCACATGAATCGGCCCGTTCTGACCGTGCTGATCGGGGTTGTTGCTCTCAAACCAATGCTCAGTCTTCTTGAACCAGGGCAGTTGGCCCTTATAACTCCAGCGTTCGTCGCCCACGACAGCCGCCCACTCATCGAAGTCGACGGCCGCGCCACGAGTCCAGCCACCTTTTATTCACATCACAGAGTTAGTGGTTCGGGGCCTCCTTTGAAAGCTCATCTGTTTGCCTTCACCCAGATTTTGATTGACTTGCCTGAGTTGATCGCGGTGCCACCCCCGACTCCCTTGCCTTGGTTGACGACAACGGAGCGATTGGCAATGCCAGGTGCTGGGTCAGTTTCGTACTGCCAGTCTAATTCCCCTCCCAAGTTGAGCACCTGGGGTTCCAGAATATCGGTCCGCGAGCGCGTGTCTTGGCCTGCCTCGATTACTAGCACTTTGGCCGTCTCGTCGTATTGTCGCAAGCGGCTTGCAACGACACAGCCTGAGAGGCCACCCCCCACAATAAGGTAGTCATAGACAGCCGAGCCCATTGCGATTCTAACCGATTAAACAGTTCGTCAAGAAGCCACTGTGGTCACCGTCGAGAGAAAGACGTGGTAATTAATTCGAGGGAAATGGGCGAAGATGTGCAGAACAACCATGAGGGGGAAAGGCGAGCTTTGCCAGCCCATCGGCGTAATTACTTCGTACGGACGTACCCAGACGTGCAGTGGATCTGGTGCATACAATGCAACGGTATGGTACGATTCTGCAACCAACATCTGCACCACGGATCCAGGGTCTTGTACGGTCAAAGTGGGGGTGCTGCGCCTTAAAGGAGTATAATCCCAGAGGGTGAACCGCTTGGCAGTCCTTGCCGGCTTCCCCGGTGGGGTGACATGCGGTTCAGATTTTGACTGAAGATCCTTCAGGGCAAAATTGTTAATGTGACATTCTAGCCCCCAATGATTCTCAGGGGTTCCACTGTCAAACAGCACAAGAAGAAAGATATTTAATAAAAAGCCTGTCTCGCACCTCCTAGTTCAATATAGTTCATGCCTTGTAAATAATTAATCACCTCTTTGTTAAACTCGCCTCTCCAATGGCTTCCGACAAACTCGGGACGACCATCGTACCACTCTCCTCAAGGCCCGAGATTGCTCAAATTGTAAACACTGCCATTGTCTTCTGCGTTCTCATTGGCATCTGGTCTGGCCTCCGTGTCTACGCGAGACGGGTACGCCATATTTCCCCTTTAAATACCGAAGATGTTTTGTTCTACATCTCGGTGGCGGCCTTCTATGGCATGGTCATAGCTTTATTCTTGGGCAAGTTTTAACCCAACACAACGAAGGCTGCTGCCCTGGGCTCGGCTGACCCGTCTTTGCCCCAGTGCTCTACCTTGGCGGCGTGGGTTATCACATGGACCAGCTCCGACCAGTCCATATCGCGAGGCTCACGCAGGCAAGTGACGAGGATTGACACCGTTCGGCACGGTATGAAAGCTTACCCAGTTGCCTTCACACCCAGTCCATCCTTGCTATTCAAGGGTTATACGGCCTCTCCATGTGCACCAGCAAATGGAGCATCTTGTGGATGCTTAAGCGCATCTTTGCAGTCCGCTCCTTCCAGGTAAGTGATCCGTATTAATTACCGTGGCTAATTTACCACAGATAGCTGATAATTTCTCAATTCGAGGCAGATTGTTACCTGGGCCATCATAATCGTCCAAGCCGCCTGGATGATTATGACGGTACTTATCGGCTTGTTGATCTGCCGTCCAGTCCAGAAAAACTGGGACCCAACAGTCGAGGGCACATGTGGCAATCAGATAGCAGGTTATACCGCTGTCAGCGTCTACAATGTCATCGTCGACGTGGCCATGTGCATTCTCCCGATCCCAATGATTTACAAGCTGCAGGTCAAGAAGCCGTACAAGGTTGCACTTTTTGGCATCTTCAGCATCGGCATCGTGTAAGCATGCACTTTGGAACGCACAAAGTCGAACTATAGTTGAGCTTACCAACTCCAATTGTAACGCAGAACCCTGGTCTTTTCTATTCTCCGCCTCTTATCTCTTCGAAGCATCGACTTTGACAATTTTTCCTACAGCGTAACGGGAGTCATCATATGGACCTACGCAGAGACCGGGGTTGTTATTCTGGTCGCGTGCTCTCCGCTTTTGCGGCCCATCTTCGACAAGATCTTTCGGCGCTTCTTGTCCAGTGCGCGGGGCGAACCGCCTAGGACGTCACATCCATCTCTGGACCATCTCAATTCATCCACTGGACGGGCCAAAATTAGGAGGAAGCGGAGAAGTGGGTTCGTAACTGTAGGCGAATCTGAGGAGAGTCTAGAACTCGGGGACGTCACGGGCGGCGGTCATGTCGAGACAAGAGTCATGGCAGGAAGAAGTAACAGATTTGCTAGAGGGGGGATGCTGCGCAGAGAGACTTCAGACCAAGATCTTCAAATGGGAATCGTAGTGGAGAAGGAGGTTTCACAGACAGTCAACCTTGCCAGATAAGTCTGCAATGAAACACGCGACAACTCTTGTTTACAAAAGGCTCCTTATGCCCAACAAGTCAACCACGATAAACCCCCTCTCTGATTAGCCCTCTCGTTTGCATCAGTCTAGTCATGTCAAGCCTCACGGCATGCGATGTTGTCGTGCCAATAGCGATAACATTAATTGCGATAACAATATAACAATAGATAACGATGCTGCCAATGCTAACAAGCTGTTGCAAAGTTTTGCCACCTGCCAGCAGGGTACGACCTCTGTTGCGCACAGACCATAGGCCCCTGCGCTGGCGCCCCCCCCCAAGAGATTCTCGACAAAAATTTTCCATTTTGCCCCACCATTGCCAAGGCGGTGGGTGAGCTGCCCAAGTCTTGGACGCGACGATGGCTAAAACCGACGACGCTTTTAGCCACTCAGAATACTGGGATGAGCACTTCTCCAAGACCGACGGGGAAGCGCCCACGCACGAGTGGCTTTGCTCCTATGGCGACTTGGAGGGATTCTTCCAAAAGGTCCTCTTCGAGGGCCCAGGTTGCAGGCCCGACGACAACCCATTAATCCTCCACCTCGGCTCGGGGGACAGTGTGCGTTTGTTATTCTCGTTTCCCCTAGAGCCGCATGCAATTAATACGCGCCGCTCATTCAGGTCATTCCGGCCGAACTCGATTCCCGTGGCTACAGCCGTCAACTATGCGTCGACTTCTCCCCCAAGGCCATCGAGATCATGACCGAGCGATACAAGAGCAGGCCGGGGATAAAGTGGGAACAAATGGACGTGCGGGATATGGCCGGTATCGCCGATAAATCTGTCGGTGTCGCCTTTGATAAGAGTACGCTGGATGCCATGATCCATGGCAATCCGTGGAGTCCCCCGCGCGATGTCAGGGAGAATACGGGTAGGTATCTCAGAGAGGTTCACAGGGTCCTAGAGGATGGTGGTGTTTTCCTGTGTGTCACATTCAGGCAGCGCCATTTTATGACGCCTCTGTTAAACCCGGATGGTTTGTGGGACTTGGACTTTGAGGTTCTCGGTGGTAAGGTGGGCTCGTTTGATTACTACGGCTGGGTTCTTCGGAAGGCGAGCTGCCAGAAGTAGTATGGGAGCATCTTGAGCCTGGGGTGTTCTTTATTCCAGCTTTAGGATCTACCCTCTGCGCGCGGAGACACTTTGCCCATGCACGCAGAGACGTGCTCTTAAAAGTCGCTAGTTACTTCCCAATGTGGAAGCGAGATGTGTGGCTATGGCTGCAAGACGCTGGTTGTTACCAGACTGTCGTGTTCGCTAATCCAATGCAAAGGCAGAGACACCAGCTTATGTGTGTCAGAGATCTGCAGGATGGGGATGCACGCGCTTAGGTGTTTCGTTAATACGGCCCTGCGCCTCGTACGGCAATCCACTGAATTTCCAGATCTGATCCGTATTTGCCGTTAAGATCTGCCAGCCTGCTCAACCATAACCAACCAAAGCTTTCTCTCTTACGGTCAACTAGAAACCTTGAGGCATGCAGGGGCCTTGCGATCTGTTCCATATACCGCTAAGCTACATTCACATTCGTCGTGCAGTGCAAAGAAATACGATAGCTCAGCTACTAAAGTGGTGCAAGTCCCGCTCTGCAAAACAGATACAACATTCTATTTCACCATTTACCCACAACGACACTCCCCTCGGAGAACGACCCCCCGGCAGAGTGCAGATCACTGACGATCGTGGACGGAGGAGGCCACTACGGCATCGCGAGAGCGTGCGCACTCGTGGAGAAGATAACCGACGATCATGGCTTCGTCAGCGAAGATGATTTGGCCACCATGACTCCCGAGGTCCGGGAACGGGTGAAGCGAGCCATGTTCAACCCGATGACAACCACTACACTGGAGCAGAGGGAGAGGGCGTCGAACCATATGTCTCCTTTCAGGTTCATCCAACACGCATTGTCGTCGAATGCAACGAAGACGGCTTCACCAAGGAGAACCTCACGGCAATATGCAATGTGGGGAAGAGCTCCAAGATCGGATCCCAAGGGTATACCGGCGAGAAGGGGATCGGCTTCAAGTCCGTCTTCATGGCGGCCTGGAAAGTGCACATTCATTCAGGCGACTTTTCCTTCTTCTTTCAGCATCGTCGGGGTGACTCTGGTATGGGCATGATTTCTCCTATCTGGCAGGATCTTTCAGAGCCGCCGCAGGTGAGACCCCTGACAAAAATCACTCTCTTCTTGATTGAGGCGATCGATACGGCGCAGTCGAGCGACACTCCAGACGCGATACTGCAGCAGTTTTGCGATCTGGAAGAAACACTCCTTCTCTTCCTGAGGAAACTCAAGCGCATGGAGATCAAGTTCTTCGATGGTGTTGGAAACTGCATCTCGACCAAGATCTACACGATGGCGGCGAGGGAAAACACTCGAGCCCTCGTGACGTTGCGGAGCATAACCCACAGTGATGGAGGCCAGACACAGGAAAATGAACTCCATTTCAAAGTCACCAGACATGTCGCGACGAGCCTTCCACGAAGCGAGAACAGGACATACTGTGGATACGGTATCTTCCCCAAATGGCAGACTATCCCTGGGACACATTCTGGCAGACGCTCGTATCGCAGATCATCACGAGGTGGTCCCAAACAAGGGTATTGCGCCCCATAAGTGAAGTCGGCTGGCAGCCCATAGCAATTCTCGGCGATGCAGGCAAGACGCTGTGGACAAGCAAGGCGATCCGCTGTTTCCAGATATCCAGCCGGGACAGTACTTGTCCAGGAGATATCAACCCTCAGATCTCAACAAACTCGAGCTCTACGACCTTAAATACATGAGCGCGAATGACCTCGTCGATAGAATCGATGCAGACCTGAGACGACTGGATTCTAGGATGAAATTGGAATCCACAGATGACGACTGGCATTCACGAGCGGCACGCCTGCTTTGGGAGATATTCAGAAAAAATCAGAACATCCAGGGGAGACTGGAGAGACTCGCCCTAATACCAGGTCGCTTCGCGTCTTCGTCTATCAGGTGGATGGTCGCAACTCAAATAGTGCCGCCTTTGTGCTATCCTGAAGTAGATGGCATCCCGATCCCCCAAGCACTCCAACTGATCTTGATTGACAAGTCCGCCGCCCAAAATCCAGAGCGCAGGAGGCTTTTCAATTTGCTTGGTGTCAATACGCTCTCTGCCAAGATTGTCAGATACCTGATTTTCGCCGAACATCGAGGCAGTAATGCCAATGCCGCTTGTCAGGCCCATCTCTGGTTCTTGTATCAGACACACGACAGCAACAGAGGCGACACATATGGCGACATTCATGTTTTCAACCAAAACTTGGCGAGTGTGGAACCCCATGCCACCGACGTTTACGTGGAAAATGAGCATCCATATGGGCCTCGTGAGCTCTTGAAAGCAACAGCACCCAATCCTCGGGGAGTTCCCGGGAGCGGGGCTCAAGGGTTTGCTGTACAGTTCATCAACCGCTGTCATTTCGACGATATTCCTAAGGTCGAAGAAAGCTTCTCTGTCGTGGCGTCAATGGATTCACAGCTGCATTGGTGTTCGCGAGCATCTGAGACTGACAGCCAATGGAGGTTTGACGGAAGCCTTCAGGTACTTGTACATTGCAAAACAGAGACCTGACAAGTTCGTCGGGGCGTTGCAGTTCCACTGGCAGTTTGAGGGGGACAACATCTGTGGCAGTGCGAAAATCTTGGAAGAGCTTAAGCGTACCTTTGTTCTTCTTGAGAATGGCGACCTCTATGATGTTTCCTCGACATATTTGCCGTTCCAGGAACTGAAGGAGAAGTCTAGGCGCTTTCTTGACGGACGCCAGTCGCTTCCTTCCTCAGGGGGCTTTTCTCTGGACGTGCGGTGACGGACGGCCACCGTTACATCCGCCTTGGGGCAGATCTCTCACAGAAATTCGCCGTCAGGGCCCCTGACTTTGCCCGATGCGATCACGATTGTAACGTTTGCCAACGCAATCGGAGCGTTTGTCCACAGTCGTTGTCGGCACAACCCACCGGCAATGGCTTGCTTGGGCGGGGTTCTTCATAACGGCCTGGAACTGCAGCCGAGATTTGACAGCGGTCAGTGAATGGTCAGTGCTGAGTGGCGGCGCGGTCAATGAAGCTTCCATTCGCGACCCATTTTTGAAACTGGAAACGGCGCTCACTCACTCCAATTTTCACGAATGGGCGTTCTTCCATTCAATCTTCGCTGTCGGAGCCCGCGATGACATCAACTTCTACCTGGATCTGCTGAGCGCGATCGGGGGTGCGACTGACGGCAGCGGCAAATTCGAGCGGAGAGAGAGGTTATTTGATCTCTATCAAGTAATCCAGGGAATATACATTTCGTCAGATCATACACTACGTGAGGCTCGACTGAAGCAGATAAGGTATGAGACAACCCCCAACGACTCCCTAGTGTTCTATCTGACTTTTATGAAGGGAGCGTATCTCCAAAGAATCTTTGGTCCTCCTTCCTGTTCATAAGTCATCTTCTTTCACCTGTCCAAAGACATGTCGATGGGATGCCCCCCAGGATATGTCGACATTAAACCCTCTGGGAGCCTTGTATAACGCTGCATTTCCTCAGGGAGGCGCAACCTTGACGACACTCCAGCAGTTCTTCAGAGACACTCTCTCGGTTTCTAACTGCACATGGAATGACCTCGTCGGTGAGCTAAAGTGGCTGAAGGATGTGGACACTCCAAGGTTCGAACAAATCAAGAACATTTACGGCCTTCTTCCCAAGATGATGAGAGTCCTCATGAGCATGGAACAGTGGAAAGTAAAGTAAGCCACTCTAACTCCACAAACCCCCAGTATACTCTCTCACACAATCTCAGGACATCCTTCGAAGACAACCCCCTAGTCTGTGTGCCCACGCGAGACGGACAACATTGGCACAAGACGTCTCAATGCGTCTGGTCCAGCCCATCCCAGATTTCCGGGATGACTATCCTTGTTAACCGCTACCCCAACATGAAAACCTTCTTCGTTGGGTTTCTAGGTGTCAAGGCCCTTACACTTCGAATGATCTACGACGAATTGAAAAGAAAAGGGTCATCTGCTACTGCCACAGTCAAGGAAGTGAAGGAGATGTTATGGCAACTCAACTCCTTCCTCGCTCCGGAAGGGCAGACTCCGAACCTGGAGCCATTACTTCAGCAACGCATCCTCCCCGTCAGATACCCTGGTGGTGAGATAACTCTATGCTCCAATGAGACGGCCTTTGAAGTCGTCGATCGGAAGAATCTCGGCGATGCGTTCGGGGACAAGGTGAAACTGTTGGACTTCAGCCTCTCCGAGGTCCGAAAGCTAGAGCCATTCTTGCAATGGGCTTGGTTGGAGTCCCGGTACTTATTCAGAACAGTCGAGGAAGTCACATCACTAAGGAGTGGTACTCGAGCACCCATTTCGTCTCCAGGGCGAGATATCAAGAGAAAGGCCTATGCTCTGTACCGGTGAGCCTTTCCCGGCATATTCCCCTTCGACCGGACAGAATATCCGTAGACTAACTTCTCCGCCTCCTAGGATTGCTGCAACCTTTGGTAGCCCCAGAGTCCGGGATCGGGATCGGTCACTATTCGAAAAGCTGAGTGCTGCCAAGGTCTTCGAGACTGACGAGATATCCTCACAGCTTCAAATCACCCAAGACGGGGAAATAGCCGCAATAGAGGTCTCATAGAGCGAGCTGCACATCCAGGACAAGCAGTCTGGCCTGGAAATCTACGTTCCAACGGATGCCAAGCTCCAAGAAGCATGCTACTACTCAAAGCTCCCGCAGACCATTTCTGAGTGGCTTATGGCTGATCCGTCACCCTCCGGCGCAAAATGAAAACCACAGGCAGGCATCGTCTCTGCAGTGAAGAGTGTATTGAATGCGAAGAAGTCTGCTTTGGGGAGGGTCCTCGATAATGAAGGCATCGCAGAGGTGGATTTCCTCGACCCAGACGACGAGAGCGAAGACGAGGAAATAGAGGTGGTGGAAGAGATCCATGTGACATCAGCTCTTCGCACGGACAGAGAATCTACGATTGTCAAGCCAGGAATCGCGACGTCCCGTCAACATGACCCGGTCACCAGTCTTGCAAGCCTAGGTTCCGAGACCGATGGGCAGCCCAGCGGATACGACACTCCCGCCTCGCCTCTTCCCTCCGACACTACCTCGCAAGCAAACCGACGGATATCGAAAGGGGAGTTCCCGTTCCTCCAGGTCCCTGATCCGCACAATCTTCCTCAAGCGTCTACTAGAACCACCTCCTCCCTCGCAATGTCTCCGACGCCGTCGGTCTCCCAGGGTCCAGCTTCCCAGCTCCAGCCTATTCCCCGCCCGCACCTGTCCCAGACCAGGCCAGAAGCGGCTCCAGATGCCGACGCAGATACTGATACAGTCTACATTCATCTCCTGGACAATGTCATCAGGGTCGCGCGCCGGACTGCATTTCCTAGCCACGGGTCCTTCGACATGCATGGCATGCTGCATGCGCTGCCCCCGAGCGGTGAGGAGGAAGATGTTCTCCCCGGTGATTCCCTCCGGGTACGCTCAAGCAGTCAGCTGGAGAGAGACAAGAAGATTGGCGCCGCGGGGGAACTCTTCGTAGGTCTTCTCTGTCATTGTGCTTCTCTGAATTACTTGAGTTATAACTGACGTTGTCTCTCGACAGGTATTTGAGCTCCTATGTCGTCTGAACCCATTCCTGCCGTCCTTCTCACGCGCCAACTGGCAAAGCACAATTCGCAGATACGTCGCGATCCACCCGGAATACCACGACCTGGAGCCATGGATCGGGCGGGAAACCGCTGATATCACCTACGAGGACTGCCACGGAGTTCTAACCGACGCTCTAATAGACAAGGGATACCTCACTCCGGCGACATGGCGGGAGCGCCGACCAAAGTACTTCATTGAGGTCAAGTCCGCTACTAGGCCATGAGACGCCGTTTTTCATGAGCAAGGCGCAATATCGAATGGTTTGTGAATCCCAATCCCCAACCCCTGCCATGTGAATATTTTGGAAGCCAGACTAATTAGCGTTGTGATTAGATGAAAGACTCTTCGAACGGCCCACTCGGGTCACAGAACACAGACGTTGTGTACCTCATTGCTCGCGTATTCAATCTCGACAAGGACTCGGTTGGTATGAGGATGTATGTCGACCCTCAGGTCATGAAGGAGAAGCACGAGCTGTTGTTTACTTCGGAAACGTGGTCTGTTACGCCGGGACCCGGAGAGTCTAACCCGTAGCAATCTTTAGTTCTGAACACTAAGTGTTGACTTATCTTGACAGATGGTCTATGGTTGGGGGCTTTTTATGGATGTCTTCTAGACAGGCTTGTCTAATACTAGCACTTACTATGTGTCAAGGGTATCTTTTCTGCCACAGACCTATGCTCAGCAAGCGGCCTACGGGGTCAGGTGACACCCCCGCGTTGTAATCTATATTAAATGTCCATCCTTGCCCATTTGCTTACCACTTACCATACCACTTGTCACTCATTTTCACGTGAACTTACCCTGACAACAGTCAATTTGTGTCTGCTTCAGTGGAGGTAAATGATGGCTATCGCAAAGAAAGGCATAAGACACCTCCGAAGGGAGCAAAAGCGGACCACCTGGACCCGATTCCACCTGCGCCGTGGACAGGATTGGCCAAAATGGATGACAGGCCGCTTGAATATTTATCTCGGCCCTCTTGCAGACGTGACTGGTCGCGGGAAGGTCCGTCTAGGGAGAAAGGTTGATGATCCTGAGCAGGCTGCCTTGATTGTCCGTGAGTGTGTCCTAGCTCGCTTCATCACAGTCATACCAGATTCACATCGTTTGCTGACGCACAGTGAAATAGTCTGGGAGTCTGCTGACGCCTTAAAGGACTTCCAGCATTCGCCTCTGTGCAGCGAATTTCTGCAGAGCCTAGGCTGTGAGAATGAGAACGAATCGCTTCTCAGCCTCCAGTGGGATTCTGGCTTCTCCATGGGCGAGAATTTGGGCCAGGCCGATGATCTTCATGGCCGGATGACGCTCACGACCTTCAATATACCATATACGGGCGTCCCGGATGCAAGGCATGGCGCCGCGCTCTTGCCGACGCCTTCGGCGGGTTCATGCCTAAGGGCTGCGAGGACCTCCGCAGTCCGCCGGCGTTTCAATGGAAGGCATACGCATGGGTGGACGACAACCACCAGGAACAGCCGACGGCAGCGGAGACCATCCGTGGCCAGGCCGTATGCTATCAATTTTTCCGCTTGAATGGTAACGGTGCCAGCCCCGAGCGGGAAGAGGCCTCGGCCAGAGACCCGGGCGCGCACGAGTTGTGGGCTAAGACGGTGGCGAAGGCAATGCCCCCAGTTGAGGCCTGGAAGCAAGAGCGTTGGGATATCGAGGAGGCGCCATGCTGTCTTGATTCCGAGACCGACGAGGGTGACTGACGATGCGGGAGACTGAGATGCAGCACGGGAGTGAGATTCAGGGTCAGAAACCTTCGGCTGGCAAAGACGTCGACTACGGGGGGGGGGGGGGGTGTTTGGTGTCTCTACGATTTGGGTTTATGCTAGACGGTGATTATCGGGAAGTTATGAAGTGAATTATATATCTCAGGAATAAAGGATAGTTGATGAAGATTGGCCGAATGTTTTGACCGAAGAAATCGTGATGATTTGTCCCACGAGTACACTACCCATGGTCCGGGGCTGGGCAGGGAACTACCGGAAGAGCCGCAGTCGCGTTGATGTCCACCCCCTGGCTCATCTTCACAAAGTGTCGCCGGATCAGCTGTATCCTGGTATTGACGTCCGCCGAGTTCTGTGGATTGCCATATTGCAACGTGTAGCCGTCACTGTGGTTGACGAAAATCTGGACTGGTGTTAATCTTCTAACAGGGAGGTGAAGAGGCTGCAAGACTCACATTACAGTTTGGAACATTGTGGCCGAACAAACTCCAAAACATATCGCCTCCTGCGGATGGACTCCGCTCCAACTCCTGGAAGAATGAAACCAAGGAGTCGGTGCTGGGATTAGAAGACCCGCCGTTCTTGTCAATCCAGCCGTACTCTCCCGCAATGTAAGTCTTGTTCGCAGTCGCAACTATTGTCGCAGGTCAGTTCTATGCCCACACATGATGAGTGACAGCGAGACTCTTACCCAGTCTCAAGTCAGACTGCACCCTAGACGCGGTAGGGGGATAAAAGTGACTCGAGAATATGTCGACCTCGGGAATGTTCAAGTGCGCCTGGTTCACGTTAAACGTGCCGTCTACGACCAGCTTATTCGGCGCCAGGGACTTGAGATGCTTCGCAATTTCAGTTAACCACTCAGTCGGCACATTTGAGAGCTCGTTGCCCGTCTCGTACGCGAAGATGGTTGGGTCGTCTGCGTAGGATATGTTCGTGTACTTGTTAACGTGCGTCAGCAGCTTGGTGGTGTAGTCTTTGAACGACGCTATGATGGTGGCGTTTGTATAAAATTGCTGGACGAGAGGACTTGACGAGTCGCTCGCCTGGGTGAGGTTGAAGCCTGCCCAGCGGAGGAAAGTGTATCTGCCCCCGTGATAATAGTCCTGCCCGTCGTTCGAGTCAGCAAAACAACGTCAAACAAACGCTACAAGCCCAGCCTACCCAGTTATCAGTTAAAGGAACCAGCAGCCTGATTCCGTACTCCCGAGCTTGGAACACAGCCCAATCGATCGAATCGAAAGCAGCCTCGTTTATCTTCCCGAGGGTTGGCATGACGCTCAACGGATTCCCCGTGCTGACTCCAAGGGTGTGAGCCCGGATCATAGTTCCACCCATGGCCGTCACAATCGCCATGACCTCCGTGATGCGGCCCTTAGTTGGGTAACTGGCATTTGTCGAGGGATCGAAGGGTTCCCCGGCAAGAGGAGTCACATTCTCGTCCAGCCCAAGCCAGTACACGTTTGGCCCTACAGCCTTCCACGGCTGCCCGTCAAGCAGCAGCGTCGAGCCCTGGCGGACGACGGGCTCAAGTTTGGGATCTTCCGCCGGCCCGGCTGCAAACGCACTTGCCACGAAGAGAAGCAGAGAGAGCTTCATCATGCAGATAAAAGGGAGAGCAATGCGGAGAGACGCCAAAGACAGAAGCAATTTTGGAGAAAAAGAAAGTAGCGAAAGCAGCGCAAAGCTGCATATATAATAGATTCTACCCGAACTTCAACACCTGCGTCCAATCAACTAGGACCTCAGTCGGGTAAAGCCGACCTCATCTTATGGCGGATTAGAGTGTTAGGGAAGTTTCTCCACGATTTTCGGGCAGTAGGACGCATACCGTCGTTATTTAAAGCATCCCGACGAAGAATTGGCTGCTTGCGCAGCGTTTCCTCCAGAGGAAATACAGCGCAGCGGGGCTGCTAAAGTTGGAAGAATTTAGGAAGAATTGGGTAAATGAGGCTGTTCTCTGCATTGGAGACGGCGGAAGAAAACCTCCCGAGCCTGTTTCCGGAATGGCGCAACCGCAGTCGACGGGACGGGTCACCGATTACCGGATATTTGCCGGAGACGGCCTTGTATTTCTAGGCCTCTTCCACAGTGCTATCCCCTCACTTGCTCTTTCTGCCCTTTTCTGCTGACCACCCCATCCTCGGATTGCTGGTTTTTCATTTTCCAAATTTTATTTTCATCTATTTGCCATCAACTGCTTGCTTCTTGAGCGACTGCTGGTTGCAAAATGGATGGCTACATATGCTTAAAAAATGTTCTTTTTCCCCTACGCCTACTAACCGACGTGCTTAAAGTCAGCCGCAAGACGCCTGCATCTAAGCAAAGTTCGCTTCATCTTGTTAGCTACGTTAGCCACACGGGTTGATTTAGTAAGGGGTTCTATGATTTACAAAGGCCAATAAAATCTAGGAATATCTACGGGAGGTCTGTTCTATTTCTGCGTTCGATATCCAATAATAGTGTCCTAAAAGTTCGCAAAAATGCCCGAAAGAACCCGAGGGCTCCGTTTAACACAACTACATCCGAGTCTCAGCCGCATCCCGTCATCCCCCGGGCCGTTTACAACAATTGGCCCAATGTACCGACTCTCGCATTACCGCTCAAGAGGTAGAGTGTCGCTCAACATGCACGGAACTGTTTTTATTGTCCCCTGCATCACCTAACGCAACATTTGGTCAGCGTATATGCTTGGTGGTCTGGAACTGAAGCCATATCCTACCGAGGCCAGATGCCAGCGGCTCAGGGTTACTGTCCTTAGACCCAATTGCAACGTCGCCAATGTTGTCGTATGGCACTTCGCATTGCGGCTGCTCTAGCCAACGCTGTAACATGTGGCCTGGCCCACAATCCCCGGTTTGGCCGGTCACGCTCTCAGCATGAGGCCGGCTTTCAAGGTAGTTGCCGAAGCGTCGTGGGACCGAAGCGAACGTAGTTGTACCTACTCCGGGCCTGCTCAACGAGGATGGACTGGGATGGGAGTAATCGGGACGCTGGCAGCACGAGCTTATGAGTCTCTATTGCAGAAAACATGCAGCGGGATGGTGTGAGTGACGAACATTGTGGCTGGTATGCATCGTGGAGCGGTCTCCGGACGACAGCATGGCTCGTATTAGAGGATAGAGCGGCACCGGCCAAGTTAAAAGTGGGAGAGTAGTATGTGCGTGAGGAAAGAAGGGACTTAGAGAGCTCGAAGGATAGAGTGATGGCTATAATGAGAAGGTTACAAAGAGGCACGGATGGTTTGGGGAGCGACATATTATATGCTCGGTTGTTATTACGAGCTGCCACAAGTGAACGTCGACATCAAAATTCTTTTGAGAACTTTAGTAGGTCGTCAGGGAGGCGGGTTGGCTGGTGGCATGTCGGTGGGGCGGACCAAGGAGAAGAAGTTTTTGAAAGTCACCCAGGCGTGTACCCTCACCTGGGGTATGCGGTATCTGAACTTCGGAAATTGGACTTCCTGTAAGCCCAGGGAGTGCAAGTAGTGCAAGTAGCCCAAGTATCCCTCTCAAGTTTATGTACATCTGGCTGCTTTGTAAATACAACCGGATCCAGGCGGCCGAAGCCTTGTCGTCCCCAAGGTTTATAAGTTTTAAGAATGTGCACTTGCAAGTTTTACTCCTCCAGCAAAATGGCCAAACCACAGTAAAAGGTTTTCCCCCACCCCCACCCGCCAGGAAACATTTTGAAACATTTTCCGAGCAATGCACACCCGCTAGCCTTGGCCAACGTACATTACATACCTATGTTTTATGCGCTCGCGACTGGCATCACCTGAATCCGATAATGAATGATTTATTCTCAACATCCACCTGGCTTTGGTTGGCTGTCTCCCAAGTCCTCGTGCCTTAAACTTGGATCAATTATCTTACCACCTAATACTTGCTACGTTCAGAACTCGAGCGTGCGAACCACCGTAGCTGTTACAGAGCCGCTCGCTAGACGGCTCTGGATCCCGCATCCTTCCTCCCTCCCTGTCGACCATGACACTTGAAAAGAGGGCTGGAGAAGGGGGTTCGACGCGTAAAAGCAATGATTAACTACATGGAGTAATGATATTCATTCTTCGGCGGAATAAGAATGAGGAAGATCTGAGCCCGTTTGCACAGTGAATCTTGTGGCTGGACGAAATCATTCAAAAGTGGTTGTCATTGGTCAATTATGATGTTTGGAGAAAGCAGGAGGGATACAGGCAGGATAGATACATATGACTTTTTTGGCAGAGGCAAATGCTTGGGAATGCAAATATGACATGAAGAGTGCCACCCGACTGGCTGACAGAAGACGAAAGGTCAAGCTCCCGAACAAGACGAGGCTGGCTCTGGCATGGCCGTGTTGGTCTTGTTGATTTTCTCCACTCTGTGGTCGTGCCGCCTGCCCGCTCCCTCCGCGCTGCCGAATCTGCTATGGAAATCGCCGATCAGAGCAACTAACTCGGATTTGGGAGCTGGACAGACCACCCGTTTCGCCCAAAGGAAGTGATCCCGGCGAAGTACGCGGTTGGCTCCGCCGGCCGCGCCGCCCTGCTGAGATGCCTTTGAGATGCCCAGTCCCGAGTTGCGTCGGTGCATCTCCCGCACGGCCTCAATAGCAGCCTCCCAGACAAGATCTCGGAGATCGGAGCCCGTATAATCCTGCGTGGACTTCGCGATCTCGGCTAGGTCGAGACTCGGGTCCATCGTCTCGCCAACTAGATGGATTTTAAGGATTTGCTCGCGGCCCGCGGCATCGGGGATGTTAATCAGGATGCGTCGACCTAACCGGCGGAGCACTCCCTCGTCTATGTCGAAGGGCCGGTTGGACGCCGCGATTACCATGGGGCTGTTGGAATCCTTGGAAGTGATGCCATCCATCTCGGTCAGGAACTGGTTGAGATCAGATAGGTGGCCGCGACAGTTTCCCTCTGCTGATCGGGATCGAAAGACCGAGTCGGCTTCGTCGATGAAGATGATACACGGGGAGTGCTGGCGCGCATATGCAAACATGCGCTTGATTTTCTTCTCCCCATCACCTACAAACTTGGACCGGATGTCCGCACCAGAAACGGCCAGCATCTTGGCGTTGGCTTGCTTAGCGAGGGCCCGGACGACGAGGGTTTTGCCGGTTCCCGGGGGTCCGTATAGCAGGACTCCAAGGCTTGTATGCTTGGACAAGATCCCGACTTTGAAAGCTCCAGGGTCCTTGATCGACAAGGTAAGGACGCTGAGCGCGTCGATCACGTCGGGACTGACGTGAACGTGTTCGAGCGTCTCCTTGATGTTGCCTAAGGCTGTCAGCATAGCCATCTCCACAAACTGTGGACTGGGCGTGATTCCCAGTCCAGGATTCCTTACCAGGCTGGACTGTGCATTCGCTAAACTCGTCTTCGGTCTCGTGATCACTCTTATCACCAGAACCCAAGAGAGAGTGCAGGTCAAGTAAGTTTACTCGGGACCGTGTCTTCTTCCTCGGAGTCTCTGGCTCGCCGTCAACGTCTTTCCGTTTATGAAGATGGCCTGGTTCGTTCTCAGACGGAGAGCCTGAGCTTGAGGCATGCTCCGGATGCTTGGGATGTGACTCGGCCTTACTCGCCTCAATGGCTCGCCGCAGCATGTCCTCCTCTATCATCGCCGTGAGGAAGTTGCTCTCCATTGTGCAAATTCGGGTCGACTGAATGCTGATACTCCCTTTATCAGGAACGAGAGGAAGGATGTGGTCTCGATCAAAGTTGATCTGCTAGGCGTGGGCCATATGCTGGAGAGTTGAATGTTGATACTTAGATCTGATTTTCCGGGCAACACTCCGTACTCTCAAACGGGACTGACCTTCGTAGGTAGGGGAAAGCCTTATAATTACATGTCCCGAATCTACCCCGCCAGCTTCGTGTGACGCTGGCTCCCTCCGCCCGCTGTGTGTAACGAACAACTCATTTGCTGGTGGGGATAAAATTTTTATCTTCCGTTGGCCGAATGATAACCATGTGCACAAATGTGGCTGCCTCGTCATAGTGGAGAGCAAGGCAAAGTAAGGCGAAGTGAAAGTATCCAACCAGATTGGTTGGTGGGTAAAAGTTTTATCTTCCGTTGGCCGAATGATGACCACGTATACAAATGCGGCTGCAATTATGGAGGGCAGGGCAAAGTAGGGCGAAGTGGAAGTATCCAACCAGATTGGTTGGTGGGTAAAAGTTTTGGTGTCCTGGCACCTTGCCCTTCATTTGGCTTGATGGCATCCAACCAGATTTGTTGGTGAATAAAAGTTTTTTGGGCTTTTTGGTTTTTTGGCGCCCGCCCGCCTTGACGCCCAGAGTCACTTGGCTGCCTGGACCTAGATTGGTACGTTGTATTTAACTAGTACCTGAAAGATCCTGTCCTGTTTCTCCTTCCTCACCTCCCACTTTCTTGTTCACTGTTTGGGTAAAAGTATCGACCAAGCCAAGTTGTTCTTGCCTTCTTGCCCCCGTGATTTTGCGCTCCTCTAAGACTAGCATTGCAAAAATGCCTCAACCTTCCGACCCTTCGGCAGTGTTTCAGATCGCTCGTGGACAACAGAGAGCCGACAGGGCAGCTAGGGTGCCAGACGACGCATGGGAACAGCATAGAGATACAATCAAGGAGCTCTACATTGATAAGAACATCAAGCTGGAAGATTTGGCAAAGCATATGGAGGAGCATCATGGCTTCAAAGCAAGGCAAGTGAGGCATTTTGACAGCACAATAAGCGTGTCACAGCTGACTGAGCTGGAATTGGTTGTAGTGACCAGCAGTATCGAATGCAGTTTGCCAAGTGGGAGTTGCGAAAGAACAAAAGGAAGAATGAAAAACGACCTGCGAGTCCCAACTTAGGTACGTGACTGATCCCCTGCCCCAAATAACCTCGGTTTCGGGGGAAAAAAAAAAAAAGTCTCCGACTTGTCTCTGGAGTGGGAAGGTTCATCTTGTTTGCGTGTACATATAATATAGTACCTAACTAAGCTACTGAGAGCAGATCAACCAAGACGAATGATGGGCCCCCCGTCGGGTTTGAGCGCACCATTGCAATCGCAGACGACTTATGACAACATTCACCTAAGCGGCATCGGTGGGCCTAGTGTGGATACCCCCGCCCTTCAAGTCACATATCCAGTTGCGCCAGATCAGTCACTCGACATGGACGTCGATGGCAGCAACTTAATGCCAAGCGACTTCCCTCTAGCCCTTGATCTGGGATTTAATGTAAGTCTACCTGTAGCCATTCCGCGTACGGCCAACACTAACGTGACGCGAACAGCCACAGTTGTGGCTGCCGGGACAACAGCCGTATTACAGCCAGCCGCAACTAGCCGGTCCCTCGACGAGCATTCCCTATTCCCCAATGGGCATGCCCTACAACTCGGGACAGCCATCCCAGGTGTTTTATCAGAAAAAAAATGGACCGAAGCATGAACGGGTCAATATCATCGACACGGGAAGCGGAAAGCACCAGCCGAGACACTATCGTGGCAATGGCAGCGGCAGCGGCAGCGGCACAGCTCGCAAGAAGAGGCAAGCTATCCACCAGGCAGTGCAAGCCGGCTCCCTGCAGGCTGTCAAACTTCTCCATAATCTGGATCGTAAGTGCATTAACATGCTCACCGGGGAAGGAATAAACACGGTATGGATCGCAGCTCAAGGAGGCCACGGCGACATTCTGAAGTTCTTGATCGAACACGGAGTCGACGTGAATACTCCCGCGACGGAAAGCAATCGTACACCCATCCACCAGGCGGCCCAGAACGGGCATTTGAGACTTGTCAAACTGCTCTTAGAGAATGGAGCCGAGCCGGATCCGGTAGATTCCAGTGGGATAACGCCATTCTGGAGCGCTGCCCAAGAAGGACACTACGACATCGCCAAGATCCTTCTGGAGAATAACGCGAACCTGGAGGTCGAATCCTTAGATGGGTCCCGTCGTCCGATCCACCAGGCAGCCCAAGGCGGGCACACAAGGGTCGTGAAGCTGCTCTTGGATAACGGGGCGGAGCCTGACCCAACAGACAATTCCGGCATAAGTCCCCTTTGGAGTGCGGCACAACAGGGCCACTACGAGACGGTACGCCTGCTATTGAAAGCAGATGCAAGTGTCGATGTGACTTCGTACGACGGGTCCCGGCAACCGATCCACCAAGCGGCCCAAAACGGCCACTTGGAGGTGGTTCAGCTTCTTTTAGAATTCGATGCAAACGCCACGCCGGAGAACGACAGCTTCGAGGACACGACTCCTTCGCCATTCTGGCTAGCCTGCGCCTCAGCCAAGAGCGGCGTCGAAATTGCCAAGCTACTCCTCGACAAGGGCGCGGATGTGAACTTTTCGGTAGCACGCTCAGGAAAGAAACCCATCCACGCAGCGGCACACAAGGGGAATATCGACGTTGCGCGGCTGCTCATCGCCAGGAAATGTGACGTCGATTCCAAGGAAAGCGACGGCTGGACGGCATTGATGATCGCCTCGCAAGAGGGCCACCTGCCGTTCTTGAACCTTTTGGTGGAGAGTGGCGCGAAAGTGGATGCTGAAGAAAAGGATGGGGCAACGTCGCTGTGGATTGCGTCCCAGCAGGGACACACCGAGATTGTCAGGAGGCTTCTAGACCTGGGTGCCAAACAACTGCCCACTAGGTCCGCGCAAAGGCGACCGATACACCAGGCTGCTCAGAACGGCCATCTACCTGCCTTGCAGATGCTGTTGAAGAAGGAGCCGAATGGCATCAACGCCGAGGATAAGAGCGGAGCGACGCCTCTCTTACTTGCCGCGCAGGAGAACCAGCCGAATTATCTCGCTATTATGAATCACCTAGTTTCACACGGCGCTAAGGCATCGGTTTAGCTTGTGTCAGTGCCAGTTCTTTAGCAACTAGCATAGCAACCGTATTAACTTACTCATGAAATTCCACCTAGAATACACAATGCACTCAGTCTTGATGAAGCCCTGTTTCTGATAATTATCTCATAAGCCAAACCATGTTTATTCACCTATTAATATATCAGCGTCTCTGTCTCTGAGATACAAAATTGCATTGTTGGTGAGACGCAATGATCTAGTTCTTGATAAAAGGGAGGGTGGAAAAAAGCGGTCCTCTTAGATCTCGTCATCGAGGTCAATTTCGTCCAAGGCTGCCACAGCCTCCAGCTAGCCCGACACGTCAAGGTCATCAACCCACTCTCCCCCACTATCCGAAGAGGCACCGGCGACAGAATCAGCCTCACCAATAGATGACTTCCGACTAATTACCACCTACACTGCCGCCTAGGCCATTGTCATGCGCTTCGGCAAACGGAGTCGGCGGATCCTGAAACTCAACAGAGCTGGAGTCTATCTCGAATGTGTGCGTCGGCTCGTTATCCATCTTGTGATACTTGCCGATGCGGCCGTAGCATTTCTTGCAGGCGACGAAGTTGACGCACGTGGTGCATTGGCACCTACGCCTGTAGATCTGCTGTATAATTATAGGGGATATGGGTGTTAGTAAAAGGATGTAGGCTGAGTGGATAGGCGATAACCTAACCTTAAATACGGCGACGAGCATAGGCTGTGCTTGTAGAAAACGTTATGTAATTTGAAATGGCGCTAGTGAAGACAGGGGGCAGAGCTTGTAGAGAAACAGAAGGCAGAGCTTGTAGACATTTTTAGCGGTAAAATTGACAAAATTGGTATGCGCATAAAGCTTAAATGCAGGCGAAATCTTTGGTGCTATTTTCAAGTTAGTAAAATGCTTATAGGTGGGAAAAGCTGTAGGTTTTGTTTGTTAGCATTACCCAAGCTAATGTGGCGTTATAAAGGCTAACAACGCATTAGCCTGTTGTCTAGGGTAAATAGAGGCAAATGGTAGTGTAAGGCTATAGTTGTAACCATTTAGTAGTTAGCCAAGACATGCATTTAAACTACTATAAAGCTATTTGTTTGTTTGCCTAAATACTTGTTTTTAATATGCAAGTGTAGAATTAAATGCATAGCAGGCAAGGTTGTTGGTTATTTGCAAGCAAAGCATAAGTCTATTAAGCCTAGCAAACAATTAAGGATTGCAGAATTAATAAGCCAAATCCTAGACATTACAAGAATCTAGAATAAGTTGAAAGAGTTTAAGTTTTTGCTATCTACTATTTTACCTATCTTGTTTATTAAGCTACTAGTTGTTGGTTTAAGATGCAACTAATGCAACTTTGTTAACATAGAGGTAAAAGAAATGCAATAACATTGCTAAAATAATTACAGATAGGCAAATAATTAGAGTAAAGGTAGTAATGTAGTGAAAAAAGAAAAGCAAAAGCAGGTTATGCTATAGATAATAGGCATGCATTGTTAGCAATTTTTCTAGTTAGGCTTTAAAAGCAGTTGGTTTAAGGTTAGCTAAGGTAGCAAGCTAGCAATAGTAGCAAAGGTAAGTGCAGAAATATTAGAAAAGTAGCTAACATAAATCTATGCAACCTAGATAGCGCAGTTTAAGTCAAAAAAGCAGTTAATTAAAGCAAGCAACAAAAAGGCTAAGCTAAATAGATAGTTAGACTATGTTAATTAGCTAATATATTTGAAAGGTTTAAACCTAGCCTAGTTGCATAGCATGGTTAAGCTAATTGGCAAAGACAAGGTAGTATTGCAGTAGATATAAGAAAGCATAGAGTAGGTAATAAAGTAAGCAAGAAAAGCAGTAGTAAAGCAGTATAAGCATGCAATGTTGTTTAAGATTAACAAAAAGAAAGTATATGTTAAGCAAAAGAAGCTATTTGACAGGTAGATAAAAAAGAATATATAGGCAGATTATAAGAAAATGCATTGCAAGTTATTATGTTATATATAGCAAATATAGGAATAGGATAATAAAAACTAGCTGCTATATGCATTTACTAAAAAGCAAGATGATTTGTTTGACAAGTTTTGCAAGGTAGTAAAAAAGCATATGTAGGTAAAAGGCATAATGCTATTAGATAAGGCAAAGCAGTAAAAGCATAAAGATTAGACAAACTAGTTATATTTAAATGCAATAGTTGTATTTTTTAACTATCAATACAAGCATATGCTATACAAGAATATATTGATTAGCAGGTTAATAGTATTAAAATTGCACAATAATAATAGTTAGTATAGGCTAAAGGATTACATGCTAAAGTATTTGGCAGTTATTAAGGTAATGCAAATGTTAGTTATATATTAGTTAGTAATTAAGTAGCAAGATAAGATAGTAATGTTAAAGAAAACAATAAGTGTAGAGAAAGTATAAAAGGTAGCAACTAGGTTATTTAAAATTACCTAGCTAAAGGTTAAGCAGCTTATAACAGTTATGTTAGACAAGTCTAAGCTAAGCCTAATAGATTAGATATTTGATTTGCGTATATATAGAATGCAAGTCTAGTTTACAATGCTAGCAGTAGAGATAGTTGATTAGGTTAGAGATTAGATTATATACTAGCAGATGAAGATTAAGATGAATAATTTGGCAAATATAATGCATAAGGTAGTTAAGGAGATAAGAGTAGTATTAGGCAAGTTATTAATAGTTAAAAGCAATAGTTTAAAGGCAATGCTAGTGATTAAATAAAGGCAGATAAAAGATAACTATAGCAAGAACTAGGTTAGATATTTGTTTTTGCAAGACAATTGCAACAAGTAGTTGGAAAAAGGTTAAGGTTAGGTAATGCAGCAGATTTTGCAGCAGGCAAATAAGTAAAAAAAGTAGATAGTAGTAGAAGGCAGCAATAAGATGCTATACTATGCTAAGGTAATGCGCAAGTATAAGTTGGCAATAAAGTGGTTTTGGAAAAAGAAGTTGCAATTGATGCATATGTTAAAGAATATGCTAGTATAGTTGTAAAAGATTATAAAGATATAGCATAGCTAATGCGTAAGGCTTAGTAGGGTAGAAAGGATAGTTTCTACTAGCTGTAAATAGATAGTGAAGGCAAGGCCTAAAGTAGCTCTAGAAGCCTGTAACCTAGCCTATGCGCTAGCGTAGGTTAGTCAAAGCCTACACACTCTTTATGTAGAAACCACCAAATATTACTACTACTTTTACTTTATACAATATTACAAGATTGCTATTAAAGTAGCTCTCTGCTAACACGCTATAAATTAATAGCATAGATATACTTGTCAGAGTTATAATACAAACTAAAACTACCAAAAACCTCAATTTTCGCTGATTCTAGCAATACCAAAATCACCTCAAGAGCTTGCAAATAGCGTTAGCTATGCGCAAGCCTTTGACATGTTAATCAAACTAATCTATGCGTGAAGCACTATTTACTCACCTGCTTTAACCAAACCTGTCAAGTATTTAGGCCTAACCTGTCAAGTATTTAAGCCTTTTCCTACTAACATTTGAATACTTGCTAAAGTATTTACCAACCTTCAAATACCCAAGCCTCTTGCATATTTACTAGCAAGTCTCTTGCATATTCACTGCTTTCCTGCCTTTTTTGCCAACTTACTTGCAAAGAAGATCCTTTCTTTCTTGACTCTTTGCATTGCATTACACTGCTTTTATATTGTTTTGCTTTTCACATTGCTATTACCTTTAATGCTAAACCTGCTAATCTAACTAGTTACTATAGCCTGATTAGTTGCTAGACACTTGCCTATGCAAGCAAGACTGTCAATAGCAGACTCTGCTACTTTTGCCTACTTAGGTAGTCTCTTTTGCTGTCAACCTAAAAACCCTCTTAGCCTTGCCAGCAACCCTTTTAACAATCAACTAGACGCTAATTAGTACTACTCTAACTACAGGAATGAAAACCTTGACAATAGCAGCGCATTAATTAACAACTACAATACTATCAACAACCTACACAACAAGCCTATCAATAACTAGCTTTTAGCTATCTACATTGCAGCCTAATTTTGTCACTAGGATTGCAACTAGTCACGCAAATCAAGCAATTAATACTACACCCTAAACATTTAGGTATTTAAAGTTATCAACCAATTTAACAAAGATATTGCAAAGATTTAGAAAGGCTACTGAGGAGGAGAGACACAAAACCACCTACCTACCTACCTCTCAACGTAGTATACTGCTTCTAAGGCGTAGGCCCCAACGGCAGTAGCCAGGTTACTTAGGGTTAGGGTTAGGGTTAGGGTTAGGGTTAGGGTTAGGGTTAGGGTTAGGGTTAGGGTTAGGGTTAGGGTTAGGGTTAGGGTTAGG